GTCCTATGTTTGAGTGGTGGTATAGGGTTGTAGATAGTATAATATAGTTCCTGCAAAGTTACTAATTATTGCAACTAGGCGAGTAGTAGAGCTATGTTGGATTCTCCCCTTCAGATTTTAATTTGCTGTGGGTCATTGTAATTGGATGTGGTTTTTATATCATTTATGTATGCATGCATTTTATGTTAAGGCACGGTATTGGTGTTTGAGTTGACTTGTTGGCCAAGGTATAGATAGTAAAATTTTGTGTGTTTTTTGCATGGTGTGATAACTTTTTCACTGTCCCAAGCAGAATGTCATCATAGATCATCTATCCATCGCTATATAATGACAATACATCCCATTTAATTAAACATTTATTTTTTGCCTGTTATAAATAGTTCAGCGCGTTCCCACTCACCCAATCATTGAAACATCTACTCGCAGTTTTATTTTTTGTTTTTCAGGTTACTTCGAAGTGATTAAATGAAGTAAAACACATAAGGAAAAAATCGAACAAAGACCCCGATATCCTGTGAAATAACAACCTTATTCCTACATCCTTGTCTGAGATCAATACCCAAGAATGAAAAACCTCACTTACACCATTTGTAACCAATTTATTTCCATATCCTACTGTAATTAATTATAGCAATTTTACTGTTACCGGTACCTTTAATTACTTATTACAATATGGACTTTAATTTGGCAATAATAGGCTCTAATTTGGGGAATGAAATGTTCTCGCCCACCTCTTCATGCACCCAATTCTGGCAACTTTGGTTGGGCAACTTGGTATTTGACTCCAACTACAAGAGAGCTACGTCCAAATATATGAACACGTCTGTTCGCAGTACAATACGGTGTACCGTACCGTCAGATCACAGTCTACAAATATATTCACACCAAGCGAAGCAGTACAGTAGGACACAAAATGGCGTCCGACGATCGCAGAACGTTTAATGACTTCATAGCAAACAAAAACAAATCTCACAGAGCTAACAGGTATATTTAAAATGAATAAAAATAATAGCCTTCTGGGGAAAAACTTTATCTTCAACCACTGAAAACTTCAAAACAATTGGTCCAGTATGCAAAGAGAAAAGCGGTTTTTTAATATTTCCACTAGGTGTGTTATTCTGTGTCAAATAACAACAAGAGAGCAATGCTCAAATATATGGACACGCAGAACAATTCCCCAAAAATCATATGCGGTGACCAACGACTAACATACCGGCGGTGACTTACCAGTACCTGTATCGGGGTACCGTGACGGTACAGGGACTGTCATAGATATTTTAGGTCCTGTGACAATTGAAACATCAGTTGAAATATCTCGTGATATGAGTCAATTATGTACCGTATTATCGGATCAGGTACTGAACCACAGTCAAACATTTCACATAAAAACGTTACTAAATAACATGCGTCAACTTAACACCAGCCGAATCGGGGTACAATTTTTGGTACAGTGACTGTCATAGCCGTTTAGGGCTGATGGACAATTCGACTACACGGACAACTCACCAGGCCTAGGGTGGTGTAGCCAGTCTGCGGACAATTTCATTCAAACCGCTATAAAACAAAAACCAATATATCTAACCCGTTAATTTTTTCACCGTGGATGCATTGGCGGCATTTATTCTACACGCTAAACCTCGTACAGACAGCGTGAAAACTTTGGGCTTCTAATTGCATTTCTGACCGTCATATATTTCAAGAACACGGTTATTTCGAACAAAACTCATTAAATTATAAACAAAGCACCACATCACAGCAATCAAACAGACGAAAACACGTTGGCCGCAAATTGGTTGACAAAGATATTATCGACGTATCGGAAATGCACACCCCCTATTCCCCCTCCTTCAAATGTAGAAACGCGAAACTTTCAAATATGGTTAAAAGAAACACAACTCTACCCACCTGCCAAGTTTCATCTTTTTATTTCTCATATTTGTATGGATTTTCAAGCTTTTGACAGCTACGAGTTAGTTCAGTGTCACCGCGCTGTGTTACGGTACCAGAACTTCTCTATCTTTAGAAGGTCCTGTCTTGTGACAGCGTGAATTGAAATTGCAAGATGGTCCGTTGGACACAAAATGGCGTCCGATATCCGCAGAACGTTTAGTGACGTCATAGCAAACAAAAACAAATCTTACAGAGCTAACAGAAATATTTGAAATAAATAAAAGTAATAGCCTTCTGGAGAAAAATTTCATCTTCAACCACTGAAAATTTCAAAGCAATTAGTCCAGTAATCAAAGAGAAAAGCGACTTTTTAAAAACGTGTCAAAGAACAAAAACAAGAACAAGAACAACAACAACATAATATTGAAACGATCGTTATGTCCACTACGTGTCCAACAAGAACAAGAACAACATAATATTGAAACGATCGTTATGTCTACTACGTGTCCAATAATCAGCTTGGCAATATGTTTTCAATAGAATCTTCCTTTTATATTTTAATTAACGATTAGAAGATTGATCAATTTGGCAATAGTAACCATTACAAAAATATCAATATGGTGTGGCAAATAATTTTTTTCTTTTCTAGTATTTATTTATTTTTTGTTTACTGTATAATATACCCTAAATTTATCGCGTTTTATTCTTACTTAAATAACTTCTCAGTGGTTGTGTGTGTGTGTGTGTGTGGCTGGCGGGTGCATGTGAGCGTGTGTGAAACAAGAGAGCTATGCTCAAATATATGGACACATAGAGTCACATAATTTCGATGACGTCATAGCGGAAAAAAAGTAATAGCCTTCTGGAGAAAATTTTTATCTTTAACCACTGAAGATTTCAAAGCAATTGGTCCAGTATTCGAAGAGAAAAGCGACTTTTTAAAAACGTGTCAAAGAACAAGAACAACATAATATTGAAACGATCGTTATGTCCACTACGTGTCCAATAACTTAATAATTTTAGGTGAGTAAACACGTACTACTTCCTCTTGGCAAAACCTTCCATCTTATATTTTGTACGTTATAAACCTTATCTAAGGTTTCGTTTGCTCCCCTGATTTCATAATCAGTTTTTATTTATTTGTTTTCATCTGTCAAATGTATTGTTATGCTGATTATGGAGTCGAAATAAACTTATACTTATAAAATGAGCATTGATACGTTGAGAGCCCCATATGCTATGCTGCTTGTGAGCCCCATCTCTAACAATGACGTAATTCGTATTATTCTGGTGCCATTTGGTCACTGCTTCGTCATTAAGTAGAAACCTTCGTGGAATTATCATTATCGGTTCATACTCACGAATTAGCCACCAGTGCTTCCTTTTTGTGGTTTTAACTTTGGAAAATATGTGCCATTGTCCATTATTAAATTCGTTGGGTAATATTGGTGACATGTTTTACTGTTTGTGACAAACGTGTGTGTCGTTTCGAAGGCAAAATTTCGTATCGATTTTGAAACACCAGTGTTCCGAAAATGCCCAGCCCTACAGCTTCAGCTGAACGAATTGGAACATAAAAATCAAAACTGCAACAATATAATGTAAGCATGTTGTAGCAAGAATAAAGATGACAACTATCCTATTTTATTCAAGAGTATTGTTTGCCTACTGACACAAATAGATTTTAACCTCGTAAATATTAATCAACCGTGACTAAAATTTACTTCGACATCGCCCTTTTCCAGAAAGCAACAGAAACGTGGATTCCCGCGTGGCCGTTTACCAGCTGTGGCGGGAAATAGTGAGGCAATTTCCGATATTGCGAAATACTTCAGATTCTTTTGGCACGTGCGACGGATTCGTGGAGGTTTGTGTTTTTTTTCTGTTGTGTAATGAACCGTGTTTATTCGGGAATTTCGGGAATAATCGTGATTCAAATATTCCGTGATTTTGCTATTGCTGTATCGAATGTCAGTTGGCAGTTTTCCGTACTCTGGCGTGCTTTGAATCATGCGGATGGTAAGAATTTTTATGTATTTTATCTCTATCGGTACTTGCACGCCAATTTCAGAAATTTAATTATCATAAGATAAGGCGTATCGTAAGAATGTACACGTTTTAAAGTCTTTAAAAATTGGTTTCCTGTTTCGCCTGCGCTGCAGTCTTCGGTGGAAACTTATTGCTGTATTGCGACTTTCCATACGTCTGTGAGTTGTCGGCGTTTCAGTCTTGGGGAAATCCCACAGATCATAATATCAGTCTGTCAGTGTTAAACACTTTGTAATTAGTCCATGCATCCTTTTCAGTGTTATTGCATTACTACAGTACTAAGTTTTTATTTTTATGATTTACCACTGAGTGATGGGAATTAACTTGGACCTGTGGAATGTGATAAAGTACTCATATACCAATAAAATACTGCAATAATTTATTTTTATTCTTTATTTTCAATTGTTAATTATTGTAAGCAAATTGCACAATTGACACATCCTTTCAGTGAAAAAGGCAGCTGAAAATCAGAATGACTTTTGAAAATGCCGTCCAGATCTAGCTTTTAATTGTTTTTTATTTTTTACATGTAAGCTTCATAAGCTCTCTAAAATTTTTCTTATTGATTTTTGTCGTATGTCAACCTTCTTAGTCTCTAATGACCCTAAATTTCTAACGAAGGCGAATAACTGAGAAGGTTATAAAAGAAGGCTATTCAAAATTTTATTGAATTTAAATTTTAATGTTTATAATGAATAAATCTAAGGAAATTAATTATGGATAATGATGACTGTTATAATAGTAATAAAATTCTTCCCTACGTTAGCTTTTTTATGGCATTCGAGTAACGGTTTTTGCCTCTGAAAACGCTTGTATACATTAATAAGGAAATATATAGTAAATTTGTTGTATGCTTAGTCCAAATGTTAAATTTTCAAAAGAATATCTGAATGATAGAGTTTTGGGAGTATTAAAATTTTGTCAATTGATTTTATTAAATGTTTAAAAAAATTCCAAATTAGTAGAATAAACAAATACTGAAATAGCTGAATAAATAGATCCGTTGGCTAAAAATCAACTGATTAAAAAGAGTAATAGTAAGACTGTAAAGAGCATATTTAAGCATTTGATAAGTGTATAAATTTAGCTAGTTTTGATTTTATATTTTAGACGACTTTACAAACAAGAAAAAAAATTAATTTAATAGCATATTAAGACCAGCTATTCGTTTTCAAACCTCTCGTCTGTAATTTATATTTTGCAATTAGAGCATGTTCTGAAAAAAATACAAACTATTGTGCTTCGTTAGCTATCCACTCAAAAAACTTAAATACAGAAATATAAATGTCTGACTAATGGTGTCAAAAATCATATTTCCTCCTTTTGTTTATATTCAACCATAATTCAATAGAATAATGCCTAAAGTAAAATCAGAAAAGAAATCTCGCGAGCACACTGCTCGTGTGAAACAGGGCGTGTGTTTCAACACTCAAGTGGGGCAGCACATTCTCAAGAACCCTTTGGTTGTGAAAACAATGTTGGAGAAGGCAGCTTTAAGGCCAACTGATACAGTTCTTGAAATTGGTCCAGGTACTGGAAACATGACTGTAAAAATATTGGAGAATGTGAAAAAAGTTGTGGCATGTGAAATTGATCCTAGACTTGCTGCGGAGTTGCAAAAAAGAGTACAAGGGACACCGATGCAGAGGAAATTACAACTCATGGTTGGAGATGTGCTGAAAGTTGAACAGTTGCCATTTTTTGACATTTGTGTTGCTAATCTTCCGTACCAAATATCATCTCCAATTGTATTCAAACTGCTTCTTCATCGTCCATTTTTCCGATGTGCTGTTTTAATGTTTCAACGGGAATTCGCACATCGATTGGTTGCAAAACCAGGAGATAAATTATACTGCCGTCTTTCAGTGAACACGCAATTGCTAGCGAGAGTTGATTTGCTTATGAAAGTGGGAAAGAATAACTTTAAACCACCACCTAAAGTCGAGTCAAATGTAGTACGAATAGAACCAAAGAATCCGCCCCCTGCAATTAATTTTACCGAATGGGATGGTCTTGTACGAATCGGATTTTTGCGGAAAAATAAAACTCTTGGAGCTGCTTTCAAAAACAATTCGGTTCTAGAAATGTTAGAAAAAAATTATAGAATTCATTGTTCTCTTACGAATGAAACTTTACCTGAAGATTTTTCTTTAAAAGATATGATTAATGAACTATTACAAAAGAATGGTTTTAGCGATAAACGTGCCAGGACTATGGATATGGACGATTTCTTAGCTTTGCTTCATTTATTTAATTCAAATGGGATACATTTTGCTTGATTTCAATTTTGTCGTTTTGATATTATGCAAATTAGCAGGGCTGTAAAATATTTGAAAAGTGCTAGTTTTGTGTTGCCTGTTTTAATCTTGAGTTCTGGGATTTCTAGGCGTACTTCTTGCCTCTTAATTAACGGGTTTGCTAAAAAAGTGGATGTTGAGTTAAAGCAGGAACATTTTATGAATTATTTGGTGTTTTAGGCTTATAAAAGATATATGGCTATATTTGACTGGAATTTGTTTTGGTTTGAATCATGATTAGCAAACAACACACGGAAGTCTACTAGTTTGAAAACTGTCCAAGTGGATCCATTTTCACTGTTATCAAAAATCTTACTTCAAATCGGGCTTCAATTGCCCAAAATGATAATTTGCAAATACCGATAAAGCTATTCTAAACTATCATGTCACCATTTTTTTTATCTTGGGCATCACTGCCACCAGCAATTTATCGTTCTATTTTTATCCATGAGTTAAAGTTTCTGGGTACAGACTCGTAGCAGTGATGCTTCTTCATTTAAATTTAAGATATTTGTACTTTGAATTTCAATACAAAAGTCTGTGGATGTGTTAGTGAAATTATTGTACAGATACATAATCTTTTCGAATTATTGTTTTCTAGAACTGTGTTGTGAAATTCTACGCAGCCCTGATAAACAACCAGTTGGATTTTTGTAGATGTCATTTTAGGTTGCAGCTTGCTTAGACCTCACGATCAATGACCTCATTGGGTCTAGCCGAAACTAAAAAGCATTGGCATTATGGGTTAAATACACCCATCCATTCATATTCAATGAGCATAACATTTCTATTGATGGCAAATGTGACTGCGGTTGAGTTCTAGAATAAATTATCCCAACTTGGGTGTCGAATATGTAATCAGACGTTAACAAATGGAAAATAAAAACTTCGTCACAAGTATGGCCAAAATTGAATATTTCACTATTCTAAATACATTCAGAGTATATATTTTTTATGGTGAAATATGGAATAAATTCAAAATCGGGGTTCGCATGGTTCATGTTGATATCTAAATCGACACAAATGAAGAGTCAATGGTTTCTCTGTGATACAATGTATGTTTTATTTATTTTAATCATCTTGTCCGATGCCCAAAAATTGTGAATTTTTGAATAAAAATGTGATAAATTCAAATTTTCACTATATTGAATATAATAAGTTTCGAATCGTTTTGGACATCCCTGCTCAGTCAGTTTAGGTTTCATGTTCTTTAACTCGAGCAATCCCATTTCTGTTTATGACCGTAATTGTCTGTGGCACAATCTGAAATTATACTTGACCGGCAAACCATTTATTATTTATTTAATCCTTTATATTCTTTTCTCCAGATGAACTATATAATTTGTGATATTTCACTGTACAGTAAGACATTGCCCTCATGGTAATACTGTCGATCAATACTACAAGCTGCATTCTTGTTGCTGCCTGCATGCGTATGTTATGTACACTGCGTTGCGGACACCTCTTTCATAAAGGTTTGATATTGATTTCCTAATAAATTTGTTTTCTCTTTTCCAATTCATACAAAAGCATGTAGGCATATCAAGATGCAGTATAGTTTCAAATTGTAAGACCAGTTGGCCTATAAAATTTAAGTAGCATAGTTGTTACTTTTTAGGAGTCTAGCTATACAGTGCGTCTATAAAGTCGCTTTACAATTTCAATAAGATATTCTAACCAGGTTTGTTGTTTTTGAATCAATGATTGTATTTTTACTCCATTTAATAAATCTGAGGACCGAATCAATTTAAAAAAATCTCAAGACTTTATGGACACCCTGAACATTTGCGTAAAAACTGGGACTCGTGGGATAAAATTTAGGGAATTTATGTTTGAAGCAAGCAAACCAATTGATCATCATTTCTATATTACAGTTTACAGTAGATGTCAATCTTATTTCATAATAGTTTGCAACCACTGACATTTTTTTTCTTACATTCCTTGCCTTTTAATAATTCAGCGATGAACACTTTATTTCGGAATATCGGGATTCGTTACGTTCAATTTTAAATAGGCCTAATCAATATTCAGCAATAGGTATGAGTCATGCAAAATTGCCGCCAAATGTTCTTAACCGCTATATTAAATTATCTGGATCTTCAATGCTGGCAATGTCTTTCATATAAAACAAAAGTTTTAAAATTGTAATCCCAGTTGGGCTATAAAATATAAGGAGCATACCAAAACAATTTTGAAAAATCGCAAGACTTTATGGACACCCTAAACTTCGCCTGAACAATTGTGTAAACGACTTGGATTCCAGATTTAATATTTAAGGATTTTTTCGAAGCATCCTAAAACAAACCGAATGACGGTCGATGTGTATTTTATTTCATAAAAGTTTGCGAACACATTTTACCTCGTGCATTCTTTGCCTTTTAAGAGACTGCTGCGCACTCTATTTCGGAATATAAGAGTTCTGTACATTTGGTTTTCGATAATATGAATAGGCCTAATCAATATTCAGCAATATTGGGATAGTATGACTAGTGCAAAATTGGCGCCAAATGTTCGTAACCGCTTTTTAAAATTATCTGGCAATCTTTAATACTGAAATGGCTTTCATATAAAATTGAGAGATTCGTAATTTGTTTAAATTTATCACGATGCAAAAAAAAGTCACTTTTCATTTTCAAAATTGAAATAAAAAGTGCATCCAGCTGCTTTGCCGACCCATGAATTATTTAATAAGTGCCAGAGGCCGTGTGTGCATTCGACTCGTGCTCAACAGATGCCAGTGCGTTTTCTTTGTTGTCAAACTTTGTAAGGCGGTGGTACCGCGCACATATTGGCAGTACTTTTATTATTACAGAGGCATGTAGTGATGTAGACATGAATAAGGCATAAAAATTTGTACAGTTGGGAAAGAGAAACAGTTGATAAAGCTGAGACAAGTCAATACTAATGCCTTTAAATAACGATTTAGTTGTAATAATTCATAGTCAATGATTTCACTGTCTTTTTTATTCACAGTAAAGTTATCTTAATGTTTGTTATCCACCACTTATTGGAAGCATTTTCTTCTTTCTATTCACATCTATTACTTCAAACAAACTGAACAGAAGAGGTATTTGACCCATTTTTGAACGTAAAAGAGAGCACTCCATAGGACGCTCTTCTAATCCTCTTTATTTAGTATAGTGTTCCCGCCTTCATTTGAATCAGATTCTACTAGTGAAGGTCCTGTAAAAAGAGAGAAATGTTTATTTTTTGAGCAAAACTATATAGACAGTGACAGCAGAGGGAGGCTCATTGCTCACTATGGCCAATTAGATAGGATAGTTGTAATGTGAATATTTTTAGTGATAACTTAATTAATAGGAAATATACCAGCTACTTGAAAATGTACTATTGTGTTAGTATAATAAATCCATATGAGTTTATTTAAAAGCAGAAATAGGACATTGGAATAAAAAGAGAATGGATTGTTTTATTTGCCAGTATAACTATTAATTTTTTTTTTCTAAATTATGATATTCACTACTTCCTTGATTAGCTGAGTAAAAGCTGTATGAACGGCTAGTTTTGTGAACTTATTAGTAGGTTAAATCAGCTTGAAATATTACGTTTCAAATTTATCTGTGATAGCCACAGGGACAAAGCTGTAATTAAAATCTTGTAATAACATAGGCCACGTACTATGCTCTGTTAATTATCATACTTTAATTTAATATTGCCATTATGAATGTTTCAACCAAGTTCGACTTATTGGAAATCATTTACTTTATTATACAAAGTCGAGTTACTACAGAATTCATTCACTTTAAATAAATAAATTTAAGAATTGTATTAAAAACTGTTTCTTTGGTAGGATCAGAATTTGAATAAATATTTACCTTTTTTCACAAAAGGTCTTGGATCAATCAGGACTGCAGTTCCACCAGCTGCAAAAACTGAAAAAAGAAGAAACCTATTATGTTCCTGAAGGAGTAAGTAAGTAGAAATATTCTTAACTTTATTAGGTAGGGAAACAGTATTAACTATATAAAACGAAATGATATATACAGTTATTTTCATGTATGACTCCAACTCCAGTGTTGGTAATCACAATGACATTATGAATTATAATTTGTTCAATCAATATAAAAAGGCACAGAAAATTGAATTAAAGTGAAGTCATCCCAAAATAAATGGCATATACAGTTATTTCCATGTAGGACTCTCAGCGCTTAATCAGACTTTAGAATTGAAAATCCATCAGAGGTATGTAATTATAATGACATACATTTCCAACATTATGAATTATAAATTGTTTATTCAATATAGGAGAAAGGAATAAAAAATTGAATAAGCATGAAATCATCAACCCTTATTTGTCACCCAAAGTACTTATTAAAACAACATGAATATCCTGTGATTCATTAAAACTGAAGTGAATGTACCCGCTGATAATGTCATTGGTCGCGTCTGGTTTATATATATTTCTATTCAAAAAATTCTTTGGCAAATGTAGTAGACTTCCTAGAGCAGTGGAGGGAAGGTAAATAATGAAATGAATAAAAAGTTTTTAAATGTAAATATCCAAAATAAGGCGAGCAAGATCAAATTTAACGAATATTTTTCAAAAAAATCTCTACGCCCAAGTTAATTTAAAATACTGTGTGTGAAGGAAATTGTTCGTTAAAGTGATAATGCATAATATATGACAGAAAATCTACCGAAATATTCCTTTACAACTTGTATCATATACAGATAAAATTACGTCCTAATGTAATCTAAAATACCAAACTATGTCAAAGACAAGAATCAACTGTTACATTGTCTGATATTTTAAATTATTTTGCTATAATCTGATTGGTTGAAATAGTTGCGCAATGAGTATTTTTATTTTTTTCTGAAAAGGTTCTTGACACAAATGGACAGCACTTGAAGCCAAGCTGTGTCCGTTGAGAGTAACAATAACACAAAGAAAATAATTGCCGGCTTTCACTGTTTCGGTTAGCGTTATAATTTTTACCGCTGCGTCTGTGTTGGTATAATCACTATGATTTTTTTGTCTGTGCTTCTCGAACCGTGGCCAACAACCCTCCAAAGTTTTTAAGTGTATGCCTCTTTTTACCACTCATACATTGTGTTGTTTCAAATTGTACTTTTTACGAAAGTTTCACTATGGCAACGAAATATCGAAACCAAATTAAAAAGCATTCTCCCATGGGAGGGTAGTGCTACTTGTTGAGAGCTGTACAATGCAATGTACGGTAAGCTCATATTCATTTTGGTTCTAGTTTGGCGTTTAACTGTGATATTTAATGTTACTGCTTTCAATTAACTTGCAGAGTTCTGCGTCTGGCACACCCAGAAGTGTTCTTCTATACAGCATACTTGATAAAGTATAAAGAGGTAAGTTATAGTCTAATCAAGCAAGGTTTTATATGATTATAATTTGTAAATTACGTACTGGTTGTGTAGCAGTCCCTAAAAGCATTCAATTACATATAGGGCATTTCCTGTGAGACCACTCTTGAATGTAATAGGGGAAGGACGTCACGCTGTAACATAGTTGTGCTGCTACGGCTGCTTGCTACGAAACACAGCTATAGGTCAGTACTCTTGCTGCGTGTTAATATAGTCTGGTAATTCAGTAATGGCTTTTTTTTGGTAGTCATCATTTTACTCTGTTTGATTATTAAAATAGTTTAGTAGTGATTTATCACTTGCAGAGAGATGTGGCAATGTGTTGGATTAATTTAAATTAAAATGCATGAGTCATTTTTTAAAAGTGATCACTAATCCAGGTGTTTCGTGTCATTTTCGTACTATGCAACTTTAAACATATCCACATAGTTGCATAGTAACAAAAGTGATCATGGACTGCCCAGGTATTTCATCATGTAAATCGCTGATATGTTGACTCGACTATATGTCAGAGGAGGTTGTTTAAAAAAACTATCGGATAAATACCTCATTTGTACTAACCAGTTCCTTAAAAAATATTTTGATGCATAACAATATAGACAGAATAAATAAAACTGGTTGGGTTAGCTTTTTAATACATAGCAAGTATCTAATGAAGGTTTTGTGAAGTTGCATTTGGTTTTGTGAAGTTGCATTTTTGTTAAGGACAAAACAACCTGAAATCTCAACCAAAAGATGGTTCATGGCCCACTGAGACATAGCTAAAATGAAGCACAACCGGTGTTAGCAAACCAACCGATGTAATTTGCCAACGTTTGGAATTTTTATACAGAAAAACTTCATCAGGGCATGAGCCCTGCTAACACAGGTTGTGCTTCATTTATTATCAACATGAGTTTACCTGGTGGCAATCATGCAATAGCTAAAATGAATTAATTTATAGATTTTCTCTAGGTGGTTCCTACAACCTAGACGATTTCAGGCAAACTTATCCCCTTCTAAATACAACTTGGCCAAAATTTTAATGGAATAATCCAATTCATGGATATGTTGCATAACAATTTAAGTTTTTCATAAATATTAAATAAAACTTCTTGTGTGGTCCATCTTCAGGTTATGAACCAGACAGATCTGGCCTAAACCAGCTATAACTGGTTATGAAATATCTGCAGGACAGATATGATCTGATAACTGAAATGTCTGGCAAAGATAGGCCAGACAGACATAAGGAGGAAACCGGTTAGTTGGGTATATATTAGCCTTTGATATTTCTCTATTTAACCAATTTTGTGATAAATACACAATAGCAGCTCCTTTGGAATTTTTGTGAATCATGCTAGCACTGGGGTGGGCGTCCATCTTGTGGTGATTAAGGTCAACTAATTTGAAAAGAATATTGCCTAAAGCTTGGGACCTTTCTGTTCGATTTCTGCTTTCGATACACACCACCAAATTAGGTGAGTGGCATACTCTTTACAGATATCATGCTAGCACGTTTTGACTGAAAATAAGCAGCAACTGTTATCTGCTTTTTGAATGACTAAAGGGCTTGTCGTGCTTTGTTTACACTATTACATCTTTTCTCTCTATAAAAGGAGCATCTGGACAATGTCTTGGAAATAAAGAGATTCATGTCATGGAGTTATTTGACATCTTTTATCAAGATCTGCCATGCCTGCCGTTTAAGTGTTAAATATTATTTTGGAATGATGCATGAATTTCCAGGATTTTTCGGTGGAGGGCCTTGGATTCACTGCTCAATACTAGTTTGAATCTAAGATAGGTTGGCTCATGCCAGGCCATGATGCTGTATTAGGTTTTTTGTTGAACCATGAAATGATTAATACCTCCAGGTACTGAATCCCATCAAAGGAAAATTAACTCCTGCCTGCTATTACTCAAAACTCAAAAATTTTTCAAATGTTCTGCTCACACCGACCTTACGGTATTTCAGAATAAACTATGCTGCAAGAAGTTCATGAATAAATGGAGTGAGAGAAGCTGATCACATTGAAAAAGAATTACAAACAGCCACATGTTTTACATCCTTGAAGAAATTTCTGTCTTCTAGCTTTTCATTAGCTATAAATTATTCAGTATATAAAGCGAAACAGTCTTCAAACATGTGGATACATTTTGTAAGTATAGCCCCAGCCTATCATCCCATGTTTGGAAAATTACACCCAAGCATTATTTTAAACCTTACCTAGGTTTTGGGTGCGGCCACTTAGCTATAGATATAAAACATGTAAGTTTTATTACCAAATAGTATTCTCTGCGGTCTGCTGGCTCATGAATACAATCTATACTAATATATTTCAGTTATATAGTACGGCATTTCCTTAAATAAAATTCCCAATCTTTTCAATTACATATCAGAAACTTGGGTGTCGCTGCTCGACAACCAGCTCTGGTTCCCCGCGACTTCCCTATCCCAATAAAATTATCTCTTTTTTTTAAATATTGTATGTGTTTTTACTGGTTGGAAAAAATAAACGACTGGAGTTTTGAAACTTTTTTTTTAACTCAGCATAGGTTGTGGATTTACCAGCCATGAGTTAGTGACTATGTGCAGATACCAGTAATGCCTAATTTAATTTTGTGGTGAAGTTTACATTCATTTTATGCTTTACTAGAGAGTAAATAATAACCAATAAATAGCCAAAATTTTTGATACTTACTACTGACCATTACCATTCCAGATGGAAAGTTGATTCTCCCCATTCTTGCCAAGTAATATAAGTAAACCGATACACTGTAGAAAAACCCACATGCTATCGCTTCGCATTCAAAACATTTCCGAGGCCTTGGTGGAAGTCTAAACATAAAATCATTAAAACTGTTTTGAAAATATGTAATTGTAGATTATAGAGATTTCAGCAATTGGAAAGCAAAGATATGCCCAGCTGAATCTCTTCAACCCAAGAGCTTGTGACACAAGAAATTATGGAGTTTGATACGCAAGTCAAAGAGCGTCCAGATTTCAGCAATTGGAAAGCAAAGATATGCCCAGCTGAATCTCTTCAACCCAAGAGCTTGTGACACAAGAAATTATGGAGTTTGATACGCAAGTCAAAGAGCGTCCCCTAGGCCCTAATACATTTCATTATTTTGGTTTGGGATGGTACCACAGTAATTACCAAGAACTGATATAGCAGGTTTAATACCGGTGAGTTGTAATAATAATGTGAAAGATAATTGCTGGCCTCGAGGCATCACAGCTTGGTTACCTATCTCCATGGTCGAGGTCTTTCAGATGATCAAGACATACTAGCGACTTTCACCTGTCACCGGGTGAATATTAAATTACCATTCTAAATAACGCTTCGGATGATGCAAAGTACAATACAGCTTATTGCACTGTGAAGCAGCTTGCATTCGGTCATTTCATGGCGAGAAATGTAGCCTAAGGTAATTTTAGATTGTATTTAATATTGAAGCAGCTGCACAATGCTTGCTTTGATACATGAATAAATAATGGAGTCATTGAAGGTGAACCCAAAGCAAGAAAAGGTCTCATATTCTCTCATTTTCGAAAATTTTTGTATTTGTTTATTTTCTAATTCAACTAATTTTTCTCCTTGTTTATATATGGCACTGCAATTGTGGATCATGCTTAGCATATGGAAAATGTGATAACGCAAGGTGGCAGTTCGATTTCACTTACCGGTAGTGGGTTTGGATTGAGAGAGTTTATTTCATTTTGTCAAACTAAGAAAATAATATTATATGCATACATATAAAAAAAAGTGCTTTCAGTACATGGCTGGGAGGAAACGATACGACATTTGGGGTTCATCGGAGACAGTTGCCACCCAAGATAAATGTATTTCTATCTTTCACATGATTAGTCCATGCATTCGAAGAACAATACTGAATCCTGGCCAGGATGGAAGCTCACAATATTGGGCGATTACCGCTCTACGTAGGGCTATTGCGAAACCGATATAAACAGGTGGCTCACATTAATAGGAATTGTTGATTAAGATAAATATAAGAATGAGGCAAATGGTAAGTGAAATTCACAAGTTCACAACCAAACTGATATGCGCAAAAGGAATTAATCCAGACAGAAAACGTCCGGTTTTCAGTAAATCGTTCAAGAATAGAGCGAATGGTATTGGAAAAGGTGTAAGAATTTGTGTTTCACTGCAAATGCCGCAATATTGCATTTGAAAATAAAAACAAGAATGTTGAAACAAAGTAGAAACACCCACTCATTACATGAATATAAAGAATCATTTTTCCTAAACCGCCAATATAACCATAAGAGAACTGCAATTTATACGTGATCGCGAGATTTAAATTTCCAGCAGTCTGTCAGTGAAGAAAAGCTGATTGCAACCCATCCTTCACCACACAAATTTTAAGGCTTCACAGAAAAAAGAAACAAAACTTGTACTTGCATATTTGGACAAATTAGGCTTCAACAATTCCTGGCAATGATAGGAAGAGTATTGAAGTATACCAGACTAAACACCAAAATAATTTTGTTCGGTTTTACCCGCTTTTCTCATGCCAGTGGTCACAATGGCTTAACTCAAACATGATATTTCCTTATTTTTGAGCGAGTGTGTCTACCATGACTTTGAGTAAATTTTCATAAAAAGTAAACGTATTATCAAAATTTCATACTTTGCATCCCTTTTCAATTGGTCGTCGTCCAAAGTGAAATAAAACATTTCCTTGTAACCATCTTTCATTCGATGGTATTGTGCACTTGCTAGTGCTTTCCAGTAGCCAAAGTCAATCATGTTTGAGGTTTTGGTAAAATAATAATTGTTTGATTAATAACCTGAATTGAATGCAAAATTATGGAATAAATTATCTCATCATAATGCAATAAGTTTGGCTCTGCGGAGTGGCGCATCGTGCTAAGCGTTAGGAATACGCCTGCCACACACCTCTGATAACCTTGCATGGGTTCCCAAGTTTGAATCCCATGCGTGGATAATTATGCGCAAGGGCATTTCTGGACTCACTTTCCTCTCCCAATATTTAAATCCTATCCTAATGCAAATAGGTAATGTTACATGCGTTCACTAACAAGTGGACAAAAGGGCATTTATTTTGAACAAGACCAAAGGACTATGACTTCGCACACCTGCATGCTGCATCCAACTAGTAGACAGTAGTGATGTTTATTCATTTCATCAACCATGTGTAAATCAAATTGAAAATGAACATTCATTTATAAAAAAAATAAAATTTAAATTGAATGGAGTCATCAAGCTGTGACACCTTGTGATGCATTGTTGTTATTCAAAGATATAAATTATGAGGAAAGTTATACAAAAAAATGAAAAAAATTTATGATAGTGGGAAATCATTTTTTGCATATTACAAGGCTGTTGTTCGAATTGGGTACAACTAGCAGACTAGTGACTAAATTATTTTTATATAGTTATATTGCTTTTACGAGACGAATAAACATAGTCTACATTCATACCGTACATAGTGCAGTTTACTGGTTTAATCAGAATTGAGTAAAAAAAAATCTATCTTCACTTCAAAATGACTGAGCTCTGTGTATACATTAGACCAGGGCTACTCAACTAGCGGACCGCGGTCTAAATCCGGACCTTTCGACCATTTAATTTGGACCGCGTCTGCTTATATATTTTGGCAATATAAGTAACGTTATAAAGTTTTAGATGACTTTGATACGATTTAAATACGCAGCTACCGATGTGCAACATTTGTGTCCATATTTGTGAGCCATTCATTGCTCTTGTATTTAATTTAATATTGCATTTGAAGTCTCGTTTATTCAAAGAAATAAATTTTCTGTAATGTCTGGACCCCAGTAATTTTGAAGTTTTTTAAACGGACCTTTGGTGAAAATAGTTGAGTAGCCCTCCATTAGACCAAGTTTCAGTACAGCACACTGATAGATACGGATACCAACTATTCAATACAGCAATAATGCACCAAAATCTGAAATACTGATACAGTGATAGATTTGGACTTGTCACCATCACAATTCACAAGGCCGCTACATAAAATTCTAGTGATCTACAGATCTAGCTTCATATCTTATCACAGTAATATCAGTACGGGTACCCACCAATAAATATATATTTAGCAGAAACCTGCAGCCTTGAACACACATATAACAGTAATTTAAAGAAGGTAAACGACAAACTCAAATGATTGGAAAAGGGCCTCCAAACAATTTACTTGAAAATGCCACTGAAATCGGCGAATATGACGGTACTGGATGGAGTCAAAATTTTAACTCTGGACATCTTTGGGTGATAATGTATTTTCGGAATAAAAATCATAGAGAGAGAAAGAGGTATATTATTTGTCAGCCAGACTAAATATTCCATAATTACTAAAATATATATATATGAATCTACTAGAAAAATGTTTTTTCGTTAGAGACTGGAGGAAGCGATACAATCATGCGGTCATCAATGTCATCTCTTCTAGTTTCGCGACATACGTCGGCTAAGTATACTAATTCGTCTCCCTATCCCTCTCTCTCAATAAAATATTTTGTGGCCAACTAACTTTCTCATGCAAGAGAAAAACTACAAAAAAAACGAGACTCCTTTTGCAAAAAATAGATACTTTCACTTTGATGATTGAAATGAAAGCAACTTCATCATTCATTGCTACTACAACAAAAATTTGAGTATAATGACACAAATAAAACTAAACTTTTCAATAACCATAGTAATTTTTAATGGACTTGTGGCCCACTTGAAAATGTCTCTATGGCCCAGCAGTGAGCCATGGCCCACTGGTTGAGAAATAATAACTAGGACAAGGGCAATATGACAAAACGTGTGGAGATAATCATAAAATGAAAATGGGATATATTGAGTATAAAATTTGTCAGTGGAAGTTTGTCTTGATAATCGCGCTCTTCAAAACGATTGGTTAATAAGCAGATCAAACAATCGATTAATTAATTGCAATCTTTGAGGAATATTTCCCCTATTGCAACTGATACTCTTGGTGGTCTATAATTTTATTTCAATGTTACAAATACGTGGCGTCACTTGTACGGGAAATCGTATTTTGCACGAAATTATGTTGACATTTCCTATTGAAACAATTACCTTAGTCTCGGTTCGGCTGTGAATGTTTCCCTTAAAGCATTGCTTGGGTTTTTCTAAAAAGTATGTATGTGCGCTTGAACCTTTGACTGAGAGTGACAGAAGTAGATAAAACGCAGTGTTGGGATTCAGGGGGTACTCAAGGATCCGCGCGAACTGGTTATTGGAAAGTCGTGATAAACCGAGATCTCTTTCTTGTTTTAGTTTTCAGAATAGGTGTCCTAAATATAAATTGAGCCGGCGTACGAGATCTTTCGTAGGTCTTTTAAAGGAGCACGGGCTCTTGTCTTTTAACTTGCACAAATTATTCTTCACTTCGATGTTCAGTTATGTAGGCGCTCGCCCCCAGCAGACAATAGATGATAGCGGACAAACGACAATTCTTTTTTGGTTTATTGAACAGTATACACGTTAAGGTTGTATTTACAAGACTGGATAATACTACAGAGAAGGAGAATTTCTCCAATACTAATAATCAGCCATTTTCTATGTATTTAAAAATGTTCGTTCAAATTACTAATCTTTCCCTATAAGTTCATGGTTTTATGAAATGAGGGAACCTGTCCTTAACATTTTGAATCTCACCACTGCCTATTGGCTGCTAAATTTCCGCTTCTTGACGCAATAAAATTGTAATAGTTTGTAATAATTAATTCGAAAATTGCTTTCGTATTCGATGATTGGAACTGCGAAAGATTTATGCAATGCAATGAATTTTCTTTCTTATGTTAGCGAAAACGTAGTCCAGCCACACTAGGCCCTCATCATGTTTTAGATTCTTCGTTAGGTATACAGTGTGTTCACATCCTGGGTAGTTTATAAATCAGCCCTCACCCCAATTAGTCAGGCTACATTTCTTTCCAAGACTTTAAAGTTGCTTTGACTCTGAATGTATGTTTGTTGCAGAAGATGTTGGCAATAGTTTAATAATGCTATCTTCTAAGCAGGCAAAGTTACAATGTGAAGGTGAACAACATCTAAATGAAAAAAGGAAACAGTGTAGTTTTTGTGGAGAATATTTTCGTTTTAAGATAAGATTGCATAAACATATGTTGACACATGATGACAAACCTTATATTTGTGAAGTCTGCGGTAAATCTTTCAGCACTGAATGTAGACTCAAGGACCATTCGAAGACACACTTTGGAGTGGAATATCGATGCCCCGTTTGTGATAGAATTTTCAGCGAAAATGCATTTATGAAAAAGCATTTGAAGATTCATATTGTACAGGAGAAGAAATACAATTGCACTGAATGTGGAAAATCATTCAGATTCCAAACAGGCCTGACTAAACATAAAAAAACTCACACTCAGGAAAAAAATCATCACTGCGATATTTGCGGCAAATCATTTAGAAGAAAGTCAGGTTTGACGAGTCATACGAATATTCATTTGCCAGATAATGAGAAGTCATATAAATGCCCAATATGTGAAAAGGCATTTTGGAAAAAGATTCATGTTGATAACCATATGGTAATGCATTCGGATGAAAAACCATTCCAATGCAAAGTATGCTTGAAATCGTTTAAACGGAATCAGTCTTTGACACTTCACATGAGAGTTCATAACAACGAAAGACCGTGCATATGTAAAATATGCAATAAGTCATTCCGGAAACTTGCTCATCTAAAATCACACATGATAACACACACAGGTAAATTTTCAAGTTTTGTATTTATCATATTTACAAATCAGATACTCCCGAAGATGAACAGTATGTGTACCAGTTTAGGCAAAATTTTCAGATACAAATAATACGGAAGTCACTTGGCTAGTCCCCGAACTCGTAAAAGAACTGAAATAAGAAAATTGGAATAAAATTATGGCTTAAACCTAACTTGGTACACTTACTACGTTAGGGTGTCCGCCATCTTGGTTCACATACTTCGAGAGTATCATGAAGCATGCTCCCATCTTAATTGAAAAATTGGAGATATTTCTTTAAAACATTTTAAATCCTCACATACCACAAGTATTGCTAAGATTTATATTGTATAATACGGGCACATAAACATGAATTACCTTGCTGTATTTTTATTGTGTTCTAGGTGAAAAGAAATATAAATGTGATATTTGCGAGAAGAGATTTGGATATATCAACTGCTTGAAAGCTCACATTATTGCAATTCACAATCAGGAAAAAAATTATAAATGTAAAACATGCGGGAAAGAGTACGGGCATAGCAAATCACTATACACACATAAGAGAGTGTGCGTACCAAAGAAACAATGTGGCACAAATATCATTAGAGTTCTATGTTTTACGAATGTACTCAATGTGAACTTGAAGTTAAATACAAACTTGTAATCCAGTCTAAAATTCTTAATAAATTATTTTATTTTTATTGCTAGATTTATGATAATCTTAAACTGCTTATTATGTTAAAATTAAAGAATAACAAATATGGGTGTTTAATACACTGGATACTGTTTGAATTTCTTAACAAATTATTTTATTTCATTTGATTACCAGATTTTATGATTGTTCAATATGTTAAAATAATTATGGCAATGTATTACACTGAAAATTATTTGAGAGTACGGCATTTTTTTTTATACATGTGTGTAAAATTGTTTATAACGAGGTTCAGATCTCTCAACTAAATATGGGAAAAAGGCTGATCGCCGGGAAATACGGCACTCGTTAAAAAGTATTGATAGTGCACTCAAAGACGGTTATAAAAAAAATGTTTTTTTGTGATAACGGGACAATTTAAAAAAAGGTTTGCAACCACTTCTCTAGTTCTATATTAAAATTTCAATCATGAAAAGTTTGTAAGATTAGCAGAAAACCCTTTTTATTTGATTATATATTGAGTAACTGGTACTCCCGTGCTATGTGTACCAGGTTAGGGTTAGGCCATAATTTTATCACGATTTTCCTTATGTTGGTTCGATAACGAGTTCGGGGACTGTCTGTGTTGGCCAAGTGAATATACCCAGTAGTGGGATTCAAATTTTTTCGTCAGCCGGTTTCATCAGACAAATGTCATATTTTTAGCCGGTTCCGTTACAAAAAATGGTTACTTTCATATTGATATACATACTTCTGGAGCGCCGAGTAACTTTGTGTCTTTTGCTCTCAAACAGAGTTGCAGTGTTGGGATTAGCGCGAATCCGTTCTTGGAATATTTCAATGTTACAAATACGTGGCGTCACTTGTACGGGAAATTGTATTTTGAACAAAATTATGTTGACATTTCCTATTGAAACAATTACCTTAGTCTCGATTCGGCTGTGAATGTTTCCCTTGAAGCATTGCTTGGGTTTTTCTAAAAGGTGTGTATGTGCGCTTGAACCTTTGACTGAGAGTGACAGAAGTAGATAAAACGCAGTGTTGGGATTCAGGGGGTACTCAAGGATCCGCGCGAACTGGTTATTGGAAAGTCGTGATAAACCGAGATCTCTTTCTTGTTTTAGTTTTCAGAATAGGTGTCCTAAATATAAATTGAGCCGGCGTACGAGATCTTTCGTAGGTCTTTTAAAGGAGCACGGGCTCTTGTCTTTTAACTTGCACAAATTATTCTTCACTTCGATGTTCAGTTATGTAGGCGCTCGCCCCCAGCAGACAATAGATGATAGCGGACAAACGACAATTCTTTTTTAGTTTATTGAACAGTATACACGTTAAGGTTGTATTTACAAGACTGGATAATACTACAGAGAAGGAGAATTTCTCCAATACTAATAATCAGCCTTTTTCTATGTATTTAAAAATGTTCGTTCAAATTACTAATCTTTCCCTATAAGTTCATGGTTTTATGAAATGAGGGAACCTGTCCTTAACATTTTGAATCTCACCACTGCCTATTGGCTGCTAAATTTCCGCTTCTTGACGCAATAAAATTGTAATAGTTTGTAATAATTAATTCGAAAATTGCTTTCGTATTCGATGATTGGAACTGCGAAAGATTTATGCAATGCAATGAATTTTCTTTCTTATGTTAGCGAAAACGTAGTCCAGCCACACTAGGCCCTCATCATGTTTTAGATTCTTCGTTAGGTATACAGTGTGTTCACATCCTGGGTAGTTTATAAATCAGCCCTCACCCCAATTAGTCAGGCTACATTTCTTTCCAAGACTTTAAAGTTGCTTTGACTCTGAATGTATGTTTGTTGCAGAAGATGTTGGCAATAGTTTAATAATGCTATCTTCTAAGCAGGCAAAGTTACAATGTGAAGGTGAACAACATCTAAATGAAAAAAGGAAACAGTGTAGTTTTTGTGGAGAATATTTTCGTTTTAAGATAAGATTGCATAAACATATGTTGACACATGATGACAAACCTTATATGTGTGAAGTCTGTGGTAAATCGTTCACCACTGAATGTAGACTCAAGGACCATTCGAAGACACACTTTGGAGTGGAATATCGATGCCCCGTTTGTGATAGAATTTTCAGCGAAAATGCATTTATGAAAAAGCATTTGAAGATTCATATTGTACAGGAGAAGAAATACAATTGCACTGAATGTGGAAAATCATTCAGATTCCAAACAGGCCTGACTAAACATAAAAAAACTCACACTCAGGAAAAAAATCATCACTGCGATATTTGCGGCAAATCATTTAGAAGAAAGTCAGGTTTGACGAGTCATACGAATATCCATTTGCCAGATAATGAGAAGTCATATAAATGCCCAATATGTGAAAAGGCATTTTGGAAAAAGATTCATGTTGATAACCATATGGTAATGCATTCGGATGAAAAACCATTCCAATGCAAAGTATGCTTGAAATCGTTTAAACGGAATCAGTCTTTGACACTTCACATGAGAGTTCATAACAACGAAAGACCGTGCATATGTAAAATATGCAATAAGTCATTCCGGAAACTTGCTCATCTAAAATCACACATGATAACACACACAGGTAAATTTTCAAGTTTTGTATTTATCATATTTACAAATCAGATACTCCCGAAGTAAATGAACCAAGATGGCGGACACCGGAACGTAGTATGTGTACCAGTTTAGGCAAAATTTTCAGATACAAATAATACGGAAGTCACTTGGCTAGTCCCCGAACTCGTAAAACAACTGATATAAGAAAATTGGAATAAAATTATGGCTTAAACCTAACTTGGTACACTTACTACGTTAGGGTGTCCGCCATCTTGGTTCACATACTTCGAGAGTATAATGAAGCATGCTCCCATCTTAATTGAAAAATTGGAGATATTTCTTTAAAACATTTTAAATCCTCACATACCACAAGTATTGCTAAGATTTATTTTGTATAATACGGACACATGAATTACCTTGCTGTATTTTTATTGTGTTCTAGGTGAAAAGAAATATAAATGTGATATTTGCGAGAAGAGATTTGGATATATCAACTGCTTGAAAGCTCACATTATTGCAATTCACAATCAGGAAAAAAATTATAAATGTAAAACATGCGGGAAAGAGTACGGGCATAGCAAATCACTATACACACATAAGAGAGTGTGCGTACCAAAGAAACAATGTGGCACAAATATCATTAGAGTTCTATGTTTTACGAATGTACTCAATGTGGACTTGAAGTTAAATACAAACTTGTAATCCAGTCTAAAATTCTTAATAAATTATTTTATTTTTATTGCTAGATTTATGATAATCTTAAACTGCTTATTATGTTAAAATTAAAGAATAACAAATATGGGTGTTTAATACACTGGATACTGTTTGAATTTCTTAACAAATTATTTTATTTCATTTGATTACCAGATTTTATGATTGTTCAATATGTTAAAATAATTATGGCAATGTATTACACTGAAAATTATTTGAGAGTACGGCATTTTTTTTTATACATGTGTGTAAGATTGTTTATAACGAGGTTCAGATCTCTCAACTAAATATGGGAAGAAGGCTGATAGAAAAATTGCAACTTGTATGCAACAATCTCGCGCTATAGAGGTTTATGAAACGGGTAACTGACTAACTAATCTCATGTCCAGACTGTTAATCGGACAAGAGGACGTGAGATATCATATATATGTTTAAGCCAGCCATCATATCCCTTTCCTTTCGCCCAGAGTAACTTTGAGTTTTCAGTGGTTCACTGGTTCCCAACCTGGAGGTCGCAAAGCACTTTTTAGGGGGTCGTAGAACAAAAGAATTCCATGTGCGACTTTTTCTATAAGATCTACCTAGTCAGTGGTGGAAAAAATAGATTCGTTTATAGGCCGAAAAATTAAAAACAAGAAATAATCAAAATCAATTTTTTTTACGGGTGTCGCTGCTCGATAACCAGTCTTGGTTTCTCGCGACTCCTTTTCACCTCGACTTACCAGTTTTTTCCTCTTTTTACATACTGTATTAATTAGTATATGGTACTTCATGTATCGTGGATAAAATAAACTACTGATTACTGATTAAAATATTTGAGGCTTTGGGTTGTTCAATCCCATACAAACTGTCACTTCCCACTTCAGAACACTCTTACCGTTATGACATCTTATCTGTTGACAGCACAGTTATGTTATGAATACTACATTAACTACTTTATTTATTCATTCTCTAACAGGTTTCTAATTTTCCTGGAATATATATATAAAATTAAATAACAAAGACTATGTTTGTAATACATGTCGTGGGAAACGCTTTCTAATGGTAATGTGCAAGTGGCATTTTCGTTTTTGTACGGTTCATGTGATTTATTACAAAAAAATAAATTAATATTTGTGCTGCACGATATGTACTTAATGCGAAATGCTTACGTTATAAATATAAAAGCAAAATACCTCTCTTAATCGGTTAAATTTCTTCCTTGGGCGGAATATTTTCTCAGTTGGGAAGCATCGCCATAGTTGTCTAATTTTACCACTTGGATTATGTGTTGTGTGTGTTGGATTGGGTGGCCGTACATTTGAACCCACGTACATTTGAACCCATGTGTATATCCACGGGTTTAATCCATATGCGGGTGCTAAAACCCATAGGTTAGGGTTAGTATGGGTTCAACTATCCGAAAAACAAAAAAAATTCCATAGGTGCAATAGCATACAGGTGCAATTGTCATGGGTTCAAATGTACGTGGGTTCAAATGTAATGGAACCGTTGGATTGTTATTTGACAAGAAACTTTGCGGTCGCGGAAATTTTGCAGATGTGGCAGCTTCAAAATTTCATCTAATTGTGTTTTTCATTTTATTTTTAATTCTAAGTGCTGCGTGTAAATTGCGTAACTGTAAGGGACCTCGTGTTCATCTTCTAATATCAATTCAATTGTTAATATGGAAAGTTAAAGTCTACAAAAGGCAAACTTTCTATGGAATGAGTAACATGAAAGTACGAGTTATGTATTATTATCATTACCGTATTTTCCGCTACCGCCCAGACCAATTTTGACTCCCGGTATTTTCTGGTCCATGCTAATCAACCCATATAATCCGACTCGCGTAAATCAGTTTGAAAAATTAGGTCCTGTGAATAAATCGACCCAATCGCCGGGAAATACGGCACTCATTAAAAAGTAGTGATAGCGCACTCAAAGGCAGTTATAAAAAAATGGTTTTTGTAATAACGGGACAATTTAAAAAAAGGTTGGCAACCACTTCTCTAGCTCTATATAAATTTTCAATCATGAAAAATTTGTAAGATTAGCAGAAAATCCTTTACATTTGATTAGATATTAAGTGACGGGTACTCCCGAAGTATGTGTACCAGGTTAGGGTTAGGCCATAATTTTATTACGATTTTCCTTATGTTAGTTCGATTACGAGTTCGGGGACTGTGTGTGTTAGCCAAGTGAATATACCCCTGCAAGAACAAAAATAGTTACCTAGATATTGATACACATACTTCCGAAGCGCCGAGTAACTTTGTGTCTGTTTCTTTCATACCTAGTTGCAGTGGTGGGATTAGGGGCGTTCGCGCGAACCTGTTTTTGGAATATCGTGATAATCAGCGAATCCGTTCTTATTTTAGACGTCAGACGATCGCAACAAATGGGTTATGCGCACGCAGACAGATATAACACACTGGGGACAGATATAACAGAATCAGAATACTCTTCATAATCACATGTGTACTAATTTTCTCCACAATGACTTTGATAACAGGCTAAATGAGCATTCGAACGATCCGATATAATCATACCAATTCATAATGTTGTTACATATTCATTTTATGGCGTATTATTGTTTTTGTTTTGTGCGTTTACTGTTTTTAAGAACATTGGCTTCATTGATTACATGAGCCTACATATTTACGAGTGATTAGTCAGATCAGATTGTTTTCATAATTGCCTGAGCGTAGAATTTACCAGCATTGTTTTGATTTTTTTTTGTATGTTTCTGGATTCACTGTACCACATTTTCACCAATGCCAAATCAATGTAGTTTTCATGGTTTTTTGACCCTTCTCGCCACCTTATCACATTATACCTACACACGTTGTCTTTGTATCAGATCGAATTAGTCCTTATTGGCTTGAGTATTTTAAAAGTATACAACACCCCGAAAGTTTATTACATACGCGTATTTTTGTGTGTGTTTATTTTTGGCCCAAGCCTTGTTTATCAAGATTTGTGTTTTTTTTTGTGAATGCGTGTTGGTGAGCAGGCACATGATACTCATCGTGTTTTGAACTTTTTTAAAGGTTTCGCTCGCTCTCCAGAATTCTCCATTTTTAAATTTTCTTGTATTATCATATTGTGCAGTCATCAAAATAAAATATCTATCTATTTATCAGCTGACGAGTAGCGTTATATTTGGGATTTCAAAAGTTTTGTATGGGATTTAGGCAGTGGTGGGATTCAGCCGGTTAGCATCGGTTCTATAGAACCGTCTCACGGAATTTTATGAGATCAGCGAACCGATTAGCATTACTGGTTCCTGTCAATGACTTTTTGTAACAGAACCGGCTGAATTCGAAACGTTCACAGCCCAATGACAACTGAAGTAATTGTTTGATTGGCGCTAATAGGCGCGGCGGTGTGGCTCAACGGGCTAAGCGTTAGGAATACGCTCGCCACCGCACCTCTAATTACTCTGCGTGGGTTCGCAGGTCCGAATCCCATGCAGGGATGATTATGCGCGAGAGAATCGCTAGACTCCTCGCCGTCGTTGGGTGATTCACGTAAACGCTGGTCGGTTACGGCTTCCTCCACCACCAAGTTCATGCTTCCGAAAACAAACAATATAACTAATCCCATATCCGACGTAACCGGACGAGAGGCCGTGGTTCGCCTCTCCCCCGGGATAAATATGTAAATCCTAATAGAAAATGTTCCGACTAATGTGAACATGATTCTGTGCAAAATTGAATTTCCCCAACAAGGGTCGCAGCATATTTACCGGTACATTATAAAAGCAGTCCGTGAAATATTTTAGTCAACATAAATTGCGTTTGGCGGAATGATAAACCATTATTTTTATGAAGTTGTCCACACAGAAATAAAACTCTCCATTGTCATTTTAACTGATATCTCCATATTCTAGTCGTTGATCTTCATTCAGTTCATCACATCTACTTGTCCCTCAAAACACTATGATGCGTGACACTATGATTAATATAAGGAAGCGAATCGCAAAGAAACGACAAAAACAACAGATAAATGATTACTCCTAAAAAAGCACAATTCTACACGTGTTTTAGTGTTGAAAAACTCAAGAACCACAACGGTGGTTTGGCATTTGGTTAACACAACGCTCACAAACCCCAGGTTGAGTTAGAGAAATGGTCCCGTTTTCTTCACTTTCATCCAGTCGTTGCTTTCATCCTATGTTACATGGTGAGATTGACCATGTAGTGCTTTTACTTTTTCGTTTTTTAAAAACCAAATTTGAAGTTTCAGAAACTTCCCCGAATCCCCCGTATGTCTGTCTCGTGTGTCGCCATTTTTGTCTCACAGCGAAGTTCAAATCGAATTACTTTAATTTCCTTTGTGTATAATTACATTTTTTCATGATTGTTTATATACTTTTGACAGTTTTACGTGCTTTAATTTTTGTGGTGATTCTTGCACGATAGAAATAAAATATCTGAATATATAACATTTCAAACGGGGCCGACATAGAAAACATTGCTTATTGTTTCCCATGGCATCATAGCGTTACAGAATTACTGACAGCAGTGATGATACAAATGTCATATTTCCATTACTGATTGTGGTGCAATTTCATTTTAAGTCAGACAGGACGCGATCAAAGGGAACACCAAGGAAGTCCCTGGTGATGCAATGAACCGAATCGATATAAACAAATGAAATCATATGATTACTCTCCTGACTGCTAGTATTCATCCGCATCGACACTATTTACAAAGCTTACTTATTGCTATTTGACGGTATTTTGGGGTTTGAAATGTTAAAATAGCACTTAAACTTGTTGAATATAAATTTATTGATAACCTATGATTAAAATATAGTATAAATTTTGTGACGAGCGTTAAAAATATTTGTTGGTCAGCATTTGAGGAACTAGTTGCCATTATACAAAGTCGACATCGCAGAAGGGTTGTTTCTAAAGCAATGGTAATGGTATGAATTTTGTCTTTATTTTGATTTTTACTATTCATATGTATTGGGGGGAATGGGATTAAATTAAAAAATGATAAACAAAAACATGGAAACAAAAAAATATCTATTTATATATTTATAATAAAATGATTTGATACCAAAATATTAATACGAAAATTCCGTTTGGCATTGGAATTTATTTGGCACAAAAAAAAAAAAAAAAAGAAGATTGTGTCGCAAATTGGGACAGTTGTAAAATACTTTATAGTAATGTAGTCTAAATGCTCCAAATTCTGAAATTACTGAATCTGCATATCCTGAATTTGTCTGTTTAACTTCACTTTTCGTTCCCCATCCTTCGCCCAAAAGGTCAGTGATATTATAGGCGGATACGGTGAAGGGGCATTGCACGATTTTACATCGTGTCTTTATTTATTTAAGATAGATATTTTGTGTTCTTTTGACTGATTTTGGTGGACGGGCACGTACTTGTATGCTTTTAACTTTTTTTTATTAAGTTATGCCCGTCCTCCAGGTCCTCTGCATTCTGTTTGTTGTTGTTTTGTTTCTTTTAGAGTGACCAAAATAAATTGATTGATTGAAGGACAAAGAAACAAATGTAAACAGATAAATATTGTCGGACTATAAGGGCGTGATATTGTTCTGATTATTGCTGTTCCGAATTAATTTTGGACTTTTACATTATGGGCTGTATTGGTACAGCTGTAATTAATTCTGTAAATGGATGGTTGGTGACTTTGTCTGTTTGTGACTTCTTGCAATTTTTCAATAACAGAAATATGCAATTTGTCTACCAGGTATTTTATTGTTGAGTATACTGTGGTTGACTGATTACAGTTACAAAATTATTAATATGGTTTGACAAAATTTATTTTTTTATTTTGTTTGTATATTTTCTATTTACTAAGGTATATATCTTATATTCTTATGTTTAGCTTTTCTCTGTTCTAATTTTATTCAACTTGCTGATTTGTGAACGAGCATGTACCACGTCTTACGTTTTAAATCTTACTCAAAGATGCTTGATTGCTCAATAGCACACCTTGCTATGCTGGTTGCCTTAACATTTCGATTTGGCTTAGGATAGCATGTACATTTATATCTGTATATATTTCATGAAGCTACGACGGCCCTGACTGTGGAATAGTTCAAAGCCTGTATACTATATCTGTATATACTTCGTTAAATCGGGTCTGGTGTAGTTTCGTACCTAACATACTTCTAGTAAGCGAAGCATAACAATTTTTCGATATCCCAATCCTAACCCCCATCTGATTACGCTATCCAAAAATATTTTTCATGTTTGGAAAGCATCTCCTATTGCTTGGTTGTTAAACTTTTAATTTATTAGCTTTTGTTGAAGGCACTTGAAATAAAATGTTCTTATCATTTGCTTTATATTTAGTCCTTCCATTTTTGAATATAGAACGGAGCTTAATAACACCAGTCATCATTTCTAGGTTTCCTTTCTATAACATAAATCATTAGCATTTGCTGGTTATTTTCAAATAGTTCGAGAAATGTGTTACTGCAGTACTGTGTTACATTGAACTTCTGGGGAATGTGCATGCACTTGTCCATGCCTGATTTTAATAAACTTGTATCAATGCAATCTATATATGAATAGCCTCTTTTACGTGACTAGAGTTCTTTATTCCAAGCCAGAGGTGGATAATTACCTTATTACAGGTTACAGTAGACTTGGTTACTGGGCCGTAGGCTCAAAAAAAAAAAAAAAAACATTTCATTTACAAAAGCTAGTCCAACAGCTAGGCTAACGTTTATTCAATAATAAGTAGCAAAAGTAACAATCGTGGTCATTATGACGTTGTTTTTTCGATATTACCAACAGAAATTTATATTCATAAAAAACTATAGTCGTAATTTTAGCAATTACAAATAGGTCCGTTAAAACACTTCGATGGTTCGGATCTGGCCCGCGAGCTATAATTTGCCAACCCATGTTCTAAGCTGTTAATTTCTACTTCAGATATCTATATAGGAAGCTAATTATAACTCGTTGCAGTAATTCACTGCGTTGTTTGTTTGAGCGTTATCATCAAAGTTATTTCAAGATGAAGTGGGTTTACAAAGAAGAACACAATTTTGAGAAGAGACGAAGTGAAGGGGAAAAAATAAGAAAGAAGTATCCTGATAGAGTTCCTGTGAGTTTTATTCATGGTTTAAAATAAATAACTTTTTATTCCCAGGTTTTGTTCCACTTAATGGTGTGTGACAGATTCGTATATTATTATTTGTTAAATATTATATTGATTTATAGTTTAACAAACAATTAACAGCTGGACTCTGATAAATCCTCTCTCTGGCAATGGGTTCCACTTGTGTGCTTCAAGCAATACTGGAGAATAATATTGTTATTTGCCCCCCTAAGATTACTATATAATACTGTAATATGATGTTATAGGTTTTATCTTGTTTTAAGTAGCAGATTAAGTTGAGCTATGATAAGTAAGTTTACAAATATACTTTGTGACAAAATTTCTTATATTTTTACCAGGTAATTGTAGAAAAGGCAGAAAAATCAAAGATTGGAGATTTGGATAAAAAGAAATATCTTGTTCCATCAGATTTAACAGGTAGATTTATTTCAAGATTGTCCAATGTTGTTATGAACCAAAGCTTTTACTTTATGTGCTTTTACTAGCGCAGTGGTTCTTGAACTTTTCGTAACCCCCTTTCAAAGACTCTCACCATTTCATGGCCACTTGCTCTTCAAATAAAATTTTACAGACCATGTGCTAGTCCAAATAAAACTAGTGACCATGAAGTCTTGAAAAAATTTCTAAAATTGCAAAGGGAATTTATCGATGTCTTATTGATTTGGCACTCACAAATGTATTAGATGAAATAAAAATGAAGTAAATAAACAATTACTGATTAAAAAAAAAACCTGGTTATGATTGGTTAAGATATATTGAGAACTGACCTCATAACAGTATTGGAATTGTAAAGGGACTTTATGGACACCCTGTATATACAATATTGAGCATAAAAGCCAGTTTGGGTACAAGTAAAGGTAATCCTTCTATAAACACACAGAGTAGGTCTCATCCTATTAAGATTGATGTAATTAGATCACACGCTGAGACCAAATCAATTAATTTAGATTATCAATAATTATATATATATATTGATCAGATCATAATGAAACTGAAATAAGGTATCACAGCTTCCACCCAACTTAATTTTTATTGAACCTTGTATCGCCTACCCTTCCATGATTCGATATGGAAGAATTCAATAATTTAAAATGCACTTTATTTTGAGTATTTTCTTAATTAATATTCTTATTAATGGTAGCAGGGGGTATTCCCGTAGTGTGTGTACCAGTTTATGGTTAGGCCATAATTTTATTCTGATTTTCCGTACTTTAGTTCTATCACAAGTTTGGAGACTGTCTGTGTTAGCCAAGTGAATATACCCCCTGCCCGTAGATTTTAGTCACTTTAAACAACTTGATGTAATGTAGGCAAACAAAATTAGTTACCTCCATATTCTGGAGCGCCGATTTAGGTGATCTTTGTTATACTATTCACAAACCATCATAAGACTAAGTCACATGACATGGATCTGAGTCATGCTTCAATAATTATGAATAATCACATATACATCACTGAATCATACTCAAGTAAATTATTGATGGTCAAATGTTTGTTCATATCTTGTTTATAAACGGCCCATGCTTGAAAATAGTTTGAACTAAAGATCAATTTGGTGTCAAAAGTATGTCTCATTGTATCGATGGATTGTGATGTGACAATCACAACATACCGGCTCGCAGACAGCTGTAGGTGATTGTGCAGCGTATACAATCACTACTTAGCTTTGTGATATTCAAACAAATTGTACAAACTTCCTTGTACTCGTCTATGTTATATACACCAGTGGTTCCCAACCGTTTTTTCTAGTGACCCAAATTTTGAAAAAATTAAATTTGTAAAATCTGGCAACCCAAGGTTATGCTCAAATACTAAACGTCATGTAGTACTTTTATGGCCGAAAAATTGAAGAACTGATATAAAATAAAGTGAGAAAGATGCGCTAGTTTGCCCTCAGCGAGGTTTTGAAATCGTGGCGTAGTTTTCTGAAGCAAAACACGAAAATGCTTCACGTATACAATTGCTATTGAGCAACACTTTAATACCCACCGGTAATATAAAATACACAATAAAATTTACTTCAAAAATTAAATTAATAACTTGTTGGTTTTTGCAAGACAGAAATTTTGCCTTACATATTGAAGTGGCGCGCGGAGAAATATTGAAAAACAGAAACGGTCAGTGTGCGCTATCGAAGCAATATTTTTTGTTGTGTTCGTGATAAATATATTATATAAAAATATTTTTTGCCGAAAATTACTGATGCTGTGTCTGTGTTCAGCCAGCCTTGAGCAAAACAAAATAAATGCTGCATATTTTTCACGCTGTGATACTTTTCATGCATTTAAGCAACACTTCAATACCAGATACAAAATAAACAATAAAATTTACCCAAAAATGAAACTATCAACTTTTGTTTTTTGTTGAAGAAACCAAGTTTTGGGTGGCAACAAATAGGTTGGGAAACACTGATATATAACTATATACTATGTTACAGCATTCTAAATTTTCCGATGTAAATCAGACCTTTTAATATTTTTAATTTTTGTTCAGAAAAGAGTACTGCAAAAAATCAAAAATTTACATGAAAGCATGTTTTTTTTTTTTTTTCTGCATTAGTAAATACATTCTAATTGTTTGTTCAAATTTTTTATCCACCTTTTCAGATAAGGAATATTTAATATTCTATAATTAAAAATATTTTTTATTAAAATAGATAAGCAAACACCAAACAGTATCAGCTTTGAAAATCTTTTCGTTCTTGTATACATCATTACACATCAGCGGAACTTAGCAAGAATACTACAAGAATAATAGTTCAAATTTATTGATTTGAATATGCAAACTGTAAAGTAAAAATTGTCATAAAACGTGTTGCTATACTATAACAATAAGTGGTAAAATAGAAATGTCTAACATTTAATCTATTTTTTTGAACTTTTATTATTGCCATGTTTGTGGCGCCACAATTTTATTTATCACTTCTTTATAACACTTATTGTTGATTTCTCATTCTGATCAAGCGTTAATATTACTGTGATTTTCATAAACAGCTCTAAATTTCACTAACGTGTTAAGATTTCCTTGGAGCTTTATAGATAGTCAACAGTGCTATTTTTATTTGTTAATTCTTGGTTCAGCATGGGATTCATTCTATCAGATATTTTCTGTTTGGAATTTCTGAAACATCTTAAATTTCAATAAATCAGGAATACAATGTATATAAATAATGTTAAGTGTATTCGATTTGTTTTGGATAACCATGCTTATGTGTTTTCTTCTTTATGATATTTATTACAATTTTTCAGTTGGCCAATTCTACTTTCTCATTCGCAAACGAGTCCATCTAAGGCCCGAAGATGCTCTGTTTTTCTTTGTTAATAATGTGATTCCACCAACCAGCACGACCATGGGACAACTGTACCAGGTTGGTTCTTTTTATTTGTTTTGTATTTTTTTGCTGGCATTGTAATGGGTATTCCCATAGTGTGTGTACCAGGTGAGGGTTTCGCCACAATTTTATTCCGATTTTCCTTATTTTAGTTCTATTACGAGTTCGGGGACTGTCTGTGTTAGTCAAGTGAATATACCCTCTGCCCATAGGCTTCAGTCCCTTTACACAACTTGATAAGAAGTAAGCGAACAAAATTAGTTCCCTCCATATTGGTACACATACTTCTGGAGCGCCTTGTAATGTGCTTATTCGAGGAGTTGGATTGCTTAGTTTTCGTTAAAATTGTTTGCGTCAAGCGATTGGAAAAAATATGCATTTTATTAATTTATATGTGATTTTGTATATTTTCTGTTAATCATTGATTGACATATTCTGCCTTTTATTTATCTGCTTCTGCAATAAACAGCTTCATGACGTGTTGTTTTCGAACATTGTTAAACGTTCAAACAACAAAATTGCATATGTCATAGTTTGTTAGACTATTTTCTAAGCTACATGAAGTTGATAGCACTATACAGAGTATTTAATTTGTGTAAATAGTTTCACAAAAAGAATTGAAAACTGCAGGTATTATGAATGCCTAAGTAATATAACTATATTTTTTCAGTTTAATACTGATAGATATGCAAAACAGTCACCTGCAGTATCAGGTTATTACATTATTGCCTAGTTAGTATTTTGGCGCTTTCATAGTATGTGAACCAAGATGGCAGACACCGGAACGTAGCATGTGTACCAAGTTAGGATTAGGACATAATTTTCCAATTTTCCCTATTTTAGTTCTATTGAGAGTTCGGGGACTAGCCAAGTGACTCCCGTAGTATTTGTACCTGAAATTATGGCCTAACCCTTACCTGGTAAACATACTATGTTTCGGTGTCCGCCATCTTGGTTCACATATTACATGAGTACTAGTATTTTTTACAGTTATATTTGTCAAATTTTTCCTAGAAAAATAACCAGTAAATATTTTTATATTACCAGGAACATCATGAGGAAGATTTCTTCCTGTATGTTGCGTACAGTGATGAAAGTGTATATGGTGCATAAACAAGCATTTTTCTGATGACTAAGATTTCTGTTCTAAGTTTTTATCTCTCTTTGTAATTATTATTGTCTTCATTTTTATCCAAATTTTAAGTGGGCGCGTCAGGTGTGTGTCTTTCCTAAATCCACAGTCCTAAATTTCTTTGTTTTTAAATCGCAATATAACGATAAGAAAGTGTATTTACTGCCATCCTTTATTAAATAGTGATGAAATGGTTATTTTTTTCCATTTCTCACACTGGACTGGTAACCGCGTGCGAATTGATCAAATTTTCTTTTCTTATTCTTGATATAAATTTGGAATCCCATTCTTGATATGTCCGAAGTAAAATGTGAGCAGTTTTAGAAAAAAAGTAACTTTCCAAGACATTGTATATCTTTCGTTTTCATCACACACTTGGCCCTATTATATTCAGTCCAACTTTTGAATGCTTGATTACAAAAAAATATTTTTTTATTCATTTGATAATAGATGGTTTGAATGTTAGAAAGCTATATAGCAATTTGCACCAACGTGCTGCAATTAACAAACCCTCGAATATTGTGACTTTATAACAGCTCTTTGTAATTGTCAATTTACATTTTATTATTTCTCAATATGATAGGTGTGAGCATTTCTAATTCTGTTCATAATTTGATTCTGTTACATACCGACCATTGATCGCCCACTTCATTTTTTTTGCTATTTTCGCTGCCCTTGTATATTAATGAAACATTAGAATTTGTAACATATTTTATTTTGTGATTTGTAACATTAAGTTTGAGACTTGTTCTATGTTTCTAAGTTCTAATGCTATTCATTCTCGTGTTATTTCAAGAAAAAATCCCATATCATTCTTTTCCCACTGAGATAGTCTGTTGTATAATTCACATTAATAAGCCAATGCTACAGTCAGACTTGACCATTCCAGATCTCCAATGAATAAAATCATAAAGTCCTTTTAAGTCATTTCCTTAACACCCTTGACCTGCTGCGGCTTAATTTTTTTTGAATTTTACATGTATATTGTCACAATTCCTCTTCACTTTCCGAATTTGCCTTGTTTGACACGTTAAGTTTTGAATTTGTTAGTGATATTTCCCCAAATTTAAGTATTACCACCGGTCTTTGTTACCTGAACTCAGATTTTGAAAATATCAGCTCTTAAATATGGATCGAAGAATAATAAAAAGTAGGATGGTCATGCTACTGAGATAACATACTGTAATTATTATTGATATTTGTATAATATCCCAAATTGGGGTTTATAATCAGTTTTTAAATATTGTTGGATTGTGAATTGGATGATGATTAAAATTAGAACATGTAACTTAGATTACTGGTATAGTATCTTATTTGAATTAGAGTTTGACAAAATAGCGCATGCTAGTTCTATATCTACATCACTATTTAATCAAGACAAGTTTTTATTGGCATTTCAATGACATGTCCTATGTCCATCCATTCTGCACTTATCTTATCTTGGTGATCTCTTCTGTTCTTTGTGGGCTATTTCTTTCAATACATAGATGTGTCAATATTGTACATAAACTCTTGTTTTGGTGTGTTGTACAGTTTTATCATTGAGAAAGAATTTCCACATATCAGATACTGTTAGTCTGAAGTGTGAGAGATCGCAGTGACATAGCTATAGGTGTAAGGGGTTGTGTCACTCCATTTGGAGAATTTGTTTCAGGTGCTGATTATATAAATTTACCAAAGAAGATATAGACAGAGAGGGCTGAAGCGACCATATAGTAGTAAGTCAACTCTCTCAAAATTAGCAAAGAATAGTCTTTATAACTATAAGTAGACATTATGTGAGACACGCAACCCTACCTCAACGCCTTTGTGCTAGTGGAGACGTATGCGTAAAATGCTGTAGCTGGAATTGTTTGGTCACAATCTGAGAATTCAATTAACAAATTCATTTATCGCCATATTTAAACTGCATGATTGTTTATTTCCCGATCCGTGTGAGTAAAATGCAGTAGCTGGAATTGTTTGGTCACAATTAATCCGAGAATTCAATATTGAACAAATTTATATATCGCCTTAACTGCATGATTGTTTATTTTGTTGACATTGTTGTCTGTTTGATTTTGGTCAGACGAGATGTTATAGAAATACATTTGTGTTAGTGGCACCAGGATTTTTGAATGGCATAGGATTGTCTTTAGATGTCATATTTCTGAGGATGCACGATCAAGCCACCTTGCAGAGAGTGTTGCAGTTCAGGCTTTTTACCATATCACAAAGTTAATGAGAAGTAAAATTTGATTTTGCACAGAACAGGTTAGCTTAGTTTCACGACATTGATGAACATTCAATCTTACCCAACAGCCAGATCTCACACCAACAATTTACAAAAACCTACAAAATTTATTCCCAAGCAATCCCAATGTACTGTACATTGGAAAATACAAGTTACAGAGCAAGGTAGTGTCGACCATTGGTCACTAGAGTCTATCACGAGCCTGTTAGATAAAGGTATTGTTTGAAATTATTCAATTCTCTTTGGTCCTGATTCTACTGTAGCAATCAAGTGAATAAACCTGGAAAGATTATTTACAAGAGCAACTAATGAGTAAAACATGAAAATTTCTCAACAAAAAAAGATGTCATACAACAGGCGAGTCCGGACGCTTAAAATTCTGCTGTACACAGGGTGTCCATAAAGTCCCTTTCAATTTAGTTATGAAATCAGTTCTCAATACATCTTAACCAGGTTTGTTATTTTTTAATTAATTATTGTAAAGTATTTTTACTTCGTTTAATACATCTGTGAGGGCCAAAACAATATTAGGTCTCGATGAATCCCCTTTGCAATTTTAGAAAATTTCAAGACTATATGGACACCCTGTAAAAAGCAATCTCAGAGACTCATGGAGAATCCGAACCCACAATTTCTAATGAAATCAAGTTTTCATTTCATATATTTGTCTCCTTGTTCTGCCAGAATTTTCGCTGACGATTTTGCATCGAAAAATAGTTCATTTATTTCTTCCACGTCTTCCTTGGTTATCGCGTCTTTGCCGTTAATTCGGGCCAAGATACTGGAGGGTGTCAGGAGTTGAGTGACATACCTGGAATATAAATCAGAATACCTTAATATATTAGACATACAGAAAATTTTCCTGAATTTCGATTGTTCATATTATTGAGGCTCTGTGGATCCACCCAGAGTCATATTTTTCAAACTTTAAGCGTCAGGAGTCTATATTTTATATTTTGAAAAACTGGAATTTGTTCCCGCATTTATTTAACATAAAATTTTTAACGTACACAAATGAGGATACGCTTAAGTTTAGATTTGGAATTTTTGTATACCTGCCACCATGTGTCAGTGCCATTTTTTTCATGGATTTTGAATCAGATAGAACTTAATTGTGAAAAAAACAAAAAATAAATAAGCATATGATGTTAATCCGAATAACTAATGAAATATCACAATGCACACTCAATCACTCATGCAAACTATTTACAGGGTTTTCCACATTTATGTTATCTTTATAAAAGATAAACTAATCCACAGTACAAACCTAAGTGACGTCTTTCCACCAACTTCTCCAAGTTTTTGTAAACCATCCTCTGTGACTTGAATGCCTTCTACCTTTGCCCTGATACCAATGATGCTGACCTGTAGAGTGTTGAAAACAAATCAAGGTTATTAATTTAATCAGGATTCCATACAATCTCAAACAAATACAGTATACACAGGACTTTTCAGCCCAGAAACATATATCTCATGAATGAAGCTCAGACCAGTATTTCCCAACCTATGGGTCGCCTGAGGATTTTTTTGAGTCTATTGTTTTTCAACAAAAACCTAAAGGCTAATAATTTTATTTTTTAGTAAATTTTGTTTATATTATTTTCAGGTACTGCATATCCTTGAGTCGTGAGATTTTACAAAATTAATATCTTAGAAAAGTAACTTGAAAAAAAGGTTTGGAAACTGCTACTCTAGACCAGAGATATGGCCACTGATATGCTTTCAAAATATATCAAAATTAACCTACCGTATATACTCGCCGATAGGTCGCCTTAATTTTAATTCAATTAATTTTTTATGGAAAAATTTTGCGCGTTATACTCGAATAAATATGTTATATCCGTCTAATAAGCCGACCCCAGAAAATTAGGATGAAAACGTAGGTCCTGAAAATCGGCTTATTCGCCGGAAAATATGGTACTTGCAATAGCCGAAAACTTTCAATTTAGTGACTTAGTGACGATTTGCACTCATGTCAAGCGGATTGGTCGCACCTATATTTTTTTTTGAAAATATAAGGGAAAAATTGCGACCTATCTGCGAGTATGTACGGTACCCAATTTATTACATTATGTAAAAGGAATGAGATTTGAACTAAAATATTTCTGGGGCCGCAAATCCCGAAAAAGGGAAAATTCATTATTTAGTCATTGGACACAAAGTGGACTCTTGTAACATTTGCGAAATTGTTGTTGTTAGAATAAAAAGTTTCTTCAGTGGAAATAAAAATTTTCAGCAGTGAAACATGAATCAGGAAGAGTTCTTTTATTTTGTGTTATATTATTTTATTTCCCAACCCACTTGCCCCGATAAACCTTTCATCTCTCTTTTGTTTGTGTACAAGACAAGAATACAAGACATGTTTAAAGCTACTCTACACTCTCTAAAAAGACAAGCACACGTGACACATCCTTAGTTTGATACTGACCATTTCTTCATATGTGTATATCAAAGTCTTGATGATCATAATTCTGTCGAGTAAATCAAGGGGAATTCCATGAGGAGCCACAACATCTTCCGTACCCCTGAAAATATCAAATTTTATGTATAAAAGTTGGAAGATTGGAATAACAGAGAAATTGGGATTAATTACGCATATCTTGAAATAGAGTTTGAATGATACCGCGTTTCCCCAAAAATATGACCTAGCCTTGAAATAAAACCTAGTCGATTGAGCGAATTATTTTTGCTTAAGTTGCAAGAAATCTCTCCTTGGCGTTTTAAATGATTAATAATCTATGTTTAGCGATTATTTTAAACAAATTTGAATAAAAACGTGCTATTTATAAGTTAATGGATATCAATTTTTGTATTTGAAAATCTCGAAATTCTTTACTTTGTAATTGTTTTTGATGAATGACAATTGGAAGTCTGCTACCAAGGACTCAACTTGATTTTGTTGCTGGCTTGCTGCACTTTACCATAATGAGAGATGATCTGGTGGTGGTGTGGTGTGTTAATATTCGAGTTTGAACTCGCACAAACCCAGGAAAATCAATCCCTGATTATAATCGAAATTGATTACATTCGCTGCATTTTGAAGTTTTTTGCAGTAATACTCAGGGTGTGCCGTCATCAAAATCGCGAAGTGAAGTGTTGAATTTGCGAATTCCATGAATAAAATTATGAATTTCTCACCAACCATTTAAGCTATAAAAATGGTATAATGAAGTAACAGACACCACAATAAAGTCAATTATCGTCTTAATAAATATCTGCATCTCGGTGTCGATAATGATATTAAAGTTCACTTAAAACAGGAACACTTAATTTACAAACATTGATGAGTAAGATTTTCTCCACCCCAATCCATGACCAACACCGGACTCTGGGTGGAGTAAATTGGGTAATTCGAGCTAAATTCCAAATGTAGTCTATGGCGAAACCTGTATGGGTCCTTGTCCAAAAATATAAATTATCTAACATAAAACTTATTTACCTTATAGTACAGTGTCCTCTGTTTGTAGCAAAGATAACGATAGGGCTGATCGGAGACTCGAGAGCGCGATGCAAATACGTGAAGCATTCGATATCCAACATATGAACTTCGTCGATGAATAAAACACCTGGAACAAGTTCCGCTATTCCCTGATCAATGTACTTATTGACAACTTTGTTGATTTCAGTTCGAAGTTTGTCTGGAAGGAAGGAATTACTTTTTATTAGTTGTAAAAATGATAAAAACATCTTGGTGATACATTTAAAAAGTCATATTTGGCATATTGTCGTATTTTTGGACTAAAATTTATTTAGTACAGGAAATACCTAGATGATAGATCATATAAATTAAAGATTGATGGTTTTCAACCATTTCCAATATATGACGAATGCATTAGTTGGCAACAATTTCAAACGAATGTAATAGCTGTCAAAAATTATGCAAAATAGCCAGAATTATTATATAGGCCTATGTTGAGCAATATTGCTAATATTGTTTCTTGGTGTCCAGTAAACTGACATGAAAATGACTTAGGTATTCAAAATAAAAGTGGAAAAAAGAAAAAATATATATCCCGAGAGTCGTTTACAAGCACAGTTATGAATCTAGCGATTAGTCTTAAGAGCGGGGCCATAAGGTCTCATAAAAAGTTTGTCTAATTTGTGTCCCCCAAAGACCTGGAGGGGTATGTGAACTCGGTAAAAAAACCTTGCCTAGATAGTGATTTTGCTAATGAAATTTGATTCATTCAAAATTTGGAATAAGAAATCTCTCGGTTATCATTTTAACGAGTACTGCAATAGGCAATGACTAAGTTGAAGACAAAGTATACCTGTGATTTCAGTTTTCTTAGGTTTCATTAACTGACCCATCATTGACATGACGTCTTGTCCACCTTGTGGTCGGGCATTCGCAACGTCAAGATCATGTAACGTCACATCTTGAATAACCTGCGCATATAAAGATTTTAAAAATTGAAATCTATTTTCATACAATTGGTTCCATATAAAATGCATTAAGTGCTAATTGGGCATTAGGATGGCTTGGCTCACATCTTGAATGGCCTGCGTTCATAAATTGTGTAATAACAGACAATACAGTTGGTTCAATATACAATGAAATCAGTGATAATTTGGCTTAAAAAAGTTAAATACAAAATAATTTACGGATTCGAAGATATAATTTACAAATCTGGACTATCAAGTAATCGTAAAAGATTTTAAAAAAACTTTCAGAAGAAGCATAAAACAAATTTATTGCATCACTATCACCATGGCAACAAGATCCTTTGGACATATTTTCTAATTTATCACTGATTATTTTGTTCAATACTGTGACCATAATTTCTTTCAGAAGAAAGGAAAAAAGACTGATACCATCTGGCACCGCATTTGGTCAGGTATGAGAACACCTAAGCGAGCTAGGATGTGTAAGGAGGTATTACAATAGTAATAAGAACATCATACCTCTCTTTTCTTATGAACGTCTCCTTTAGGTAATGGAACATATTCTTCTGCTTCTAAATCATACTCTGTTGCATATGTATCTGATCTTCCTTGTCTCTGAAATAAAATCAAACAATCGAGATGAAAGATAATTTTTTAATTTCTTTTAATAAATGCTCGAATCTCTGCTTTAACTAAGGCTCTGCATATTCAGCCATCTAAGAAGTTAATGGGTTTGAGAAGATTGGAATTTTTCTGCCACAGACCGACCCAATTTCTTACACCATAAGGTGAGCTGATAATTAGAAAACCAATTTTTGAACTTTGTGGTTTCAATTATCCAAAAATGACGTCTCTAGACAACCACTTCAACCATTTTTATGTGTTTCATTTCATGATGGTTCATCATGAAATTGGACCAAATGGAGAGTTTTGCCATAAATCATATCATGAATCCCATGTCAATTATTAAAATCTCCATAAAGAGATATTTTTTTAATAAGGTAAATCAAAATGTAGAACAGCCTACCTTAACTGCACCATTATTAGCTTCAATATAAATAACATCGCCGACTTCAACTTTATCTTTTTGTATATTTTCATAAATCGAAGGATCAAGTTTTAGTTGTTTTGTTCCTTTTGCTGTTTTTAAACCAATCACTACATGGCTGATTGTCTTCCCATATCCTGAAAATTTAAAATCATTTGTAAATTATGATTATGTCATAATATTTTCAGCTATGTAGTAACAAGATGTTAGTCACTAATCTATTTAGTTTATGTCCTGGTCAAATTTACATAACTGGTTACCCCCGCCATAATTTTATTCCAATTTCCCTTATTTTAGTTCTATTCTGAGTTTGGGGACTGTCTCTAGGCCTGATTACATGTCCGCTGGAACCGGTCTAGCAGACCACATATTCACGCTTCAGTGGTTCGCCTCTGATTCAAATCCGTGCTATCGGTCCAGAACATCAGACCTCCTATTTAGGAGGTCTGAAAGTGAGCTAACCGGTCTTGCTCAGTTGCTTCGCCGTGCTACTCGAGAAATCGTGAATCACCGTGATCGAAGGGATACGGCAGTTGTTTTCTTTTTGATCTCTGGTAAGTGAGTTGCTTTTTTAAACTAATCAAAATTCAGCTAGATAGGGCAAGTTTAATTTAAACATCTTCCGCATCTATTGTGTCGCTGCTGAACACAAATTTAAAATACCGGTACTGGTGGGATCCCGGCATATTGACATGATAGGTTGTTGTTTTGAAACAGAGAATTAAATCTTGATGTCTAAAGATTTATTGGTATAAACTGAGCGCAGTACGACTTCAGTTTGCATTGAGAATTCTTTTGGAATTGCACTATACAGCCATACCGCATCCTAGCTGGTACCGGTACCCTTACTGTACATATCGGTACCAGCATAAATACAAAGCTTCAGTGTCGGTAAAGTTGCAGTAGTAGGGCGATATTAAATAATGAAAGTGCTTCTGTTTACATATGATGAGCCCACTTCACACAAGTGTTTGGTTGATAAAATGTAATTGTTTTAATTTGGTTGCCAGTCTCAGTAGACTGCTGGTAACTGTAGGCCTACTATGATTTTTGAATGGATCGTGTGGCGTAAGATGCCAGTAGTCTGCAGCTATCTTTTATGCCCTCAATAAATTCGTCGTTTTGTTCTTAGATTGTGGGCAAATTTCAACGGGAAAGCGACCCCTCCCTCATCATATTCTGCAAATAACTTCAAAGAATTTCAAGAACGTGCATTTAATTTTGATGCTTTAATTAACATTTGTATTGAATTTATGAATTTATTGAAAATAAAATATATGCAGTGTTTGCAAATCATGACTTATTTGATTTAACCTGGCAACTCCAAAACTGTTTTCAGCTTGTTAGTTTGGACATGGAATCGAGGCCACTAAGTAGTCTCCGAGACCACGTTGACCGAACCGGTTCGCTGGACTGGTTTTGATGGACATGTAATCAGGCCTAATGTTAGCCAAGAGAACATCCCCCCTGGCCTGCCCATAGGTTTCAGTCCCCTTATACAACTTGATGTAAGTAGGTGAACAAAATATCAATGGACCAATTTGAAACAATAGCAAGTTCAGCAATAATCTTGGACATAAATATTCCCCACAACATACAAATCTTGACCTGCGTATAAGATGCTGAGAGATATTTAGAGTTTTCAACACTAAGCTGACCTCTGCGTTGATCATGAGTGGACCGAAAGGGAGACAGATCGTTAAAATTGATGTTGTCATGTCTTTAATTAGATTCCAAAAGCGTTTTCATCTTTTTGGCTATACCACAAATATTTTTCAAACATCGGCAATACTGTGATTTGTAACTGTATAAAAAGCGACTGGCCGTATTCTTGATGCGTCTCGGGCCGAATTTTTTCAGGTGAGGGCCGGATCACAGACAGTAGATTGCCTAACATTAATAATATAACAAGTGGCGCATCCAGAGGGTTGGCGATCCATACCCATTTAAATGGCGATTCATTTAAAGAGATATTGGGAAAGTATTTAGCGGGTCTGGTTAACTATTTATATCATACTATATAGGGGTACAAAAAGTCGATTTGGACCAGTGGAAATAAAAGTTTAAATAGTACCCCATCAAGTTCATACTCAAACAAATGACGTTGGTTGATGATTGCATTTTTATAGCCTTGCACAAAAAAACTTCTACTATTAAAATTGTTGGGGTTGGGTGGAAGCTTGTAGAATAACTTAGGGCTTCGGTAGGTTCGCAAAGGTTAAACCACTGTATTAGACCAATCGCTTCAATTTTTCAGTATTTAAAGATGTGGGTGTCTTTCAAAAGGTTACTTTTACATTTTTTATGTTTTAAGTTTTGCTATTTTTCCAAAACTCTTTACCTCCCATAGGATTCTCGGTTTCATGTGGTGTAACCTCAGTAACTTCTCCTTCATAAACTTCTTTGGTTTCTTTGATTCGAAGTCCGATTGCTCGTCGAAAATTTTCCATCAAAACTTCAGTTTTCTTGATTTCTGTTGAGTAAACTTCACTACCAACCATAGGACAGAACGGAACCTAAATAATTGATGAAAATATATTTAGTTTAACAAAGCTTATGATCGAATTCTTATTTCATGTGCTTTAGGGCAGGGCTTCCCAAACGAGAGGACGCGACCCCACAGTGGGCGGCAAAACAAACTTTAGGGGTCGCATAAAGTGTACCAATTTCACACAAAGCGATTTTGAGAAAATAGACAGGATCAGAGAAGTAGCATGCTTGCATAACAATGACAACTAAACAGAGGTCGCACTAAATTCTAATACATCGTAAGGGGTCGCAAGCTTAATTAAAAGTTCTAGAATCTCTGCTTTAGGGAGACCGAAAGCAAAGTTGCAAAACTCTGTATTACACCATGGCGGGTTGTTGGGATTGGGGTGAAAAATAAGTTTTTGACAGATTTCTAAATGCAATTCTGTAAGTTTTTCTTCCGGTTTAAATAAGATAAATTACTTGGAGTAAGATCAGAAGATAAGTACAATACTCATTTTGATTTCCCTGGAACATAAAACCATGCAAAACAACACAATAAACACACACTAAATTGAGAAAATCGGGAAAACTGGCAAAACCTCATTTAAGGTTTATTAAAACACGTAGAAACACATGTGTATACCCATATTACACACACAAACAAATATCTTAAAAAATATAAAAAACACAAATGCGTGTCGCTCGGGCATCTAACTTTGGTAACATAAACACACTGCAGACACGGGGATTCCAATTTAAAACTGCTTATATAAGATAGATACTGACTATATCCAATTTGAATTTAGTCCTTTGTAAGACATTACTGCAAAGCAAGAACAAACCTTGTTTCCAAGTTCTTGTGCGATGGCCAAAGCAAGAGCTGTTTTCCCAGTTCCAGGCGGTCCAGCTAGCAGAATTCCTCGTCCAGCCATTTTCTTACTTCTAATCAACTCCACAACAATGCCGCATGCCTGAAAGAAATCAAGTATGACAATATATAGCAGAATGATGGTTTTGTATCAGCATATGTCAGTACGACACAGTTCGATGATTTCAAGAATAGATTGAACGACATCAATTATAACAGTGATTGCGAAGCCATCCTGAGCCTCCATATTGGCAAAAATCAACAAACAGGCACTGCGCAACAAACTAAAAGGAAGTGCAATCTGAAAATGTTACCATTGAAATCCTCGAAAAAAAAATAATGTGATTTACTGAAGGAAAACAAATTGTATCGTAGCATTCATGAGTTTTTAGCAAAAAACGCAATTTTGGTCATACTGCGATGTGACAGCCGAGGCACTTCGCGATTCATTTATGATTGAGATAAGCATGGCGCAATCTGACGTTGTGCCAGATGTCCTCGTTTCAGAGACAAATTGAGTTTTGTCTTATTGAACCAAATGTCCGGACAGAATCGGAAGACTGTGCCCGACTGTACCAGCAGAGAGAGTTTTTGACACTGCAAACCTTGCTAACCATTGAACCACATGGTCACGGAGACTGTGATATAGCTAAACTTCAGTCTTCTCAATAAACCCATAGATCCAATATATACCGTAAAAGCGCCTAACTTCGGACAGTTTCTAACTTCGGACAAAATTTTTGAACGGCCATATCTTGGCTAAAACGCGCCGTATATTGCTAATTTTAATTATTATAGGTTGCGCTGTTATATCTACATCTATTCTCATCTTTTTTAATGTTGCATAAATATTTTTTTGGTGAAAAAACGGAAATTTTGCCGAAAATTGACTGCCCGGCATTCAACGGCGCAGAGCGTCGCTCATACTGAAGCTATCGTCGTCAAAATACCATCATTCGGTAGAGGGCGACAACAATGTATATAATTTATTTGAGTGATCGCAAGATGTCGTACGAGATTTAAATAAAACCTAAAATTCTGAATTATAAATTCCGTAAGAATATTAAGATTTCACGCAGCGTCAAAATTACGTCAACCTCACGTAGATTATTTTTCGCTCACTTCCGACACGACGTCACACTGCGTCGTGGAAATGAATTTTGACGCCAGACACAACGGAGCCAATATGACAATTTCCGTTAAGATAAAGACGGCATTCCAATGTAATATTTTTGTATTTTGTTCGGTCATGTATAAATATATGCCAAAATTACATTAATGAAAATACATGTCACACTTAATCGATGACGTTAGGAATCGAATATATAAAACTATGATAATTCCAACGTCCATATGGTACAGTGCACTGACTTAACCATTATTTTATGATTAGTAGTCGAAATGACAGTTATTGAATACGGCCTGGGTGAATTTTATTCACTCGAAATTAAAAATAAATTTAATCTCCAACAAATAAACGGGACCTACATGTTTACAAGATTAAGTTGAATTTCAAATTAAACTTTACAATCGGATTTACCGTGTGTTTGATATAAATTATCATTTATAAAGATAACCGCGCAGAATAAAAAAAAGCTATCCGTCGAGAATATTAATACTTCAAAGACTTCGATAGAAGCCCGTTGAAATACTTCATTGGGGATTGAAACGGTTTGCATCAGATATATTTACGTATGCATTTCCTGATTAAAATGACCATCGTGTTATTATACTCATCTGAAGTATCGAAAATAACGAACGAAAGATGTAAACATAGGACGACAGAAGTTTCAGATAATGCATTTTCGTCGTGATGTCAATGTTACGTTACGACGACGATCGAGCGTCTTATCTTCACGCAACGACGTGATTTCGCCATCCGCATCGGAAGCCTCTTTCTCTCTGTGCATCGCGGTTACGCAGTGAAGAAAATGACTGTCCGAAGTTAGGGCAGTGAAGGATAACGGTCAGATGGCAAGAAATATCGATTATTTTAATAGTAAAAATAGTCCAATTGAACCGAAATTTACAGGGAATGTAAATTATCCGCACGAATGTTTTACCGAGCAATTTTGGCACCGTTTGGACAATAAATGGCCGAGTTATTGACAAAAATATAGTAATTTTGTCCGAAGTTAGGCGCTTTTACGGTAACCAAAGTCATCAATTGCTACTTGTTCAGAGCCTTATTTACAGTAAAGATAACACTTAGATAACAGGCAATCGCAGAACAAATAAATGAAAAGATATTGTTGGAATTGCAGTAATAATTAGCAATGTGCGAATAAAAATATTTTACCTCTCTGGCATCTTCTTGGCCAACGAGACCCGATCCTGTCTGAAGAGGTTTACCGTCATCTGATAATCCCAGTCCTTTGACATGAGTATGCGCTGCAATCCGCTGTGTCTTTGTAGTACTCTTAACCTCCTCAATTTTCATATTATATGATTTATGTTATCAAAATTTGCTTGAATTATAGACAGAGCCAGAACGCGGAACAAGGAAACGACGCTTTACAAAGTGAGCATTGAAGAAATACAAGCGTGCGCCCGTTGACGAAGCCAGCCAAGCATGTCGTGATTTATTGCGTTATTAGCAACCGAAGAAATTTCTAGTCTTCTCATTACCAATATATTTAATTCTAATTATTAAAAAAACTTCTAAACATTTTTCTTATCCGTAATGAACAATTTTAAAATACAGAAATCTTTGTAAACTGATTGGCCTGATATCTTTATTGTTTTATCGTATTTTTGTGATCGCTGATGTGTCTTGACGGGAAATCGAAATAGTGTAACCTCATTCTGATCTCAACTTCACTTATAAGTTATAAGTTATAAGTTTATTTCGACTCCATAATCAGCAATAGACGATAAAAAAATATATAAAAACAAAAGTAAAAGTAACTGATTATAGAATCGGGAAAGCGAACAAAACCTAAAACTTCTGCTCAAATGAGCCGTTATATAGAATAAATAAAACATCAAGTCCAAAGTGTACATTTTGTGATATGCAAAACAAAACAAAACTTCTGCTCAAATGAGCCGTTATATAGAATAAATAAAACACCAAGTCCAAAGTGTACATTTTGTGATATGCATGTCGAAACTGTGTTACCATTATTTTATTTCTGTGAATCTGTGCAGTAATTTTGGGTGATAGTTATGGCTAAACTTTGAGTATGGATTGAACCTTAAAATTTGAAACATAATGAAATTGTATTGGGGGTATCCAATAATAATATTAATAATAAAAAAACTTTTTTGAAAATCAATAAGTCTTTTTTGTAAATTAATGGGAAAATAACGAACAAAGTAAAAAGCCTTCTCCGTAGTAAAAGAGCTTCGCAAAACAACGTTATCTGCAATAGCAGAATTTCGGTTTATTCCCAATTGGAATGACCCCACTACGGATGCCAATAATGTTGATTTTTCTTCTATTATAGGTTTTTGTTATCTTTCGAATTTAGAAGATTTGAACGAGCGACTAATTAGTATAAAATGAGATAATGCATTTAAACTTATTTTGAAGGTTTTGTTCATTTCCCAGATTCTTCAAATGTGTTTCGTTTTATTTTAGCGAATCTGCATTGAAATAGATCAGGGATGGCGAACCACTGACCCGCGGGTCACAAAGTGACCCACTGCGTTTTATTTGTGACCCGCCAAGCGAAGGCACGAATAAAATTAAAAAAAATGCTAACATATCAGTGATAAAAATTGATAAAACCGGCCTTAAATTAATCTAACAATAGCTAAACTATTATAATGTACCGTCAATTGGACAGTCAGGAAGGGCTGCGATCGCTCAAGTTCAAAATGTTGATTTTTGGGCCGGTATGGTAATTTTCAAAACCCCTAATCTTGTACGCATGTATGCACCGCTGTGTACCGTTATTCAGCTATTGGGCCTGACATCGTTTATGACATAACAATGCAATTGATCTGTTCATTTTTCGCAACGCCTGTCTTTTTTGGAATTGCATCTGCAGACTGTTTTAGGGGTTATACGAGAACTAGATGCTACTTTGCATTTTATTAGTTTCTCGTCTACAATGCTGTTGTGAAAACAAAAACTTTCAGTCTTGAAATAAAAATCTAGAAATCTGATGAAACAATGGGGCAGTGTAAAAGTGGCTTAATGTGGTTGAAAGCTGATCGAAAATTATAACGCTATCAAAGCGGAATTACCTCCAAACACTAGAACCGTAGAATAATTTAACGCATCATCCTAAACGTTTTCGTGTTTTCGTACTCTAATATCATAAAACCGAGTGCCATGAAAAGTCCCTGATAGAAGTGCTGCATAAGTAAAGCCCAAAACTACACCAACACCAGCTTATAAGATTTGTTTCAGAAGTTTCTTATAGATACAAACGTGAATTAAATATCTGTGACCCACTCTCTTCTGTTCCACGATAAAATTATAATTTTTGACCCATTCATTGAAAAAGGTTCGCCATCCCTGAAATAGATCATCTAAAAACCTACGGTATCCCTGACTGAACGCTGATTGAGGTAAAAATTTCAATACTCCCCTGTCTAAACACCATCAAAGAATGCAACATAAAGATTAGCTACCATGTTTTGTTATATCAATCATTTTCTTTGCATAACTGTATATATGATGCATCTCACCATCTGGTATATATGATGGGATACAGAACTATCGCTATACGCGCCATCGGCTGGAAACAGGACGAGAGGTTGAAAATATTATTAAGCTCGGCGGTGAGGCGTAATGTGCTAAGCGTTAGGAGTACGCTTGCCACGGCACAGCACCTCTGATTACCCTGCGTAGGTTCGCATCCCGTGGGTGATAATTATGTGGGAGAGGGTTGCTGGACTCCTCGAAGGCATAGGGTGGTTCACGTAACCGCTGGTCGGATTCCTCCACCAAGTTCATGCATCTGGAAGCAAAATAACTGGCTAACTAATTCCATACCTGACATTGGCGCGGCGGTGTGGCTCAACGGGCTAAGCGTTAGGAATACGCTGGCCACCGCACCTCTAATTACTCTGCGTGGGTTCACAGGTTCGAATCCCATGCAGGGATGGTTATGTGCGAGAGGATTGCTGGACTCCTCGCCGTCGTTGGGTGGTTCACGTAACCGCTGGTCGGTTACGGCTTCATCCACCACCAAGTCCATGCTTCCGAAAACAAACAATACAGTAAAACTAATCCCATACCCGACTTGGAATGGTAACCGGACGAGAGGCCGTGGTTCGTCATATAGATAAGCCGTCTTATCGGCTTTCCTCTCCCCGGGATAAATATGTAAATCCTATCCTATGGACTGGTAACCGGACCTGACATCGTGGTTAACCATATGATTAAGTTGTCTTAACGGCTTTCCCCCTGCCCGGATTAAATATGTAAACCCTAAGCCGCCTTGTTAGCTTTCCTGTCCTCTGGACGAATATCAGAATGGTGCTCATTTATAGAAACAAACGTCTTACATATTTTTTACCTGTTTGCGTATATATTATATTCATCTACATTCAATACCAGCATCGAAAAATAAAAGCAAAACGTTAAAAAACTCGAATTAGATTTCGTAAATATTTAAATGAATCTTTGAAAATTTCTTTGGTTCGACTGTTTCATCTCGACATAAAATATCATCTTTTCCATCTCCGTTTGCATCAACGACGTAAACTTTCCAATTACTATCAACACAAAGATTGCCGATCATCACCGGATCTTTGGGTTCTCCACGTCGAATTGGGAAGAGTATCATGTCTCTGAAAAAAGTTTTTTATTTGAGAGACATAAATAATGTTCTTTTTCAATTCTTCCAAAATTATCATTCATTTGTGTGTTGGGAGAATTTAAAAAACTTAACACATAAGGACACAAAATAAGGTGTGATCATAATTATATCTCGTCCTGCTTCCAGTATAAAATGGGTTGTGATCTATTTCAGTGTTTCACAACCTAAATATGTAAATCCTCTCCTAGCCTAAAGGTTGGGAGCCACTGACCTATTCTCTACCACCACAGGATCAATAACCAGGCGTGGGACTGTGGTCAACATTTCACAATGAATAAATGGAATTTCATCTTTAATCCAAGACACCACTTACGTTTCGACACCATCTACTGCAACACATAGGACATCAGTTGTTCCATCTCCATCAAAATCTCCAGTGTGTAAACTTTTTAAAATGCAATTATGTAACTTCCCTTCCCAAGATATTTTATCAAGTCTGTTGCCTCGGCCGGCTAGTACTATCTTTCTGAAATAACAATGATTAGTTATCAATATTATTACAGTTTGGTTGAACAACATGATTCTAAATATGTTGAAAGTACAAGACTGCATCTCTATCTACAAGACTCTATGAATAATTTTATTGGCACTCCAGAAGTATGTTTACCAATATGGATATAACTAATTTTGTTCGCCTACTTTACATCAAGTTGTGTAAAGGGACTGAAGCCTATGGACAGGTGAGGGGGTATATTCTATTGGCTCACACATACAGTCCCGGAACTTCGCAGGGTCTTCCTATCTCTAGAAAAATAACGTTTTTAAACCTTCAACGAAAGCGAAGATTAGACTTAGATTGCAGAATGTCAGAGACGTGAGGCATTGCTTACAATCTGAATATTTTATGCCGCAAATGAATTTTTTTTAAGCAGTTCCATTTCCACAATCAACTTTGATTTCCATAATTATCGAATAGATATTGTGGGCCTGAATGCTTTATGTAGTTGAATAGAAGCTCACTTTGAAATTTCAATAGACACTAGGAAGGAAGGTTTGACTAGAGCTTGTGTCGGAATTGATTTAACTGAACCCGGGTTGAAGAAAAAATTCTTGATAACACTTATCTGGGACTCATTTTTTGAATGGCTTGAAGTCGGAATTGGATGAAACTTGTCTTTGACTCTACTGTCCCGATTCACATATTCATCTCGGGGCGAGGGAAGCCGATAAGACTGCTTAATCATATGGTGAACCACAATCTATCGTCCATGTCGGATATGGAATAAGTCAGTCAGTTATTTGTTTTCGGAAGCATGGACAGGATGGTGGAAGTAGCCGCAATCGACCAGTGGTTACGTGAACCACCCTGCAGAGGCAAGGAGTTCAGCAATACTCTCGCACATAACTAAATGGGATTCAAACCTGCAATCCTCGCAGAGTAATCAGAGGTGCTGTGGCGAGCTTATTCCTCTAAGGCTTAGCATGATACACCATATCGCCAAGAAAACATCAACAAAATACTTACACATCTCCTTCTTCATTCCTACACAAGATGTCACTCCTTCGATCTCCATTAAAATCTCCGAACAACCACTGAGTTTTCAATCCTGGTTCACAGACTGATACTGGAAGCTGAAACAAATATTTGTCGTTTGTAGTAAAATGAACATGGTGCGGTCCAACTGAGGCCGTTACACGTAATATATGACCATATTTTAGACAAAATAATGTAATAAATAGGTTCTCAAAATGCTCTATATGGAGCCCCAGGGCTTCTTGAGAGAAACCTAGGGGTTATGAGAGCTATCCGTTTACTTATTAAAATTCTGACTTGGCTAATTTTGTAACTGTCCAAAAAAGCAATAAATACATCGGAGTCATTAAATAAAGTAATTTTAATTTACTAAAGAACATTAATCTTTTTTTTTTTAGATATTTTGCGGGGCTTCGTAAATAATAGTCAACGTTTTCATGGGCTCCATAGCCGCCCAAACGTTTGAGAACCTCTGATGTGATACATAATACATCAATTATAGGAATATTAACTTCAATCTGATGATAGAACAATTTAACTTCAAATTTTACAAAATTTTCAAGGATAGCAGAATAAGTAAATAGATGATAAAAATGCTGTTATGTCAAATACAATTCTAATAATCGAACCTGTTCAAAAAAAAGTTACATTGATTCTCAAGTTTTGATGACCTTACAGAATCTAATAATCAAAATGCTTATCCGGTTTTACCCTTCGGATTCAACATTTGCCACGGTCATAATCCAGGATCAGTCAGAACATATAAGTGCTTTTAAATTCTCAGGAGTTGAATTTGATGAGTTTCAATATAACTAACCTGGTTTTCTGATCTCAAAAACCAAGCGGGTTCTTCCATTGCTTTCGATATTGCTGAGTTATCAAACCATTTGTCAGGGATTGCACCTTATAATATGATAAAGCAAAATTACTAACCAGTCATTTTGTCCCCATCTTAGATAGAAATAGGTCCACCTTATATTTCTAAATTTCAAACGATAGACAAAACTGGAAGGATATGCAGGAGTTGCAATTTGTAAAAGTCAAGCCATGCATCTGAAATGAATAACTGGTTAACTAATCCCATACCCTGCATGGACTAGTAACTGGATGAGAGGATTAGTATTAACAACACTCACCATAAGGACATTGAACATCAGAGCAAACTTCAGATTGATACCTGAAAAAGTGAAATGCATGGCACGATGGTCATCGATAAACAAAAAGAAAGATAGTTTAAAAGCCAATTCATTTTCATGATATCCTATATATAAGATATCCTATTTAAGGGAGAGTTGATATTAAAAATAAATAAGGATGAAAAAGTACATTTCCATATTTATTTTAATAATGGACACGTATGTATCATTAGGTTCATACCGTGATACCTCGGTACTCAGACATAATCCGTTCAGGATTGGTGTTCGACTACTGATTTGTTTCAGTAACAAAACCCTTTTTGCCTTGAGAAACAATGGTAATTATTTTAATTCATTCCATAATACCCAAAATATTAAATAAATATGTACCAAAACAAAAATAATCATTTAAATGCGTACATAATAGAGATGAATTCATAAAAAAATTTGTTGCATAAGTATTGAATGTTCAAGCGAATTACTGAGGGCTCTATGGGATTTCTTTTTTGTTTTGCAAAGACGTCAACTCACATTGGCGGCACTAGGGTGTTTGATCACCGAATTCGTGTACCACATCATTTTTCACCAGAATTTTTCGATCGACGACCGAATTGTTCGAGTATCGAGTCGCTCGACTACTGAGTTATCACTGTAATATGATTGGGTTTAATGTGCCTTCCTGAACTTTCTGCGCATACGTTGTTCTTGTTCATATACTAACATACATCAACTTTTGTAATGACATAACAAGCAATGTCAAGCTTATTCTAGACTTCCACTTACAACAATATTGTCTCTAGAAATCGATTCAAAATTCCAAACCCTCAACTGCTTTCGTGTTAGTGAGTTTCAATATGCCAGACTCCTAGCAGCCAAGTGGAGCACTCAACCCGATTCACTACACTATTCTGCACTTTATTTAAAATACAATCTAATACTGATATTGAAATCAGATAGTTCATGTTAAAAATACTTTCTAAACTGACTGTATTCCATCATCGTCCACGATTCCTCCACATTCTCTAGATCTCTTTCTTGAAATTGTTTTGCATTCTCTGAATCTAGATCTCAGTCCACCACCACATTCAACTGAACATTGACTCCAATCACTCCATGGATCAAATCTATTGAATTCGCCTGTTGGTTGTAAAGTACTTCGAAAGGAATAATTTACATTTCCAACTATCCTAAGTCATGTATGGCCTAATAAAAGCAATTTAGCAGAAGCCTCAGCTAACAACAGCATGTTTATATATCTACGTTGTCTAGACCAGAATTTCCCAAACTTTTTGAGCCACGGACCCCTATTTTTGAATCTTAGTTTTTCCGGACCCCCATTCGATGTTGTATCAATTCCTGTGCCTAACCAACGAGGAAGAATAATGTTCCACTTACAACGCAAACGATATTACTGTGATGTGTAAGGTTATTTTTCACAGCACTATTTATCAATTTTCAGAGCAATTTGTCAAGTCTCGATCTGTATTTTTTTATCATATTGGTGAGAGATGAAAATGCTGCATCACACATGTAGGTCCTTGCAAGAGGAAATAAAATTTTAATTGCCTTTTCTGACAGCAATGGATATTCGTCTGCAACGCTCAACCAAAAAGATGCAATGGCTTTTTTTCCCTCACTGTCTGTTAATCCTGTCCTACTGAAAAAACAACTTGGTCCACTACAGAAGAAATACTATATTGGGTATTCAAACCAATTTCACTTCATCCACTTTTATTCCTGGGCCTGTCTCTTTTTGACACAGGTATACAAGATACCTTATTCATCAGTGGCAGCTTCTGGAGAGCCTTGTTTAGAGTGAAGATGGCTAATGAAAAAATGCTACTGCATTCAAGTTCCGCAGCACTATCAATATAATTTAGACCACTGGTTCTCAAACTCTTTGGGCCGCGCCCCCTTTTTAGAATTTGTCAAGTCTTACACCCCACCTCAAAAATATTTAGCTAACAATAAGATACAAATAACAGATAGTAAGGCGAAAGTATGTTTTGTTCAAAAAACACGTTGAAAATCTGTGGATAGAATTGCAATTTCTAAACAATGAGGAATTGTAAATATCCAAAATAAGGCGCGCAAGATCAAATCAAATATTTTTATTTTTAATTAGCTTCATGCCCCCCAAAAATTGTCTACGCTCCCCCTTGTGGGGCACGCCCCACCGTTTGAGTACCACTGATTTAGACTTTGGTAAAGACTTTTTGTTCTCCATTGCCATGTGCAAAACTAATCACCCTTTGATAAGCAAACCTACTTGATCTACACTCCATTGTATTGCACATTTCATATTGATAATGATCTCCTCTGCATTTCCCTCTGCTACATTCTCGAGATCTGAGAAAAATGCAAAGTTGGTCATATTACAATACAGAAACTAGAAACTTAAAAACACAGGAAGGGTTGGTGCCCTTCATAAGAATCCCCAATGTTCAAACCACCAATTTTACAATGAATTCGCCATTCAAAGACTACTCTAAACAATATCCCTGATGTTTTATACCAATCATAATACCAATTACCAACCATAGTATTAAATCTAACACATATACTTCAAATCCTCAGTTCTCTCATTATTGTTCACCCTAACATTAATAGCAATTTAGCAAATCCGATAAAACGACTTAATCATATATGGCAAACCACGGCCTCTCATTTGGTTACTAGTAAATGTCGGGTATAGAAATAGTTTACCATTTATTTGTTTCAGATGCACAAACATGAGTTCCATTTAGAGTCCATCAAAACAAGCAGTGTAACACATCGCCAATCTTATTCTCACAAACTAACTAAAAGTTCAATGAATACAAAATGGGTGCTTCCGAAGTATAAGCCCCAAGATGGTGCACAACCTAAACATAGTATGTGTACCAGGTTGGGGTTCAGGTTGTGCGTCATCTTGGTGCACATACTTCGGGAGCGCCTCAAAAGGAAATAGCGCAAAATGACAAATTTGTTCACCTGAACGTTGCTCCACCACCACATGTTTCAGAACACTCAGACCAATCTGACCACTTTGACCATCTTGGCTTCAAAGAACTTCTCATCGGACAAGGAATATCTTTACATGGAAGAGTCATCACACTCCCACCACGGCACATCTCTGCTACTGTATGTCCTTTCTCTGTTTTACATTTACGATATCGACTCATAATTGCTCTCGGTCCACAGGTGTGGTCACATTTCCCCCAACTCGCCCAATTTGTCCAGAATGCTGGAACAGACAATGATAAAATAGAATGGTTAGAGGACTAGTATGTGGCTGAAGTGGTTAAAACGTTAGACTAAACTTCGTTTGCATCACAGAGTATATATCGTGGGTTCAAAGTCCATGCTCACCACCACTTCACCCAAGGTGTAATATTTTGGGTAGGCAATTTCGGTTTTTCGGCCAAAAACAGTAGCTTGTCAGATATCATGGGATACTTTGGCCTTGTTCAAGGCAAAAAGCATAAATGAAATGTTGTAAATTAGGTACAAGTTGTGTTGCTACAATAAGTTGCATTGCACGCGGGCCCAAAAACTTCTTTCCTACCTTATGCAAATAATTTTGAAAAACGCAGAAAAGAATATACTGCTTCAAGTATCTGTATACATTGAATGCACAATTGGGTAACTATGGCCATGGCTGACCTGGACTTGTAATTAGGATAGGATAGGATTTACATATTTATCCCGGGGGAGAGGAAAGCCGATAAGACGGCTTATCCATATGGCGAACCACGGCCTCTCGTCCGGTTACCATTCCAAGTCGGGTATGGGATTAGTTTTTACTGTATTGTTTGTTTTCGGAAGCATGGACTTGGTGGTGGAGGAGGCCGTAACCGACCAGCGGTTACGTGAACCACCCAACGACGGCGAGGAGTCCAGCAATCCTCTCGCACAAAACCATCCCTGCATGGGATTCGAACCTGCGAACCCACGCAGAGTAATTAGAGGTGCGGTGGCGAGCGTATTCCTAACGCTTAGCCCGTTGAGCCACACCGCCGCGCCGTAATTAGGCAAAAGAACCTGGTACAGCAATATGATTTGGCCATCTTACTGGATTTTCTCTCTACCAGAAATCACTCACATCACTCTCCTAAGAGAGATCAGAAGTTGGCAGTATGCTGCATTGTGCTGAGAAATTGGAATACACTTGCTATCCTATACTTACCCTGAACTTGATGAGCAGACCTGACCATTGTTTCCATAATTTCGTCTGTATCGTTTCCCAACACAGTCTCTTGTTCCACAATTTCCATTTCTGAATAATTAATACAAAATTAAAAACTTTATGTGAATACAAAATGATAGTTTACACCAGTGATCGACAGGTAAACATTATGTACTGCTGGGCCAAATATGCACAATGAGTATGCTTTGATTCCGCATATAAACAATCGCCACATTAAACTTTGAATTGAAACTTTGCATCTGTAACTCCAATTTCTGTGTCAGTTACAACTATAATATTAGGATATTATAATAATAAAGAACTTGAGAATTAACTTGAAGCCATCAATGAAAAGGAATCAAAGATATGAGTCAGAAAAATATGAAATTGAATCTTGAATTTGAATCATTGAAAGTAATTAGCTCTTTCAATTTTATTCCTTTATTGTGATTACAGATATCTTTCTGGACTTACTTACTGAGTAGTTATTGGTTTAGTGCAGTGGTTCCCAAACTTTTTAGAGTTGGGACTCACTATTTTTTACCACAGCTTATGGCGACCCATTTAACTCTAATAAATTAATAAAACATTGATGGAGAAAACAAATTTAATTTCTCAAATTGAATTTTCAGTGAAGCTAGTGAGAAAGATGAGATTGTTTCTTGCTATTTTACATAATAGACTTGACATTTCTTTCAATTTCAGATAGTTTTAGACGTAAAAAATTGAAAAATTGCAGTTTATTTCGAAATTAGCTTTTAAATTTGCTTTGCCACCGATCCTAATAACCAGTATAATTGATCAAAGCTTTCTACATCTTTTCACGACCCACTAAGATTCCTCTTGCGAACCACCAGTGGGTCGCGACCCATAGTTTGGGAACCGCTGGTTTAGTGTATTTATCATAATTAACATAATATATTGTTATGAGAATTAATTCACTGATTATTGTCAAGCGACAATGGATTGCATCCGTATCACTGCTGTTATGAGTATTAGACGGTGGAACATTTGAGTTTGGCTATACTGAGTGACTGTAATTATGTTGCATGTTCTTGTGTTTAGGCTAAGATGTGTTTTTAGTTTCTCAAAGCCATTAATTTTGGTAATAATAAATAATTGTCACAACATGTATATCCCTTCTTTCTGAATTATTATAAAAAATTCTTATTTACCAGCAGATTCAGGATCGATTCCTTTGCAGTAGAGACCATTGATGTCTAACACATCGTTCTCAGAGAACAAGCCGTGATCTGAAACAACTACAGGTTGTGATGTTTCAAGATCAATAATCGTTGGTTTGTCTTCTGCTATTGAGTAGGCATATCCACTGAACATAGTGACGCTATCTTTGTCAAAATCTGTCGTGTATGGTTCTGTGCGATCTTTAGAAACTGCATTGAATTTGTCTTTGTGTTCTGAAATGAAAATTCAGTCAGATTTGTAGGAAAATATCAGTATTGGGACCTCCTGAAGTATGCGCACCAAGATGGCGCACAACCTGAACTCAGATTGTGTACTAGGTTAGGGTCCAGGTTGTGCGACATCTTGATGCGCATATTTCAGGAGTACCGCTTATAGCTTACACCAAGGGTTCTCAACCAGTGGCCTATGGCTCACTGCTGAGTCACGGAGACATTTGCAGGTGGGCCACAAACGACTCAAAATTAATAGAAAATTATTGATAAATTTGAATATAGTAGCAATGAATGATTATGCTGTTTTCTGCTTCTGAGTGGCAATTCTCATTTTAATCATTAAAGTGCGAGCATCTATTTTTGCCGTAACAATTTTTTGTTTTTTTCTTGCATGAGATAGTCAGTGGACCGCAGAATTTTTCGAAAACAAAATGGCAATTTATACATCATATCTTTATCATGAATCAAATGTATTGCAAAATAACAAAATTATAACACTGACCCACAGTCAATTACAATATTCAGGGTTTTTCCAAGCCTGTACCACTGCCGAAACTAATATTATTACTTGACCGCAATATTTATTTCCTTTCAGATTTACTTTTTTTTATTTGTACTGCATCTTTCTAACCGTACCCACTGCTTGAAAAATCAGAAAACCTTTTGGTCTGGCATTTCTTACCCAATTTTTTACGCCCTGGGTAAAATGACAGGGGAATTGAATCCCAGATTTTTACCTGCAATGCCATCATGTGTAAGTCTTACTGTTTAACCCTGACATGGGCAAACTACGGCACGCGGGCCAAATCCGGCCCGTTGGGTAATTTAATCTGGCCCGCCTGATGCTTCCATAGCCAAACTAAAGTCAAATTTTGATGTTTTGGATCGAAAATAGCTCAAGGAATTTGTTTAAAATGCGATTAAATTTTGTTTTGGCACAAGGCTTATTATTCCATTCTTGCTTTTTTTTACTCTGTAAATATTGTTCATGAAATGTAACTTTTTTATGTCAGACTTTCATGGCCCGCCAGTCTGGGTCGGCAACATTTTTGGCACCTGGTTTAAAAACCTTGCCCACCCCTTATTTAGCCACCAGACAACGACATCCACAATTATAATCAGCACCAACCTGCCATTACATTATCCAATTTAATCTCAATATAAGCTTCTCTGTCATGTCTTGCATGTTCATGTTGAAATCCTAAAGCATGCATGAGCATGTGTTCTACATGTCGAGAAGAAAAACAATCGCCCATCACTATCTTTTGTTGACCTCCCTTGCGCCCAATGAAGGATCTGTTAAAACATAGAGACAGAAAGCTTTACATCTGAGATGGAGCATCATTGAATAGATTTCTTGTTTATAACTAATAGCATGGGATTTTCATATTTATCATGGGGAGAACAAAGCTGAACATACAGCCTAATCACGTGGTGTATAGCAGCCTTTCGTTTGGTTACCAGTTCATGTCGGGTATAGGATTAGTTAGGTATTTGTTCCAGTCAGATGGAACTTGATGGTGGAGGAAGTCACAACCGACCAGCAGTTACGTGAATCCCCCTACAATAGTGAGGAGACCAGCAATCCTTTTGCACATAAGTATCCTATGTAAAATTTGAACTTCACGAAGGGTCATCAGTAGTGTGATGGCAAGCATATTTCTAATGATTAGGACAATGCGCCAACTGCTGACAAGGCATCTGTAGAGGAAAGCTAATAAGACAGTTTAATCAGATATATGGCGAGCTACAGCCTTTTGTTGAAGAAAGAGTGAAAGCGTCCTCTTCACAGAGAAGAATTCCAGAATAAAATCTACCTACGTGCAATCAGGGGATCCTGTTTTTGTTACAAATAAATAATCTAATTCTTCATGGCTCCGTTCTTTAAATCTGATGCAACTTTCCTTCTCCAGTTGCCCAATAGCTCGTTTCCATGAAGAGATTTGTTCTTCAGCTGTGATGAAAAATGAGAGCTGCTAATCAAATGTGTAACCCAGTGGTTCCGAAACTGTGCGTTGTGACGCGAAATTATTTTTTTGGCTGTCCATGTTTAGATTTGGCATAAAAGGATTAAATCTTTCAAGATCATGATCGAGTTTGAGATTTTTGGTGACATCAACATTTCATTGCGGTTACTTTTTTACTGCATTGATGACTATATTCTTTTTGGTTGACAAAATATTAAATCTCTCTCTCTCTAGCAAATAAGTATCAGTAAAAATCTAACTGAAGCAGTCCAGGTTTAAATATCATTTCACCAGGCCTGAGTTCATGCCAAAAGATATTCAATCAAGGCAATAGGCGGAAATCAAGACTTGGGTTAAGTGACCTTCTTTGATTCAGGTCAAGCTAAGTCTTCAAATAAATGTGACTCAAGTTCCATTCGTCCCAACAGAGCACACGGTTATTTGAGAGTTTCAATCGAGCTTTAATTTTAATAAAATGGTGCAATTGCCCGATTGTTTACTTGTTAGAAAAAACTATGTTTGCATAGCAGGTTACTGTTCTCAATTCAATTTTCATGCCTGCCTCCTCACATAAGGTGTGATAAATGCTTCATAAATAGTATAGGCTTATATATATAAATACATACATATCACTGGTTGCCTATGTATAGCATTGTTCTGAGTGAAAACACTCAACAAAAAAACAAATACTGAAATAACATACTTAAATCAGCATCCAAGTTATAGGCAATAGTCAGGTGATTTTCTTCTCCTTCAAATTTGTTTCGTGTCCACAATGGAATTCCTACATCTTGTCCTTCAATATTAAAATCCTGTCGCTCATTGGATAAACCAAATTCCTAGGAACAAAAACTTTTTGTTCTTTAATTTAGTTAGATCAGTGTCAGCTGGTTCGATTTTGAGGAATAGTTTGATGTTTGTCCCATTCAACTAAGTGTCAAAGTCTCACTAAATTCCAGTAAAGTCGCTAAAAGACTATTACTTTCATTTTATTTTCAAATTACTTATGAGTTCTGTTAACAAACAGATGGTAAGACGATAGTATGTTTCATTCCAAAAACATGTTGAAAATACGTGGATGGAACGTTGATATTGAAATAAATCGAAAGTTTCGAAATGTAAATATTCAGAATGGGGCAGGCAAGATCAAATCCAACAAATATATTTATTTTTAATAAGCTTCATGCCCCCAAAAAAAAAACTGTCCACCCACTCACGTGCCCCCCCGCCCCATATGGGGTGCGCCCCACAGTTTGAGAACCACTGATTTAGAAGGGAACCTTTTTTATTAGTATTTCTTGTCCATAGATTTCTCCGGCAAACTTTATGCTCTCAGACATGACAATAACGGTACCAATTTGGAACCTTGAGTATTGCTCTTTTGTTAATTTATATGAAAGGCTTTGGCTATGCCTGCCGCTGATTTTCCATCTGTACTACAAACTACCGTGTTTCCTCGAAAATAAGACCTAGCCTGAAAATAAGACCTGCTCTGAATTTTAGAAAATGATTTTTATATATAAGACACCCCCCAAAGCCCTAGTGTCATTTTTCTATACAGAATTAAAATAGGACCCAGTCTTATTTTCAGGGAAACAATGTACTAAAAACAGCCGTGCATTTATTCCTCATGATTAACACTTATTTGTATCGAATCAACTTCTATATAAAAAAATAAAAGATGTCTCACATCCATCATGACTGGCACATCTGCTTCATCAAATGCGATATCTCCTTGCAATATTCCTCTCCCTCCGCATTGGCAACCAGTGGCACAACCATCTGAATCTATTTGGAATCCAAAAGGACAAGGCACTTTACAATTCAGAACATCAAATTTGCACTTTATACCTGAAAAAAATAATGTAAGATGGAAATTGTTTGAAACACATAGACCTATGTGAATGCTTATAGTCGAAATTTCAACTCAAAATGATCAAAAGGGACTTCCAAAAAATCACTTTTTTAAATGAACTTGCCAAGCTCATTAGCACTCAACCAAAAGTTCAGAAGTTATAATATCTGTAAAATAAAGACAGCAGGGCAACATTTATTTCAACCTTGAAACTCACATAACATTTTATTGAAATACTCTTTCTTGTCTTGGAATCCTCAAAATATATCAAAGAGAAAAGTGATATGTTTTAAGGATAAGCAGGTTTATGCATATTTATACCATAACAAAAATGTGTCAAATAAATCTCCAAACTTCGTAATCTTGTTTGTGACAAAACCTATTTCTGAAAGGACCGGAATCAAGTCCATGCATCTGAAATAAATAACTGGCTATCTAATCCCATACCCAAGCTGCGGTGCTCCCGAAGTATGCGAACCAAGATGGCGGACATCGGAACGTAACATGGGTAACAGGTTAGGGCTAGGCGATAATTTTTTTCCAATTTTTCTTATTTAAGTCCTATTATCAGTTCGAAGACTAGCCAAGAGCCTCCTGTGGTATTTATACCTAAAATTATGGCCTAACCCTTACCTAGTACACATATTACATTCCGATGTCCGCCATCTTGGTTCGCATACTTCGGGAGCCCCCAAGATGCAATGGTAACCGGACAAGAGGCCGTGGTTCGCCATATGATTAAGCTGTCCTATCGGCTTCTCATGCAGATCCAAAATAAAAATTTTAATAAGTGATTACATCACAGACCAAGCTCATTTCGAAGCTCACAACTTTCATTGTTTATCATCAATTTTATTGATGATTAGTGTATTGTGATCAGCGAAATGTCTTTCAATTGGTGAAATGTCTGAGTTCGGCCTATCCGTTACATTACACTCTGGATGATGAAGCTTAGAACTTGCTTACTTTGACAAAACATAATATCTTCTACAGACGGTTGTTGGACTGACGTTCCAGCACTTTTTCCTGTATTTTTTCTTGATTCAATTTCTTCACAAACACTTCTCAACGCTGCTGTTTTTATTCCTGCAAAAGATAATCAGTTATATAAAAAGTTCAAAAAATGAAAGAACACTTTCTCATAGCTTAAAAAATAGGAAGCAGTCACTTTCTAATCTTTCTTGATGTCTATTCTATGTTAATTATTATGAACAATAAATTGAGAACAATTTCATTTTAACACACATGTGATAGCAGCATCGCTATTTTTCCTTTTATGCTTTGTAGGTTGGTGGGCTCATGTCAAACTGGATATTCTAACAAAACATCACCCGAGAACATTTAAACTGAGAGATACTTTTTATAGAAAAAAGCAAATATCTAGGTGAAGAAACATGCGAACAATCATGTGTCAAAAGCTACTGGGACCACATAATTCATAACAGTTCAGAATCACACGTTTGTCAATACTGTTTGACGCAAGATTCAAAGCAGTTCATGTAAATTCAAACCATCTTTGAGGGAGAATGACGTTCACTCCATTTAACATTTCAGATTAAATCCAAACAAGGTTTAGTACTCATGCTTGGTTAGGATAGGATAGGTTCGATAAGATTTACATATTTGTCCCAGGGGAGAGAAAAGCGATAAGACGCCTTAATGATATGGCATACCGGAGCATTTTGTCTGGTTACCAGCCCAAGTTGGGTATGGAGTTAGTTAGTTATTTGTTTTCAGATGCATGGACTTGATAGTGGAGAGTGCCGTAACCGCCCAGTGTTTACATGAACCACCCTACGGCGGCAGGTCCAGCAATCCTCTCGCCCATAACTATTCTCACATCTGATTCGAACCTGCGAACCCTCGTGGGGTAATCAGAGGTGCCGTGGCCGGTTCTGAACAAACTTACCGTAAGTTGATCAAACGTTAACTTTCTTACCATTCGTAACTAGAACAACAACAAAAATGATGACGACAAGAATAACAGAACAGCTGAATACAATCATCAATTTTTCTGTTGGATCAATTGGAGTCTTCACTTTAGATGCTAGAAATAATGTGTATAGGTTTATTTGAACTCCATTATCAGCAATGACGCCAATAAAATAAATCGATAAACTAAAGCAAATACAAACTGATTATAGAATCATGAAACATAACCTCGAGTAAGATAAAGAAATTAAACGTACACAGTGTAAATAAGAGAATGTTGCCAAAAGATGTAGATGTTCATTCTAACTGAGAAAAATGCGTGCACTTAGACTATATTAACATCATGTTTGGTAGAATATTGGATTGGAGCCAACCACTCCCCCTCTCCCCCCCCCCCCCCCTAATTTTCGAAGCTTACGTAGGTAATCAGCAGTCGTAGGATGTACGTATCGTAATATTCTAAAGTCTAAACTTAGGAAAAGTACGGTACGGATACGCTGCCGGTATATTTTCCCGTTTTTAAAAAAAATGGGAAATTGTTCTTATAAGACACCAGAATTGACATTTTTTGACAATAAACATTAGACTACTGGTATGTTGTTGGACTCACAATTTTCTTTTTCGTTATCTTCAACTTTTTCTCCGGAAGATGCTGTGGAAATTACATCGATCGTTTCATCGGTCTTATCGTCTGCCATTATCGATTATTTTATTTAAATGAGTGCAAGAAATTTATATTTTATCAAAAATAAATCTACTTTCTGAGTTCAGGACTACAAAACAAGTGGTTGGCCACACAGTACAGTACTGCAATACTGGCAGACAACGAGAATCCCCGCCGCTTTGATGTAACTATGACGACGGCTCTTGGGCGCCACCAAAGTGACTACTTGGGCGCTACTACATTGGAAAATATCGTTCCTAACCATGTTATGAATCACAGGCGTACGCTAGTGGTCGGTCAGTCATTTTCTTTTTGAAACGCACAACACTTTTTATTTTACTTATAAGACTTAATAATGCACGCACTATGAAATACTCAAACTGTACTGGAGTGCGACTTGCGCATAACGCTGGCTGAACACCTATGAAACATTGAAGAAATAAAGTAGCCTAGTACATAGCCTTTTATACATACCGTGTTATTACGAACTGTTTTTTAAAAAGAATTTTAATATGGGCCCCAACCCCTGTTAAAATAAGACCTATTGATAAGGCAATTTTTTATCTAGTCGGTAGCGAGAAATCTCTCTTACACGTTTTAAATGATATATAATTTAAAAAATGTATATGGGTTTTCCTTTACCAATGAAAAGTACCGGAAGTGCATTGAGACGAGATGACTAAAAAATTACAGCCTAGGTACACTTCTGGATTAATGATCAAATTTGCAAAATAAGCTGAATTTTATTTCACCAAAAGACACATACCTTTTAGGTTATGTAAGTTCAATTTTTTTTTCTTTTTATCAATTTTAGCCTAGGGCTATGAGACGGAAAGTACGGCAAATGAACATGTTAATGATGTGTTTGTGGTTGCAATAATTTTACAAATGTCAGAAGAGCAATGCTCAAATATTTGGACACGAAGACCAAAACAAAGTAGCAGTAAATCAATTACGGGGCTAGTAGTTTTCCTCATATTAGATTTTGCAACACGGTGCGTAATTTTTATTTTTAATTATGATGACGCTTCCACACAAAACTTCAATGTGAAAGACAAATCCCATAGAGCCCACAGAAATGCGATGATGTTATCACACAGAAAAGCGACGAAAACAACAAATATTTAACAAAGAGAATCCGTGTCCAATAATGGTTTCAGAGTTCATATCACCTTGAACTAGGGAGCAACATGTATATATATAATATACACGGCCAAGCATTAGTATGGAAATAGACACACACTTCAAAACATAGGCATAGAAAGTTTTTGGTATAGGAACGATTACAAATAAGATTTTAGGAACCTTTATGGATATTTTGCAACGAACAGACATAATATAGTAAATGTTCCAATCAAAAAGACCAGTTTCAGTCATGGCCATCTGCTATTGTGTCTTGTTGGGTAACATAATTTTATATTTTGTACATTTCATTCCATTTAAATATGAGATATGAGTAAATTGTCAATTATTCTGGTCGAAATGTCGATTGTCAGGCTATATGGAAATTTCAGTTAAAGTTACTCAATTTTTGAATGTAACATAATACAATCTCATTTTACACAAAGTAGTATTTTGAAGTTATCAGCCAGACAAGTAAAATGCGTCAATATAGTTTATCGCACAAAACTACAGCCTAAGGCGAGTCTTTAACTCGCCGTTGTAGCTAAGTCGACAAAACTGGAAATTGTTTTTGTTCATAATTGCTATAGTTTCTAGGTCATTGCCCAAAATAGGAATTGAAAATGTATGCACAATTTTCTGATGCGACTGAAGCTCAAGAACAGGGAACAGTTGCAACAGATTCTACCACGCCAAAACCAGAAGGAAATGTACATTTTGGTACAAACGGAGGAGGTCAGTAAAATATAAATATGTTTTAAATATATTGGTTGGTTATGAGTCTGTTTGAAGAATGCTATATATATGTTATATATTTGCTACATTACAAGAATATATGTATATAAGTATACGTTCCATAAGCATTCGTGCAACGGACAAATTTGAAATAATTTGTAAGTAAATGTTACTAATCTTGCCGATGCGTGGATATTGAATGTAGCAATATATGGTTAATGCAACTAGAATATATTGATCGGGGAAATCGAAGTTTGAATGCTTGTAGTATTAGAGAAATTTAAGATCAATGGTTTGCGTATACGGTAATGCTTTTCTATGCAATGCAATGGTGATAAGAAACAGGACCAGCAATAACACTATATGTATTCAAAAAAGATATTTGCATGTGTGCGCATTGCGCAATGGCCCAAAGTGGTCAAAGCATTTGAATAGACCATGTTGGCATCGCAGGTTGTACCTCTCGTGTACGAGCCACATGCATACGACCTCACCGGGCTAGGTTCGGCCGAACCGGGAAGATTCCGAGCTCTCACGTTTACGTTTAGCGAGTCTTGTGCCTAGCAAACGTCGTAAATAAGGGTTCTACATACGGAAAGCGATCGTTGATCGAATCATGTAAGCATACACAGAATTGGGATGCATTTTTTAAAAATTTTACAGCACAATCATCGAATAAACCAACAGCCGCAACTTCAACGCTGAGATGCGACATCAACAAATCTACCGTTGTCATAGCAGTTGTTCTAATCTTCATATCTGCACTAACCATTGCCAATTTTGTGATGTTGATGCAGGTAAGAATATTTTACATATCCTTGGTTTATATCAACGACAACGACTAACATACTGTGTTTATATTCATGGTTTACAACTGCTGTTTTCTATTTAAATATTTGCTTTAGTTACAATCTGGCAACACTGCGAATTATCGGGGAAATATTCTTTCCAAAATTTTTTCAGGTGTATGCGCATGATTGGGTATATATATAAGCAAACCCCGAACCCAATAACAAAGCAGGGTGAAACAGTTGGAATACCCACAACAGTATGAAAATGACTATATTCTACATACAGAAACATATCCATTGAATTAAACCAACTTGTTATAACCAAGTCCATGCATCTGAAACAAACACCTTGGTAGACTATTGCCAAAAGTATTCCTGACGTCGACTGGTAACCTTCCGCCAAATGATCGAGTCGTCAAATATGAAAATCCTATCCTAACTTAGGAAATATTTTTATTGCAGATCCGACAAGGAACATGTGAGTAAATGTTGAAATATTAATTTTGAAAAATCGACACGTCTACATTTGGATCTCTCTTCGCTGAAGTGATAAAATACTATATATATATATATGTTAAACACCAGCGGTCTATCCGAAACGCAACCCTTTTTGTTATTTTATGTCCATAGATGTAAAAAGGGTAGCGAATGTACGGCTTAATGATGGGTATTTCGAATCGAATATCCGAATTGAATAGCAAATTATTCGAATCGGTACAGTCTAAAATTTCAAATAGCCGCCAAGTAGTTTGTTCCGCCAAAGGTCGAGGCGAATTTCTCATTTTAATTGAAGCCATATTTTTACAATGCAATTCTGACATAACAATACTTTCCCCTTCAAAGAGTTATTGATGAAACATATTTCTTTCAAAAAAGGTTGTACGCATATAGGTAATAAAATAAAAAACTATAAAGCATATTTGGACAATTTCTGATTGTGGAGAAAAGCATGAGTAAACTAACATTTATTATGTTGAAAGTTCATTTATCGAAGCTTATTTTAATCTTCCGAAGAACAGTTAACTCGAAGCATGGAAGTTCCCTTGAGTTCATTCAGCATTTATATATTTTATTTTTATTGATTAACCCGATTTGTTTATTTATATTTTGTTCATTGCGGCAGATCTTGGAACGAGGGTTCAAGATATTATACTGAAAATGAATAAAACTATGCAAGCAAAAGTGAGAGGTAAAGTAATATAAAATTGAATGTATATTTTGGCTATATGTATATATATCATGATACGTGGTTAAAACACCACACATGCATGAGAGCATTGCAATACTAATGTGTTACCCAAGAATGTGCTTACATGCTGTGTCTCTAAAAGGTGTCCAATTTGTTCTACATTTGTCTCATTTTTACCGCACTTTCACTTTGCTGCACTTGTGCATTGTCCCCTTGAGAAAATGTGAGGCAAGTGGTGTACGACGTTTGTGAGGCACATGCTTACATATATACAATACTGTACAAATTTATTCCACGTTTTCATCCATCAACCTGTTAATGTTGGCATACCTGAACTAGCTCTTTATTGGAAAGTCACTGAATTATTTCGAGTCAAAGATCAAATGTTTAGACAGGAAGTCTCGTCCAGTACAAATCTAATTCATTAGATTGGATTAGACATTTAAACATAAACATGTGTTATGTGGGAGTGTTTTACAATCTGATTGAACCGATTTATATTTTTCCATTCTCCCAAAATATATAAAAATTCTGACCTTCAGAAGTATGTGCACCAAGATGACGGACAACCTGAACATAGTAATTGTACACGGTTAAGGTTGTGCGCCATCTTTGTGCACATACTTCGGGAGCACCAAAAATTCTGCCTGCCATACCCTAGTTAGTTCATGGAAATTGATTTTGCTTGTATTTGTACGCAGGACAATGCCACATTTCCTACGGCGGGAAATGTTTCTGGGAATTACAGCGTGAGTTTGAATTCATCGATGCACAGCGAGCCTGCAGCGCACACGGAGCGTACCCGGCAAATATATATAGTTCTCGCCATTTTATGATGATCGCTGCATATCTGCGACATACAAAAACCGGAAAGGGGAACAGCGTTTGGATTGGAATGACTCGGGATTCTCAGGTATAGATATATATAGCTTTTATGTACACTTTCACACAATATGGGATCCTTTTTATACAAATTTGCTCAAAGCAAGGTCTAACGCACTCATTCATAAGTAGAGGGAGGCTATTTTGGTATTCCCGTAGTGTGTGTACAAGGTTTGGTTTAGGTCATAATTTTATTTTAATTTTCCTTATTTTAGTTCTATTACGAGTTTCGGAACTTTCTGTGTTAGCAAAATGAATATCTCCCCTGCCCATAGGTTTCAGTCTCTTTGCACAACTTGATATAAAGTATGTGACAAAATTTAGTCACCTCCATATTGGTAAACACACTTCTGGAGCGCTCTTATTTCTATGTAATAACTTAAACTCAAATTGCAGGAGCTACTTAAGAACTAAAACATATGGAATTATGATTATATTCCAGTAATTACCAGATAACACGCGACTTTGTATTCGTAGTGTGCGCCCTTAACAGCTAAAAATTGCTGTTATATTCGTGAGATGTTTATGCTTCCGCTGCACGCAACATTAACTTACACCTACACGAAAATAAATTAGGTTCAGATGTATCCAGAACGATATATTATCTAAGTTAGTGCGTGGGTCTAACACTTTTGGTGGTTTGTCAATTTTGTCACTGTTGTTAGCTACTCGATGATTCATGATTTGTTTTTGATTTCCTAGCTTAAATCATTGATGCATTTTTTTTGTCTGGTGGACTTGGTGGTGTATTTGTTTTGGTGGCAAATGAATTTTGTCCTCGTGTATTTTAAAATACGGTTCACTCGTCTCATAAACATTATGGCAAGTTGGCACATAAGTTCCCATTTTGTAGAATAACGAATCATTAAAAAATAGTTCGGTTCGGTTCCCTTAATATCTATAACTTAAATTAGATTTTCATTTCACGCATATATAATTCGGTGGTTGTAGGAATGTCGATAAATAATATTCTCCATATCCAAATTTTCACCTACTTTTACTAGTTTCTACCTATATTCGTGATTCTTATCGTTCTTTTACAGTCCGACAAAAACTACTACAGAAACGGCGAGGAAGTCAAATACAAGATGAAATGGTTCTTGAAAGGGTATCCGATTGACAACACATCTCGTGATCAGTTAGCTATCCGGTATGATTTGGACTCCTTGTTCGACGGATTCGTCAATGAGATTCCAAATGCAAAACTTCACGGTGTGCTGTGCGAAATATAAACACGTTCCTTTCATCCAAACTATATTTACCCGCACTATTAGACTCTGAGAATATTACTTGCAATGTATTTTATTCCTGGTAAGATATGCTTTTTGTGCTGAGTGGCAGATAGGTAAATGATAAACACCTTCATAACCTCTTTTAGGGCAGGACTTCAGAGCCGCAGTTTAGGGGTTTCACTGACACTGCAGTCGTATTTTCAGACTTGTTGGAATCTTTTGGATTCCGTAGTCTGAATTTTAAACTAATTATAGTCCCGAACTATAATGTCAGACGTGTTAAATTGGAGATAACTTTGGTAAACTAAACTATAATAACTGTTTTTTTTTTCGATTGTACGGTATTGTCTCTATTCCATTTGCCTCAGTGACTATTGCACTTTTGTGAATAGTGCCCAAGTGCCACAAAGTCGTTTTTCGAATTACACAATATATATATATATTAGAAGACTGATTTAGGGGGTTATAATCAATTGTTTATTTACTTTTCACCATAATAAATGACATTTTATAAGGCACCTAAACGTTAATAATATCAAAAGAAAATAAAGGCGGAAGATATATATACCAGCGGCCTGAGGCCGACCCTGTTATAATAGCAGTAGAGCAGAAAGCGATATTCAAAAACGCTTGCAAAACAAAGTACCAAATTCATTGTTGGCAACTATGTGAAACCCTATATTGTATATTGAGAAGTATAGAAATAGGCAAATCCTTCCAAGAGCACCGTGTCCAGTGTCTATCGATACGTTCTTGTTTGGAGAAAAGATATTAACCAATTAATTAATATGAAAATTTTATTTTAATTATACTTTTGGCGATTTTAATAATTCTCGTTATAACTTTTTCGGGGTATCTAAGCAACACAAAGCAGTGGCGTTGTCAAATGTATCCATATATGTATCTATATATGTATTATAGCGAAGCTTTCTTATAGGGTACTTCTTTAGAGTGAAGGCATAAAAATGTTCCATGAGAAGATAAAAAGTTGATTCGAGTGAGCACACAACATAAACCAAATTATATATCTTGATTGAAAAAAAAGTGTGTCAACATCACAGCCATTAGTAAATCATTGCCCCGTGGACACCGTTCATCGTAAAAAACAAAAAAAAGGAAGGCTAACCCAATTTGATCATAGTTTTGCGAGAAATTTTATTTGCACAAGTCAGTTCTCGTGAAATACAATTCTTTCCACATAACGATGTTTTCGCAAAATAGTCCTTTTCTGATATACATCCCCAGGTAGACAGTACATTGGTTTTACTGTAAAACACAGTGGCAGGGCCGTAATCAGAGGAGGGCGGTATTGAAATTTCTAATTGCCAAGTTGAACCGTAACAGCTAGACGGTCCGTGGGTTTTCAATAATCTTATGGTCTAGAAAGCGTTTCAAGCTCCACCACTGCACATCGGAAGGCGCTCAAGAAGTATGTGTACCAATATGGAAGTAACTAAATTTGTTCGCCTACTTTACATTGAGCTGTACGGAGGGACTGAAACCTTTGGGCAGAGGGTATATTCACTCGGCTAAATCAGACAGTCCCCGAACTCGTAATAGAACTAAAATAAGAAAATCGGACTAGAATTATGGCCTAACCCTAACACGGTACACACACTACGGAAGTAGGCTACCCATCGGAACAGATGTGATATATATGTATTGAAGTTTTCATTAATAACATGATGGAACTTTGATCCAAAGGTGAACTCGTCGGCAGTTAGTCATGCTGTTTCTGATATATAGATATACGAAGATAGAATAAGATATCATTTTTATTCCAGAAAGAGAAAGGTCGATAAGACGGCTTAACCATATGGCGAACCACGCCTCTCGTTCGGTTACCAGTCCATGTCGGATATGTGATTTGTTGGACAGTTATATGTTTAGATCTCACACAGTGCCCCATGTCTATGGCTTATAAGATCATCATTGAAAAATCCTTGATAAGATGAGTTGGTATCCCTTTTAGATTGCAGAGAGCAGTTGTGCTTGTATCTTTATTGTCCTTGGCGTGGATATGTTTAAGAGTTCGACTTCATGCGTGTTTAGCTAGCTTATTGTTAGCTAGTTATTTTTGAGGTGAGACGCGAGACTTGGCAAATTCTAAAAAGCGGGCGCAGCTTGAAAAGTTTGAGAACCACTGTTCCAAAAGCATCGTATCAGTGTCTATATATACAGTCTCGTTTGGAACAAAGGTATAACTAACTCATCATGAAAATCCTATTTTAACTTACTTTTGCCGATTTTAGTAATTTTCGGTATAACTTTTTGGAATATCAAAGGAACACAAAGCAGTGGCGTTATCAAATGTATCCATATGTGTGAATTATAGCTGTAGCTTTGGTTATTTTTGCAGGGATTACTAATACCATTCACACCTGGCGGTGCCGAAGATTTTCCAAAAACTAAAAGGTGCTTACTTAGTCAATGTGTGCTTATAGAGTGCTTTGTTCGGAAAGACAGCGTATGAAAGTTTAAACAAAGATGCAATTAAAAAAGCACAACACGGACAAAAATAGTCGCCCATGAAGTGTGTTTACCAACATGGGGGTAACTAATTTTGTTCTTGGCTGACACAGACAGTCCCCGAACTCGTAATAGATAAACCCTCGTAAACCCTAATCTAGTACACACACTACGTGAGGTACCCATAAATTTATCTCTGGGTCGAACGAGTATAAAAAGTGTCGCCAGTTAGTCAAGCTGTTTCTGACAGATAGATATACGAAGATAGGATAAGATATATATCATTTTTATCCCAGAGAGAAGTAAGACAATAAGGCGACTTAATTCACGAACCACGCCTCTCGTCTGGTTACCAGTCTATGTCGGGTATGTGATTTGTTAGACATCTATTTGTTCAGATCTCACATAGTATCCCATGTCTATAGCCTGTAGGATAATCATTGAAAAATCCTTGGTGAGACGCGTTGGTGTCTTTTTCAAAATGAATGCCAATCTGACCCCACGATGTCTTGTTAACTGGATATCCGGGGTACCAATCCATCGTATAATTTGAAATTGTACCATTCCGAAGATATGTTATCCCTGCCTGCCATGAAAAAAAAATTATATTTTATTTTTACTTATGTTTTATGTTGGTAATATAAATTGGCGGACAAGCAGCCTCTTTGTGGACAAAACGGACATTTTGAAGACGTTGAATACGTCATACAATACATCTCACGAACAAGCTTTCACGACTTTTAATTTTCATCGCAATCTGCATTTCTAATCAAAACCCTAACTAGAAAAAATACTAATTTTCCCACTTTTGTCGTTAGCGGGGTGTTTTTGGGTGCTCCCGAAGTATGTGAATCAAGATGGCGGACAACAGAAAGTAGTATGTGTACCAGGTTAGGCCATAATTTTATTCCAATTTTCCTTATTTTAGTTCTATTACGAGTTCGAAGTCTAGCCAGGCCACTTCCGTAGTATTTATAGTTGAAATTATGGTTCTCCCCCTAACCTGGTACACATGCTACGTTCCGGTGTCCGCCATGTTGGTTCACATACTTCAGGAGTATCGTTTTTTTGTACACAAAAAATCCGACATACGACGTCAATTACAAAATATTTTGAATTCATCGTATTTCTATGACAACATTCATAAAAATGTCACAAACCTGAGCATCGCGCGTCATTCCAAGCCAGACAGTTTTCCATGGCTGCATGACATCTCTCAGATATTTTACAATTATTTGAAAATGTTCTTCGCCATATATATTTGCCGCTTCCGCACCGTGCCCATGGCAAAGCTCTGCTGCTTTATCATACTGGATCCGCTTAGATTTGGTTGCCCAGTAGCACTTGTCTCCGTATTCTATTTTACATAATCCTGAAATAAAAGCAAGAGAGCGATGCTCAGATATATGGACAAGAAATCCAAAACGAAGTAGTACGCGTATGCAATCTGTCACAGACTAACGTGAAAGTGGAGCCAACACAAGGTACGCATTTTTTTGATTACGAAATTGTACACAAATAACGAATCCCATAAAGCCCACAGAAATTTTTAATATAATAAAAGTAATAGCCATCTAGCGAAAGATACAATCTTCAACTACTGAAAATTTCGAAGCAATTGGTTCAGTAGTAAAAGCAATTTTTTCATAACAATAAGAAGAAAATTACCAACAAGAACAAAAACAACATAATATCAAATCCATATGTACATTTCGTGTCCAATAATGTTTCAAAAGCTGTAAAAGGACTTTAGCCCCCCAAGTGTCACTCAGATGAGAGCAATAAAGCATTAGAAAGATAGCTATTGTTCGCACCATTAATACAGAGTTGCAAAGCCAAAGCTGCGAGTGTCGAAGTATTTTTAGTCAAGAGCCTCAGTCAAAATTTGTAACTAAAACGAAAATAGGCTTGCAAACACCAACGTTTTTAAAGTAAATTTTTGTATCAACCTGGGTTTTAATGTGGACATATCGGACTTATCAGAATTGGGAACCATTTTAATTAATCTGAACACAACACAGCTAACGTGGTTAGGTTTCCAGACACGAGGATGACACGGGTTAGGCCCAGAATTGTACAATGGAACAGATTTCGAGACTCAACAACAAATTGCACATTTGATTGCACAATATTGAACAACCAAAAGTAGCGGTAAAAGTCGTTAGCTTGCGCAATTTTTATGACGCAATAATTAACAGACCAGAACAGTTGCAATTCCGGTACTATAGTTGTAATGATCGTTATGTTGGATCGTCAAAAAAATTATATGTAATGTTGGATTTATAGAACTTTTTTTTATGTCACTGCCTAGAGGCCCACCAGGAAAAACAATGTCCCGCGATCCATAGTTTGCCGACCACTGGTTTAGAATATACTGGTTCATAATAGCTCATGTTTAACAGTGAGTTGAACGGTTGAACCCTCTCATGCTAATTCGCGATGGCCGTAAAGGACAAGAAATACCGCGAGCAAAATGATAAGACGTTTTTTATTCTTTCAGTGTTATTCACGGCATATTTAACGTAATTTGAGCACGAAGCTTACAAGTTCGTCGAAAGAATTATTTCCAAATCTTTTTTCAAACAATTAAAGAACGAAAAATAAAACGATTGTTGAAAAAGTAAAGGCCATGACATTCCTACAGTAAAATTTAATCCGCTTTCCAGCGGAAAAACAATTTTCACAATAACAAAAAATTGGAATTATTCAAAATAGCCAATGTCAATTAAAGTGCAAATGAAATGAGTTATGCCTTGAAAAACAGTCATGGTTTAGTTTGAACTTACCGTCATAGAACACACACATAAATATATATAAAATGAAGATTTCTCTATATATATATCGGGCAAAATCATGAAAATCACAATGAATTGGAGATGGACCATGTTCAAAGATGTCCGCATATGAATATTTATATAATTCCAAAATCTCTCTGCAAATAATTTTACATAAAACTAATAAGTTGATGTTACTCATTACTGTACAAGAAGAGACTATATTTTGAAATCTACCGAAGTCTTACGGATTTTGGTATATCCTTTCGAATTGATTGTATTCCGGAGGTACTGGGTATTGGTTATTGTAAAATGTTTCACAGTAACAACAATAGCCCAATTGCCAAAGATGAACGATTCTTTGAAGGCAAAATGCGGAGTCTGGTTTGATTCAACTGTCATCTTAACGATTATTTTATCCAAATTATGTCCAAACCCTTAATTCGTTTAAAACTACTAGTATGTATTCTTAATGCAAAAGTGGCCGTAATTGAACATGGATTTTTTCACAGGTATATTTTTCACGAGTCATAAGCCGTCATAATTTAGAATTAGAGAGCTATGCTCAAATATATGGACACGTAGCGCCACCCAGTGGCAATAATTTTGATGACGTCATAGCGAGAAAAAAAAGTAATAGCCTTCTGGAGAAAAATTTTATCTTCAACCACTGAAAATATCAAAGCAATTGGTCCAGTATTCGAAGAGAAACAAAATTTTGAAACGATCGTTATGGCCACTAAACGTGTCCAATTAGCCTCCAGCAGAGAATTGGGTGTAAGTGGAATTGGAATAAGTGTGTGTACCAATATGGAGGTAACTAATTTTGTTCGCCTACTTTACATCAAGTTGTGTAAAGGGATTGAAACCTATGGACAGAAAGTATATTCACTTAGCTGAAACAGACAGTCCCTGAACTCAAAATAGAACTAAAATAAGGAAAATAGAAACAAATTATGGCCAATCCTAACCAGCTACACACACTACGGGAGTACCGAGAATTGTATCTTTGACTTCTGGACGAAACCTATTTAAGAATTGTAAAACTGCAATTTTGCAAGGATTTGGGTAACATTTATATTTATTATATTTAACCCCCCAAGTTGAGAAAGAGGTACTCCCGTAGTGTGTGTACCACGTTAGGGTTAGGCCATAATTTTATTCCGATTTACATTATTTTAGTTCAATTACGAGTTCGGAGACTGTCTGTGTTAGCCAAGTGAATACATCCCCCAACCACAGGCTTCAGTCCCTTTACACAACTTGATGTAAAGTAGGCGAACAAAATTAGTTACCACCATATTAGTACACAGCATGCGACCTCACGATTCATAATTAATGGCCTGGTGTTTACATTCAATACTTCAGCATTGTGAATACTCAAGTTCTGAGTCACAACGAAACATATCGCGGGCAAATGAACAACGTACTTTTTCTAACAATACTGGTAGCAGGTACAGTTGTGGTTGTTATACCTCGAATTCTTGCGACCGCCTTTTCGCTGAGATTCATCAGAGCTGCCTCGATCTTTTCATCCAGTTCATTAGAAGATACTTTATATTGATCTGAAAGGCAGTAGGGTACTGTGATTAAATATGAGGTATTCAATGCTTTTACAGTAACAAATATCGTAATAACAGAGCTATTACAATCATGTATTAGATGTTAAAACCATGAGTGTCGCTGCTCGATAACCAGTTTTAGTTCCCCGCGACTTCTCTTCCCCAGTAATGCGAATATCATTTTTTCCTTATATTTTTTGCGTGTTTTTGTCCTTTGCTGGTTAAATAAATTAACTTGACTTGTATGGGCACAAAATGCTTCTATATATCCCTCCCTCTTACACGAAAAATAACCCACTGGAAGTGTAGGAAATCCATGGCGTAGTATAATATTTCAAATTTAGCAAAATTTGAGGCAAAACGAATGAAATTGACAGTCCAGTAATACGGAGACATTTTCATCTTTAACTATCTGATAAAGTTGATGGTGATGGGTAGCAGAAAAGGGTAATAGGGTGGTGGGACAAGGACAAATTTACTCATTCGGAAAACCATGAACTGAACAGCTAACCTAAAATGCTCACAAAAAAGCATATTTCCTGCGAAATACCTTGAATTTTTGAAACAGTTCGATTTAGCCAAATCGGTAACAAAGCGTTGACTTTTGAATCCATAAGTTCTGTTGTATTTTGTTTCTTTGATGAATGTAATTCTGATCGATTCTGTGAAATCAAACAGTTAATATTACTGAAGATTTGGCTCATATATATATTTTGTCGTGTGCGATCGTCTACAATTCTAATTATCTCTTACCTGTAGCATTAGAATAAAACTGGCAACCGTAAAAATGAAGATAATGAACATTATGATCGCAAATACGGTGAATATCAAAGCTTTTCTGCTCAATTTAATCCTTTTTGGCGATGGTTTTATTCTCGGTTTCTTTTCCGGTTCTGTTCGGTCGGGAGGCAGTTCCGGCTTCGGTTCGAATTTAACCTCATCTGTGAAAAAAGTGATAAATGCATTTTGCGATTGTAGTTACTCATATGCAGTCACAAATAGGGCTGGGAATTTCAGAGAAAACACTTTAACCACTAACCGGGTAAAATTAACCGGTTAACCGAAGCGTGACGTTTAACGTAATAATGTAAATATTTCAGCTTGTTATCGCTCAAAATTATTCACGATGGAGTCTCATGATCGCTTTGCTGCAAGAGATATGCAGCGTGCTTTGGACATATCGAAATATTTTAGTAAAACCCGAATCCGTTATTAAATGTCATTATGTGACAAATTTTCGGTGTTCGACTTGCGAATTCTACTCTGAGACATCATAAAGAAAAACAGCATCAACTGCGCACTTGTTGGATAACATTGAATATAAGATTTTGCGATAAAATCGTGAACAATATATTTCGACCGAAAACTGATTCTGAATTTATCATTGTCAAATTTTCCTAATCAGCAATCTTGGTACTTCAATGATTTTTCACATTTATTGGGTCCTCACCGATACAGTTAGTGAGATATTCTTTCAAATTAAACGCCACTGGAGATAAATTTGCGATGACGTAATCATTTTTGAAGAAATTGTACATTATAAAGATGATTTGTACCTGAGATGTCAGTTAACAGTTAGAATAAATCGTAACCGTTTACCAACTAAAATCGGTTAACCGATTAACCGGTTAAATATTCCCATCCCCACTCACAAAGTTTCGCTATTTTTCTGGCTCAATAAGGCACAGCCCCAGTTTTCGATCTTTTTGTGGGAACGGAACGCCAGCGAAATATTCGATGGGCTCAAGGTACCATTATGCAATAGTTTAATTGTCTGGATTGTACAAGGTATGAATATATATGAGAAGCAAACATAGTATTGGCAAAACAAAGGGGTATTTGAAGAGTAATCTCTAAGAAAATTATGATTGCAAAAAAAGTAAATTAACATATAGCAATACTAATCGGTCGTGACTCGTGACTAGTAGTAGATTCAAAGAGTTCGCGAGTCCGTTCTTACACTGACTGTCATGATAAATGTCGAACCCGTATTTGTTTTAGCGTCAGGCGACCGCAGCAAGTGGGTAAGGTGAACCGCAGGCGACGACTAGCGCTATACTGGCTATTGAGAGTTCTGTATTAGATTCATGTAAAGTGTCACTGGTGACATATTAAATCAGGGAAACAGTCAGTCAATGGTTTATTTCTTCACGTGCCGAGAGTACATATTGTTCAAAGAAAATTAAGAAAGATAAAAAAGGCATTTCTGTGTGAAGGGGTACGCGACTAACCAGTGATTGTTATCGAACAGCGTCAACTATGTGCGTGAATCTAACATTAAATCATACAGAAAAAAGGAGTCAAACATAGAATACTAACAAATGTCGGGCTTTGAGATACATCAAGCAATCCGATATCCCGGTGTATCCCCGTTGTTTGCGAGTTCGAAACAGAACGCGTATCTAAAATTTTGAATTCCGTTACTGGTCGTGACAAATGTAATTTAATTAGAAGCTGTATTGACATTGTAAGTTTGAAGGCGTTGGTTCGCATTCACAAGTGCAGTTTCAAGTATTTTGTGGCGTCTAAAGATGCCGCAAACGCATGGCAGGATGTCCAAACCATGACCGCTATGGTCGAACCACGTCGATTGATTTTTTAGCGGCCACAAACCAATGGCGGGTGAAATTTTGCTGCCGTAACCAAGGCATGTCGGCTGTAATGGATGGGTGACCCTGATGTAAAATATTGGGTAAATTGGAACATTTTTCTTATGGATACAGTTTTGAAGGATTTGGGGTCAGGTTTAGGTGGATATAATTCTTCATGATAAACGAAAATCTGGTACATGACTTTGTGAATATACCGGTAATACTGGTTAATGAATAGCGTCATAAAATCATGGCAAGAGACGCCGCGATTCGTTCGTGGCAGGAGCTGCCACGAAGTGGTAAGAACTGCGACTCTGCAATCAAAGCACAAGTGACCTATTTTTCAACATTTTGAAATTTACTAGTTGAGTTTTTTTGCTTCCGAGCAAGAATAGTAACTACAATTGCGCCAGTTTGAAAACTTGCCGCTACATCCTATAAAGAAATGTTACAAACATTATACTATACAAAAACCTGTGAACTCAATTCTTATTGTTTGTGAATGGAAAAAATCTCGAAACTCATGCCAAACGAAAGTATCAAAATTTCACAGATCAGCATAATTACCAAAGTTTATTTTTGTCGATTCTTCGAATTCTAAGTCATTGCACTCCAGGCTATTTTGACATAATATGATAAAATCTTGCAACAAGACATTGAAGTGTGATCAATGTTATTGATATGGGCGCTTTCAAAAAATTCAATAAAATGGACTGAAATTGCATACTACATAACTAGGCAACTGACATACCGAGATGGGAAAGTTAGGCTATAGCAGCCTGCACGTTTAAAACACAATCATTATAATCAAAGATTTTAATATGGAATTGAAAAAAAAATTACAAAACGCCTCGAATGAATACTGAAAACTGCTGAAAATAATAAAACGAGTGTTAATGTATGACAAATATGTAAGACATCAAAGAGAATTTCAAACAACTTGCCACATTAGTCGATATAGACTTAGAATTTCACTCTGCTTAACCGCAAGACGCGAACTAATGATGAAATCAGTTTCACGATGACGTTAACAAACATACCATCGATATTTACAAACTCAATTTTCCCATCCGATGAAAACACAGCTGTTGGTAGCTCGTCAGGTTCTTCAAAAATATCATTAAATCTGGCATACATATTACTCGTCCTACGATTCATGTCGCTTATTTTGCTCGTAAGACGTTTCAATTTAAATACTCATACTTTCCTATATGAACAGTAAAAACACAAAACGTTATGTAATGAACTTGTAGTACATTAAAAAAAAGGGGAGTATTCTCATATTTCATGGAATTGGCAACTGCGGGTATCTTTGCTAGACAGCAACTGATAAATGAACATTATTAGAGACGTAATACAACACAACAGCAGCGGTTTCATATCTTATCCTAGGACAGGGGTGCCAAACTTGCGGCCCCATAGAACTTCCAATGCGGCCCTCGAACGCTTAACAGTAATTGTTATTTTTCAAAATTCTAAAGTCACTGTTTAATTTGTCACTTTTCCATCAGTATAATGAAAAAATACAATATAAGTAGACATTATCAGAATAAGCACAGCATTCAATATGACAAAATTTAAAGATCAACTTCGAAACATGAAACTGCAGTTACATCAAGTACAGCTAAATCAGCAGATAACCTGCTTCAAAACAATCTGTAAAAGTAAAGTTTATGATCTTTTGTAATAAATACAGTGAATTGCAATAATAGTGAAATGCATGAAATAAATATGCAAATGGCATTTGAAATTTAAGAAAATAGCAGAACTTTATTCGGTTCTTTAATTACATCACATATAATATATGTGTCACAAACTACACCTATCTAAAAGTATGCTTTAAGTATGAATTATCAAAATCAATCAAAAACTGTTTGCGGCCCTTTGCACAATTCCCAAAATGCATTGCGGCCCTCGAATACCCACGAGTTTGACACCTCTGTCCTAGGATATGGGTCTCATTTAACCGAGGGAGGAGAAAACCGATAGAAAGCAAATACAGATTGTGTAATAAATAAAGCAACTTGAATCTGATTTGGATACGTATACAACATATTTGGTCGTATACAACATACGACCAATTGAAGTTTTTTAGATTGTCATATTCTTATTAAAATTACACTTGCGACCCATATGTTATCTTAACCTATCCCTCCGTTTATCTTTCACATCTAGTGACTGGAAAGGTGCAATGTTATGTAAAGTCAGCTTTAGTTAGAATTGACTAAAATTTATGCATCCTATTCTGAACCTGTACACTTTTACTCTCGTTATATTAGTTTACTCGATAGCTGCATAATACAAGTAATAAACAGCTTTCATATTATTCTCAAATATAAAAATTAAAAACACGAGAGTTCAATGCTGTTGAATAATAAATACCTTTAGGCTTCGCACGATTAATCATCAGAAATATCGCATTATGACGATATAATCTCCGCTTGATATTGTGATCCGAGTAAATTTACAGATGCCAGATTGATATAATCGGTCATTTTCGAGAGGTCAGAAGTTTAGGCGAAATTTTTTTATCCTGTTTATAAATTGGTCCATTCACTGAATAATATTGCGTTTATATCATGTTCACATGGAATTGCGACTCGGCAAGACGGCTCATTTGCAAAACAGAATGTCACAAACACTCAAAGACCTCTTATGAAAGCGTCGAGTGATTAATAGATTGCATGAGTGTGGTAAATGTGGATAGTATTTCTTCAATAATGAAAGGCGCGCTGTCAAGCGTCTTACTTGCGCTTAGTACGATGCGCCAACTGGACAGAAATATATATGTGCTGCATGCCAATGTCCATTTTTGCAGCGTTTTATACTAGTATTTATATTTTAGAACTAAACTGATCTGAATAATGCATATTAAGTAATATTAAGTTCAAATGGTACTTCTCCGAGCGTTCTTCTGAGAGAAATATTTCGCGTCTAATGGAAGAAGAGGAAAGTCGATAATACCGTGTTTCTTCGAAAATAAGACCTAGCCCGACTTTTAAAAATGATTTTAATATAAGCCCTCCACCCAATAAAAGACCTAGTATATAGCGCAAATTTCATTTGACCTAATCCTAGTCGATAGCAAGAAATCTCTCCAACACGTTTCAAGTGATAAATCTAAAACACGTGGGAGAGGAAACGTGTTATTTATAAGTAAATGGATATCGGTTTTTATATTTTGTATACTTGAAAATCTCGTAATTCTCTACTTTGTAATTTAAATGAACGAAAATAAAAGACATCCCCGCAAAATAAGATTTAGTTCTATTTTTTTTCAAGAGAAAATTGAAATAAGACACTGTCTTATTTTCGGGGAAACATGGTATACGCCAGTGGTTCCCAACCTTTTATGGCTCGTGGCCCCCTTGTGGGGCCTTTCTGCACTCGTGGCCCCCCTGTTCACAATCCAAAAAAACTAGACGTGTTGGATTGTATTATGTTTTTACGACCTTTTAAGGAATGCAAAAACCAACCAAAGCTTTTTAGTATACAATCAAACAGAATCTTGCGCTTGGGACTGTCTTACAAGGTTTTTTATGGGAGGTACAGTCTTTGATATAGCTAGACGAATGTCACTGTTAATATAAAAACGGCTTTGATGGTAACAAGAATAAACAGATTCGTACAGATAGGTTGTGGCAAATTACTTTCTTGCTAACTAACAGGTAAGAGTACAAAATGCCACTTCAAGATCGGGCTTTCCCTCCGGCAGAAATCCGAACTTGGCCAGTGTTGCTTTTTTGTCAAATTCAATTGCTTGGCAGCCAAGAAACCGATGCCCACGTCTTTTACCCAAGGATATGTTTTGTCACGATGGTTTTGGAGTTTAGATGGGCGTATTGATTCACTGCTAATGTTCTGTCATCTCGATTTACTTTTGTAAAACCAAAGCCAACGTAACTGTTGTTTCATTTTCGTATTTTGGGCATTATGATCAAGAATTCACTCTGCGACCGCAAATAACCTATTCAGGTAATGAAATTGTGGTGAATGTCTGAACAGAGGATTTTATTTTAAAAGAAAAGTATGTAAATGAAGTTGTTTTATGATTAAATATTGGCCTTGTGTCGTGGCCCCCCTTGAACAGCTTCGTGGCCCCCTTAGGGGGCCATCGGCCCCCGGTTAGGAACCACTGGTATACGCGAATCTTTGCTGCTTGGCGTCTTCCATCAGACTTCAGAAACTAGTTTATTATATATATATGTCAAATAGGCTCAGGTTTTTCGACTATAACTGGCAATGGCATCGGCTACTATATATTTCAAGAGACTTTTTACGAGCCTTCCACAAGGCTCTGTACACCCAACTACTAATATGCGAAAAGTTCCCATAATTTTAGAACAACATTTGGAGCCTCTCGAGCGCGACGATCGCAAGAAGCTAATCATTTTGGAAGAAACTTAAGCTTTCTGGTTCGGCATCGCTTGTCCAATTTATTACACCCTGATTGGGGATCGATTCTCCCCTAATTTTGAGGTGTGATACCACGCTGCATTTCCTAACTCACGTATAATTGTATTTATATGGCAATATTTATCAGTGTAAATCGTCTGTCAAATACATAACACAATTTTATAAGTTAAAAATAGATTTATCGCTAATAGCAAAATATTTACCACCCTCTAAATTTTGAAACACCCCCTTAAAATGGAAAGCTGGGCAACGGACATGGGCTTATGAACCCGGGATGCCACATTTACGACCAACGCCATGATCGCTACTTAACAACAAGGCTCTGCTTCGTCTTAGTAAAACATAATAACACAAGAAATGTATATATTTATAGTTGCAAAGTTTCATTTTAAACGTTATTAACACTATGATAAAGAACTAACATAAATATCTGTATCATCGAATATTCTGGTATGTCGACAAATAAGATCAGATTTTCCGTCTCCGTTGATATCAAGAACTTCAATTTTATCAAATATGTTCATACAAAAAGGGCCTGCGTCATCGTGTTGGTAAAATGCTCCACCTTGAATCGACTTGTAGATGAAATTCCGTCTGTTATATGAGATAGGATCTACATATTTATCCCGGGGGAGAGAAAATACGGCTTAATCATATGGCCTCCCGCCCGCTTACCACAGGGTTGGTATGGGATTAGTTAGTCATTTATTTGTTTTTCGAAAGCATGGAATTGATGGTGGAGGAAGCCGTAACCGACCAGCGGTTACGTGAACCACACCACGGCGGCGAGGAGTCTAGCAATCCTCTCGCACATAAGTATATCCCACGGGATACGAACCTGCCAACTCACGCAGGGTAAGTGAGCGGATTTCTAACGCTTAGCACGATATGCCACACCGCCGAGCTTATTCTGAATAGTTAATTTGAAGGACACAAACAACGAACTATTTTGATTAAAATCCACAAACTTACGTCATGAGAGAGTCCTTGCAGAAGACATCATCTGATCGATCTCCGTTGAAGTCACCGATATAGATATGATCGATCGCACAGTTTAATCTTCCCATCCAACGCATGTAAGATGTTCCATCAAAGTTAGTAAGAAACACTTTCCTGAAATTAATAAAATATTAAATTTATTACCGTCGATTTTTTCGTTGTTTTCCCTTTTACTCTAAAAAAAAGCTGTACAAACAGTCTAAAAATGGAGTCGATAAAATATGTAAGACGATCTTTACTTTCCACCGTCGAGGTGATGGATAATGTATTTGGCTTTACCATTCAACTAAAATATTCCAGAATTGCAACCTTTGTGGCTGCGATGGGTCAGACATTCCCATATGTCCCTCACTAATTCTAGAATTAAAGGTAATTAAAACCGAAAGGTCCATCTGTGTGAAAAAGTGTTTAAACAACTGCACAAATTCCAATTGTTACATAAATTATTAAAGCTGATTGGTCATTGATACGGAAATAATCAAGGAAGTCGATCTTCGGGGAAACATCCATTAGACAATATATCAATCAAATCAATGCAACAAGTTTGGGAGGTATATGTTCGATTTTACCATTAGAAATAGTCTCAATATTCACTAGATACACTCACAGAAGGTCAGCACTTTCTCCACACATTGTATCAGTCCTTCCATCGCCATTAAAATCTCCAATAAACCAGTGATTATTCGGCAGAGGATCGCACATTTCATTTGCTATTATTGTCGCTTTCTGATCAAACCCCTCGATGAATTTCTGATTCAATTAAAAATAACACGATTAATGGTCAAAAGTATGCACTTGAGCGGGCTCAACTTATCCAAATACAAGCCAAAGTGACAATGAGGCAAAAATTGTCCACATGTCTACTTAAACAAGGATCTCAAAAAAACAGACTCGCATAAAAAATGCAAAATAGTATATTATAATGGGTACTCCCGTAGTATGTGTATCAGGCTCGGGTTAGGTCATGATTTTATTCCGATATACCTTAATTTAGTTCTATTACGAATTCGGGGGCTGTCTGTGTTAGTCAAGTGAATATACCCCAGCCAATAGGTTTCAGTCCCTTTACACAACTTGATGTAAAATGGGCGAACAAAATTAGTTACCTACCTCCATACCGGTACACATACTTCTGGAGCACCTAGTAATGTATGAAACCATAAAGTTGAAGATTTTAAATGAACAGGCTACAGCGATAAACTATTTGCCTAGTCATGTCAAGTTTATTTTTTCTAATCGAAAAAAAAATTAGTCATATACTAACATAGAATGTCCTTTAACAAGAAGTAACGAACCCATTTAATACAGTTAGTTAGGCCACACTGAGTAAACCTTAGAATCCACAAGTCTTAAACAAGTATATAAACAAACGGTTACCCAAATATCCATCTGATATTAGTCATGAATTCATAATCACCATTTCAGAAAGTTTAGGAGGAATAGCTAACGTCTCAATGTCATCAAGATTCAAACTTCGTACTTTTGCACTGCAAGGACGATCGCACATTTCAATATGGGTTCTGAAATATAATTTGATTCAACTTGCTTATGAAGACTGGCAATCTGCAATATCTATTCCACAAAAAGCATTTAATTCTACAATAACTAAAAAAAAAATAGCCCATTCAATGCTGTCAAAGTAAATCTAAAGTACGATTACATAATTAATGAGATATTTCGAGAGTAAGATCTTTTAAAATTTTCCATGGAAAAAAGAAAGATAATACCATGGCTCAAATACGAGGCAAATACGGCTGATTGTTCGGACACCAGCCCTATTGTGTCCGGAAACAACCGTATATTTGTTCCAAAATGCATCAACTGATACCACACGAAGATGCCACAGAGCAATCTATGATTCATAACCAAGTGATTTATTCTAGAAAATGGAAATTAGCAACAAATGCAGTATATATTATTAATGCCATTCAAAAGACTCCATATTTGCCTTCCTGTGAACTTACTCAAATCCACGGTCATCAATTTCTCCTTCTGTGCATTTGAATGACTTGCGACCTTTCTTATCAAGGCATTCTCTCTTTCTAATGCGAGATGATTTTCCACATGTTGTCATGCATTCGCCCCAGCTTGTCCACTCAGAAAATAATGGTTTGTCGTCTAAAATTGCGAAATGCAGAAAAATGTAAAGGAATGTAAAGGAACAATTGCTATCTCATTGAAAGTGTAATTTAATTGGCAAGATATCAGTAACGCAAAAAATAGCCTTCCCTATATGTGTGCATATATTTTGTTTCATGGTTTGACAAATGAAATAAACTCTCTCTTTCTATAGGTCGATCCTAATTATGATCATAACAGTAAAAACTTGAAAAGAAAGAAATGCATGCATGCATCTATAAGCAATCTACCTTGCACCTTAATGCTATGACTCCCAGGTTGCAAGGCACTTTACTAATGCAACTTTCAATTTAGCTCAATCTTGAAAAACAATAGGAATTCATTGCCCTATGGGGGGGAGCTGACTCTGATGATTATATGGTCGCACCGCTCGCCCCAGTCTATACCAAAAAATTTGCGTATGTCATTATTGTGTATTTGTTTATTATTGTTGCAATGCTCGTTTTTCTGGTTGACGAAAAAATAAATCTCTCTATTTAATAAAATTTTCTGTAACACAAACCTTCACACTGTTCTGTATTACATTTCTTTCCTTTTGATTTTCTTCCTTTTCCTCTGCAAGCTCCTTTCACTGAACATTTACGATATCTGACAAAAACAACAACTAAGCTCTTGCACTGATATTGCTATTCCTTTTTACTTTTGCCAAAATTTCCATTCCACACTACATATCTAACTAAGGGTAGTCCAAACCCAGGTTTGCAGGACAAATGAACTTATATATTCGCGGAAGCACTTTCTTCGTTATGAAGAGTTTGAAATCTTAAACTAAATCAAGAGACTTTTTGCACGATTTAGTGAGTTTTTGCACTGTTTACCTATTCTGGCCGCGAACAATGCAAGAATAATTCTGTGGCCCCGGAAGCGGAAAACCTTGGACCACCCTGATCTAACTTGTTCTGCATATTTACTGGAACTAAACCTTATACATATATACTCTGAGAAAAATTGGTGAACACATAGAACACTATGCATAGTAGGGTAAGTTTATTTCTGCTACAGCATCCTTGCATTATACGCATATGAATCCACTAGCACGGTGGTATTGAGAAAGGATTGGGGGTTGGTCTCGCATAACCTCTACTCATATTACTGATGACATTACTGCATTTCACCAGGAGCAAGAAAAGACAAATAGATACCATGAATTAGTGGTTCCCAACATTTTTAGTTGAATTCCCATTTCTATACAGTTCCAGTAGTTGTGTGTATAAATAAGAATTATGGCAATAATAAAAAATAAAAAAATATTGGTAATACTAAAGCAAATACGAAGCACAATTCTCCCCAAAACTGACATAATTACTCTCTCCTTGAGATAAATATGGAGTATACTCTACTTTTATATTTGAATAAAACTAGGATAGGAAACTACGTACTTCATCATAATTCCAGTTCCACAACTTTTGCTGCATTTGCCCCACTGACCCCATGGCTCCCACCTTGCTTCCTTCACAGTTATGTCACAAGGTCTGATCTGACATGTTCGACCTTCTCTTGATCTTCCTTTACAACCATATGATATGAAGTCAAACATCTTAAAGAAAAAGGAAACAAAGTTCTCACTAGTCAGAAACAATTGAGGGCACTCAAGAAGTATGTGTACCAAGCTGGAGGCAACTAATTTTGTACGCCTACATCAAGTTGTGTAAAGCGACTGTAACCTAAGTACAGGGGGTATATTCACTTGGCTAACACAGATAGTTCACAAACTTCTAATAGAATTTCGGGACACACACTACGTACCCGACTGAGTACTATACTACGGTATATTCCTATACTTGAAGTGAACTGATTTAAGCCATTTGATCATTTTATTATTTTCAAGATGAATGAGAAGAATCCGATTCTGTAATCTAACAAACAATGCCATCAATATCATATTGGGTCTCGCGGAAAGGGGTTTTAACAAAAATAAAATAAAAGTGTAATTGTTTTCTGGGGGCTTCAGCCATTTTTAAGTGGTGAAAATTTGAAATGGATTGGTCCATTAGTAGCAGAGAAAGCAATTTTTTACAATAACTAGCTAAATGTTTAAGTACAATGCTAAATGTTTAAATGTTTAAGCTCGCTTTAAGTACAATGATTTAAAGTCAATTAATATTCAATGTTGGTTCGTATTCAATGAAGCAAATTTTATCGGTCTTCGAATTGAGAATGAATATAATTTATTGAACGGGTGTTTAGCTTGATTCAAATAATATTGAAATGAAAAATTACTCTATTAAAATAAATGAATGAGTAATAATGGTTTTCAATAGTATTTGAAACGATAAACAAGTTTAAACTAACACTCCAACATACTTTGCATTGCCTAGTTCTTGTCCGTATGGAAGGTCCGCATGTTTTCTGACATCGACTCCATTTTGACCATTCTGTCCAACTCAGTGCAAAGACAGCTAAATTAAAAAATAAAAAGGTATTAAAATTCAGCGATCATGGGTATTGATATTGATTAATATGTGTAACAAGCCGGTTGGCGCCCAGGATCTCCGGTTACCATCCATAGAAACTTGTGGATCTATAACAATAGTGTGATTAAGTGATGAGGTTATCAAAACTGCCAGTTTATTTAAGCGCTTCACGTTTCATAGACATGAGTGAGTGGTATACTGTAGCTAATGATTGAAATAAATAAATAAATAAATTGAAATCCCTAAGGCTTTTCCAATTCACAGAGTATGGAGACAAAAGACGACTTGTTTGAACGAATATTTTTCTCTGCGGAGGGTAGCGTTTTTGAAATTTCAATTTTATACTTGGTTGAGGATAAAACCTCGATGAATTGTAAGAAAATTAGAAATTTTATAACGAGTGATGCGTTATTTAAATTTTATTTCAGCCTTTCGATGAAGCGCACATCCCAAGGGTGACAGGTTAACACATGTGTGACATTTCATCCTGATCGGTCCTGCCGTTAAGACGCTGCAGCTTAGACACACAGACAGAACGAGCGATAATAAGGGTCTTCCATAGCGAAGATCCAATTATTTTATACCATTGTGGAGTTCAAAACAAACTATACGTTACCTGATCTTGTATCAGCCATCATTGATCTTTGGACAGAATCTGAAAATGAAGTTTTATTAGAAATCTATGTTGGTTATTGCATGTATCATATAATTGTAGCGATCCAAAACTGTGACAACCTAGTTGACCAGTACCAGTGGCCCCCTAAGGAGCAGTTGACAGGGGGGGGGGGGGGGGGCAAAATGCTGAAGAAACCCCCCCGCTCTTCCTAGTTACATTGCTTGATAAAGTTTTTTCACAGGGTATTTTGACTTTGTTGAGCAAGAATTGTTTGGACATAATGGGATTTGGAATCTACCAATCAAAATAACACTATAAATGCCACTGGAATGATAAACAGGGGCCATGAGTGCTAAAAGCTTCCGGAAAAGGACTACAACCCACGCAAAGTTGGGAATCACTAAAATTGGTACTCCCGTAGTGTATGTACCAGGTTAGGGTTGGGGCATAATTTTATTCAAATTTTCCTTATTTTACTTCTATTACGAGTTGGGGACTGTCTGTGTTAGCCAAGCGAATATACCTCCTGTCCATAGGCTTTAGTCCCTTTATACAACTTGATGTAAAATAGGCAAAAAAAATTAGTTACATCCATATCGGTACACACACTTCTAGAGCGCCCTAAAATTTTGTTCAATATTGAGTTCAAGTTTGATATTGACTCTATGTTTTAACTATGAAGTCAAATCATCTGAAATTTCACATTCTTCCCATCTCGAAATAAATACCAATCTTTGTCTTCTTTGAAGTGATGACAAAAAGTCTCACTAAAACAGTTTAAAAAAACACCATTAAGTCCATGCTTCTGAAAAGAAATACTGACTAATCACATATCCGACATGGACTGATAAACGACCATGGTAAACGGAGAGGCTGTGGTTCGCCATGTGATTAAGCTGTCTTATCTACTTTCCTCTCTACCAGAATGTATAAGTACAGTAAATCTAAGACATACTAGCTAATGAGTTCTCTGGTGCACCATCACAATATACAGAAACTATGTCTTCTATATCATTAGCTGTTAAAATTGATCCTCCTCCAACAAGCGCTTCTTTTGTGTCAAGATCGAGCATCGTTGGATCGACTTTCTCTTCGTGGGTTTTAGAAAAAGCGTATCCATCCAGTGTCATGATGCTGTTCTTGTCAAATTCAGAGTTTGAGATTATGTAATTCTGTGGGTTCAGCTTATTGAATGCATTCTCATATGCTGGAAAAAAGTAAGTTTTCATCAAATGTAAGGTAGATCTTTTCAGAAGGAATGATACTACTATCTCAGCACAGGAATCTTTTTTAAATAGGCGGAATGGACCAGTAGTGATTCGTGCATTCAAGATTATGGATTAGAAATATTAAGCCACATGACCCATACCCCACAAAGAGTGTAATAAATTAGATAAGCTATAACAAATTGAAAAGATATCGGTCATTATCAAATCACCATTGGCCACTTGCCATTTTTATGTCATCATTGATGATACCTTGATGACAGCACTCGAGTTCAATTATCAGTTATACAGACGGTCAGTCAGTAGTTTATTTTTCAAGCATTTCAGCGTGACAGACAAATGAGACAATGTAAGTCAGAATGTATTTTTCAAAGCACAAAATTCAGTACTTCAATATATAGAAATTTGGAATGCTGTGTCTCTAAATTGCGGGACAATATGGAAATACAGGGTTTATTAATTCCTGTCAACTCAGTAAATTAGTACAGGATTATCATATTTATTATAGGGGGAGAAAAATGAGAATCTAACACAGTGATACTATCAAATCGAATATTCATCAATTCTTATGGTCAGTTACCCGGGTCCACGTTATCCCAAACTATATTAATATAAGCATCTCTATCCTCTCTCATATGTTCATGATGGAATCCTAGCGAATGCATGAGTACGTGTAATACATGAGAGTATGAGTAGCATGAGGCAACATTGAGGATGTTTCTTCCTGGGTGTCGCGAATAACTCGCACTGAAAAAAAGTTTTCAAATTAAGACAAAAGATAGGATTTACATATTTATCCCCGGGGAGTCCAGTGGAACATTTGCATTGCACTACATTTTCACTTAGATTCTATGTGATAAATTGAGATTGCCAAATGTAGTCCTTTTATGTTTTATGTCTAGACATCATGTCTTGTGTTGTCAATTTTTTGTATCATGGCGGACTCCCAATTCAATTTCTTTAACCTACTTTATCACTGTTATTTACTCTTAGCAAGATTTGTAGATTCGGATCTTGTGAAGGTGAATAATGTGCAAGAGAATTAATTGGATTTCTTGAATCCATAGTAATTTTTAAATAGGTAATTTCTTGAGAATAGTGCTTCTCAAACTTTTTAAACCACATCCCCTTCTGAGAATTTGTCAAGTCTTGTGCCATCTCAATAATAACTAGCTTACAATAAACTACAAATAACAGATAGTAGGGCGAAAGTATGTTTTATTAAAAAAACACGTTGCAAATATGTGGATGGAAGGTAAATATCCGAAATAAAAAATGTAAATATCTAAGGCGGGCAGGATCAAATCTAACAAATATTTTATTTTCAATTAGCTTCACACCCCCTCAAAAAATTGTCTAGCTCCCCCTTGTGGGGCACCCCACTCTTTTGAAAACCACGGCTTTAGAATATTTCAGTAACAAATGAATGAAATTTTTACCTGCAATCACCATCTCCATTCTGAATGTGCAAATAATCAGGATGATCCGTTCTTGGTATAAACTCTAAGCATGTCTTATCTCTGAAGATGGCAAACGCTTGTAATATTGCTTCCTTGTGCTCAGGATCTGCAAAAGTACAGAACATTATTACAAATGTCTGCTCAAATCATAGTTGCAAGTCATCACCTGGATGTCTGGGTCTTTGGCTGAAAGATTTGAAAGCAAACATAATTTCTTCTTTTTGATAGAGATATCTTATACAGCAAACAACACAAGATTCAAGCGTTGAGTACCAAAGTCATGGGTAGCCATTCTGGCATGCTAAAAACTACATGAAAATGTTTCAAATAGTCCCTGCTATTAATAAGCACAGCCTGTAATTCATAGTATTTAACATGGTCAAAGACATAAATCATTGGTACCACACCTGAAAATGTTCCTGTGGCCCAGAAGTGGGACCGAGGGTTTAGTTAAATAAGTAGAGTTATTGAATCTGCATAAGGTGCCACAATTTATGCTCAATATCAAACAAATCTGAAACTAACAAACCTAACTTTTCATCTAAATTATAAGGTATCTGAGGACGACCATTCAGAACATATTCATTCCAAAGTTCAATTCCACTTTCTGGTTCAAAAACTGCAAAATCTTCTGAGGGATCTTCATCCATTTGCTGAAAGTTGATGAAATCAGATAAAGTAAATGGGAAAGGTTTAGAAAACAAAAGTATGCAGAGGAGCCGGCGCTCATGAAGTATGCGCACCCAGATGGCGGACATCGGAACGTAGTATGTGCACCAGGTTAAGGTTAGGCCATAAACTCAGGTACGAATACTACAGGAGTCACTTGGCTCCTAATATAACTAAAATAAGAAAAGTTTGAATAAAATTATGGCCTAACCTTAACCTGGTACACATACTACGTTGCGGTGTCCGCCATCTTGATACGCAAACTTCAGGAGTACTGAGGAACATATGGTAAATATGACATTCAAAAAAATTGAAGTAATACACTTCTGGGAAATATATCCATTTACAATAACTGCACATTTGAAAGATTAAAAGAACATTTGTGGTAAAATAAAAAAGAGATTTAACTGGTTGGAACATTTTGGACCGTGCATTGGGGCTATCAATTGGGTTTTTCATATTCATCTTGGAGGAAAGAAATCTGTTAGGTTATTTTTCATCCAGTTCCCATCCACTCCCCAGTCCAGATCGACTCTCGAATTGGCTATCAATTAGCAAAAGGGGTACAGAATTGTGTAGTAGAGGAACACATAAATGCCCAGCAGTTTCGAAAAAGGCCTGTGATAAAACAAAGCAACCAGCAATCCTTTCACAGAATTCAAACTTTTTCAGGGTACCATAATTTCTGATGCTTAGAATAATATGCCAACCGTCAGGTCGTTCTTCTCCCAGTGATAATACTCACCTCTAAAATAGCAGGAACTGTCTCTTCATCAAATTGTACATCCAACTGCATGATGCCATGGGTTGCACATTTACAACTGACAGCACATTCACCATTCATTTCAAAACCTAGTGGACATGGTGTTGCACATGAAAGAACATTGAATGTGCAATCATTACCTGTAAAAACAAATTTTAGTGAGTAAGCTTGTTCGTTCCACACTTAGTTGGTTTTTACCATCAAACCAAAAATTGTATCAAACATGCGATGAATTGTTGAATTAAAATACAGAACATTGCAAAACTTCCATTAAATGATGCATTTCCAGAATATTAAATAGAGCAACCTATGACCACTAGTAACATGTGATTTGCCCATGCAACTCAGACATTGGAAATATTCAGACTAATCCTTATCCCGAATCATACTGAGAATAAGAATAAAACTAATCAATGAGAAATGGTTGAACAGCTGCTTCATTAATAAAAAGAAATCAACATAGTACATTCCTGCTCAAACACTATAGATAATAAACGTCCAGGGAAGTAAAACCTTGAACCAAATCTGAAGTAACTGGTGTGGTGGCATGGTGCTAAGCATTAGGAATACGCTCAACACAGCACCTCTGAATACCATGCGTGTGTTCGAAGGCTCCATGCCAAGTTAATTATGTGCGAGACGATTGCTGGACTCCTTGCCACCTAGGGTGGTTCACGTAACCACTGGTCAGTTACAGCTTCTTCCACAATCAAGTCCATGCATTTAAATTAAAATACCTGGCTAACTAATTCCATACTCCCATGGGCTGCTAACCGGACGAGAGGCGGTATGATTGAGTCATCTTATCGGCTACCCCACCCCCCAGAGTAAATATGTAAATCCTATCCTAACTATTTCAACCTCTGCCCCACGACCACCACCCTCAATGAATAGGGTGAGCTATAGGCAGAATAAGATTGTAGTCTGGACAGTGGTTGCTTGCACTGGAGCTTGTTCAGAAATAAAATGTACATAATCCCATGAAATAAGTAAAATGATAGAGTCAATCACATGTTTTATCCAAGTAATTCTATGAACAGTGAATCTTACCTTTTATACATCTGTTGATATCAACAACTTCGGGAGTTTTATTCAAACCAGTTCCTTCTAATATTTTAGTTCTTGTATAATCTTTTATTCGATCGCATAATTGTTTTTGATGTTCCACATACCTAGATGATTTCACTGAAACAAAGAAAGATTAAATGAAACATGTTACATAAAAATGATAGTGAAATAAAATTGAATGAAAATAACAATGAAACTATTTAAAAATATGAAGTGATATATAAGTTATTATCTGGGGCATGGTATAAAGCCATAGCTGAGAGAAAATGAGATAAAGTATGTAAAGTAGCCTGCCCATGCGTGAGAGATACAATTTTAAATCCTTATTACGAGGCCACAGATTTGGTTTTCATTAAGCCAACAATTATCCTCAAGTAAAAGGGAGTAAATTGAACGGGGTTATGCAAAAAAATAAATGAGATAAAATTATACATTATTCTGACTGAAGATTGCCTTGTATGGTGGGTGCCCTATTTCAGTAAATGACAGAAAAAATTGAGCAAACAGTGTAATCATAGAGATACCTTGTAATGACAATCCAACTACAATGGAAAAAACGATGACGAAGAATATCACAGCAAATAATATTCCCAACATAACTTTTTTTTGAACTTCCATATCCGAATTTCCGTTTCTACCTGTTAATGTAATAATAAAAGATAAAATTATTATGCAAGCTTTTACCTTGTGAAGATGGGAAGACTCTCTTGTTTTCGGATGATAACACAATTCCCTCTCGTCTATTTCAGACACAAAGGCATAACGTTAACTGCGGTAATGGGGCAGACATAAGATAAATTATATTTGGATTCATTTGTAATGATGATAAAGAAATTGTACAATTCTGTGGTATGTATAAATAAAAACATTAAACCTCCAGTAGGTGTATTATCATTCTTTTCTTCATCTTTGACGTCCTCAGAAGTCATCGCAAACATAGACTGAATGGATAGGAGTAGCGTCAGACAGCACTCGCGCGAACGGAAGGCGACAAACGTTGTCAGGGGAAACGTAATGTCGAAACCCCAACAACACTTTGATTTACTAGGCAAAGTGATCGTAAAATTTTAAATATTCAGTATTCGTGTCATGTTTATATTAGTTAGTAATAAATAAAATAGGTTGATCGTGCGGTCATATCGCAGTTATCCTCAAAGACGAAAACAGCTACCCCCAATTTGATACGCTTGAATTACTACACATGGTAATCAGTTGGGGAATCAGGCATTTCGTAGCCGTTTTCATTTCATTTCTTTGAGCTGCCAAAGGTGAGATAGGCGAAGTTGAGCTTTACTAAGTCTGTCCGATTCTTTCTATTTCTTCATAAATTATATACAAATTTTGGTTTTTGTCTTAATTGGTTGGTATAGGCTACGTAGTAATTTTATTCGAGGATTCTTTTTCCAGGCCAGTTTTCCCGATGATACTGTGATAGGATTTACATATACCGGTAAGTTATATATATTCCGGTATTTATCATACGGTATCTCGCGGAAGAGGAAATCCGACTAGAAGGCTAACCAATTATTTGTGTGTTTATTGTTTTGTGTACCGGTATGTTTTTCGAGGAAATCTTTCGAGGAAACTTGTAGTATCAGTAGGGTATATTACAGTATAGATCAGATCAGTGGTTCCCAAACTTTTTGAAAAAAGTTCCATGACTGACCCCTTGCAATTTTTTTGATGATTCCCGGCCTTGTGCACTAAAATAAAACATTATTAAAATATCACAACAAAAAATCAATGCGTCGTGTAGTGATAAACATTAAAACGAACAAAAGTACCGTATATGACGAAGTTTAACGAGATGAATGCACTTGTTTTGTTGTAAAATGTTCAGCATTTAAAAGCGAACTGGCATAAACTGCCTAGTGTCTGCTGTAACTCCCTCCTATACGGTACCGGCGAACATGCAAAAAGGCAGCGTCAGCTACACCTCTGCAGTTACGGTAGTTACGGTAACTTGTATTGGCAACAATTGAACTCTCAGTGATATCACACCCACAGATCTGTGACATCACAATGGGGCAGCGTGATCGAAACAGTAAGTGAAGAATCAGTACTGCAGTAAGTGAAGAATCAGTGTCTCCAGCAAAAAGGGGCAAATGCTTATTTGCAAATTTAAGCACTCAATTTTTGTATTATCAAGCTATGAGCCATATAACAGATTTCTTTCGCGGACCCTACTTTGGGAACCACTGGTATAGAAGCTGAATTTCACAGTTTGCTTTCCAAATTGAGACTGTAACTTCTTTTTGACAATGTTCATAATGTTTAGCTCTTCCATTTTCTAATTTAATAAACATCACTAATTCATAATTCTCATTGAATGTGAGTGATAACACATCAAATAATTAAAATATCACTTTTTGATATAATGAGTGATATAATTATGGTCAAAGTTAATCCAACACAACAGGCATTTCTTTACACTTCTAACTTATTCACTTATATAAATAGATATTGGGGTCTGGTATAGTTTAGTACCACATGCACTTCTAGTTGGCCTGGCTCAAAAATTTTTGCATATGTCAATCCTAACCGCCACCTGATTACTTCACCGAAAAATTATGTCATTTCGTCACAGTGGCGTAATAAGGCCAAAGTATGTGGATGGTCGTCCAAAACGGGCAGACAATCACCCGAAATCAAGCAAGCTATTTCTCTCGTTTCTTGTCACAACGATCGCGATAGGAGAGAGATCGTCGGCATTAGCGAGTTTGTTATTGGCGGCACAGATGCCATTTCGGGCGATCGTATTTATACTTTGGCAAGCCCTATGACGTGATGGTGACGTCGTAGTAACGTAATTTTTGGATGGCATAGTCAGGTGGGGGTTAGGAATAACATATGCATAATTCGTTATGCTACACCCACTGGAAGTACTTGTGGTACTAAACTATACTAGACCCAAATATTGTTACTGGTCCAATTCAGGTGATATTGAAATAAATCAACTATCTAACAAAATGGCTGAAAGACAACGAAAACTAAAAATTCAAACTGGAGTTGTGAAAAGAATTGCTAAAGAGAAGGTGATGTATGAAAATGAAGCTGTGGGTATTGCAGAAAAGATCAGTAAGATGGAAGCTACTGGCGAAGATGAATATGTTATAAAAAAGCAAAAGGAGGTCTTGGCGGAATCTAAACAAATGGGTCCAGATTGTCAAAAAAGACTTGAACAAGCAATAGAAGTATTAAGCGGTCTTGTTGAAACTGAAAAAGATCTGGAAGAAACTGAAGAATATCGAAATGCTGTGAATCAACTAAATGAAGTGAAATAAGCTTTGTAACTGCAAAATATGAATACTGTATTAGTGTTATACATTGAAAATGTAGTTTGAACATGATTTGAAATGAGTATATATACCAATGTAGTTTATGTAGAAAATCACAATTCATCGAAATTTATAATAAATGCCAGTACTGGAAATATTTAAATAAAATTGACTTGACGAAATTTGAAGTTATCCTGAAAAGCTGCTTTGTAAGAATTTACAAATTACTGCTTTTTGCAGGCTTTATTTTTGCTGAGAAATCATTTTTATTATGTCCATTTTAAGATGATATTTCAAAATTTTATCGTTGTTATAAAGCACAATTCCGAATATTTGAATCTATATTGATTGAAATGCAGAATCCTTTTTCTGGGTATCTTTGAATTTAAACAAAAATTAAATTTTTGATTTTGGCAGATTTTTCTTCAAATAGCAGTCTATACATATTCCCAGGACATCTTAGTTATATCTCATTCCTGAATGATTTTGACTTATAAACTAATTTATGATATCTCATCTGATGTTTCATTCATGAACATCATATTTCACATCTAAATTATAGTTAGACCAGTTGTTCCAATACTGTGTTTACATACTTCACCATTGACAAATACAAATTAAATAGTAAGATTACATCATTTGTTAGCACAGTACGTTCTCCTCAGCAGAATTGTACAAATTCAATTACCGATGTTAAATCCACCTCATAAACAAAATTTTTAAGTGTGATTTTTTTAGACACATTACAAAATTTTAGAACTGCTATTCATAGGGGAATATGCAGGTTACTTCAATCAACCACTCAATAGCTCTTGATTGCATGAATATCGTATCATTTAAGATGTTGCATCAATTATATCAATGTCAGCAAACTCATGATATCATCACTGCTTAACGTGTATTTTTTGTTTCCTTGTTCTGGTACACACCAAGATCTGTAAGACTCGAACTGGTTTAAGTCTCGTATAATATAATACTTTTGAAAGCAGTTTTCAATTTTCATTTCAGTCTCCTTAAGACTTTTTTTTGTTTTAGGTGTATTAATGAGTATTGGTATATTCTTGTTTAGTATAATTTCAGCTGTGATTCATAATTTCATTATGAACCATGATTTGACTGTTCCATACCATACTTAATATTTGTTTAAGAAAGCTCATTGATAAAATGCGGCCTGTTTTAGATTTCATTTCTTCAAGTGTTGTACATGATTTATAGTTGAAACATACTTTGGCTATTCTTATACATTATAATTGTTTAATTATTCACTGGGTCTTTATTTATCTTGCATGCATATTTTACTATTCAATTTAGTTTTGTAAAATTTTGTTTCAGTATTCTAGCAATAAAATGATAGAAAATTCTGCAAAGTATTCGACCAGATTTCGAAAGAAGTTGGTGAAAGCTAGAACTAAACTGAACAAAGAAGGATTAACATTTTCTGATTCCCCAACCCTGTATATTGTGATATCAAACGGGGGTCTTGCTAATGGAGTTCAAAGAAGCAATTTGGAAGAAATAATAACTTCTTTTAAGGAACTAATCATGCTACCTCAAAAATCTTATGCGATGGTTTCCTTCGAGAACACGAAAAATTCACAAGCCACATTTGAGAAATTACAAGGACATGTATTGAAATCAACTCTGAATCTCGCTTCTCCTAATCCGATATTATATTTGCATTATGTCAACGATTTGAATCCACAAAAATCTGGTGATTTTCAGTCACCTAGATGGGATAATGTTCCGGGACTGATTATACTTGAAGATTTTATCACAGAAACAAAACAAATAGAACTTTTAAAATTTCTCGAAGCTGACAGCCCGGTCTCAAACGGATTAGATTGCTCTGATAACATTTTAAAACATAGAAAAGTTTGGCATTATGGGTACGAGTTTCGATATAAACACAATGACGTCGACCCTAATTTACCTTTAGAAAAAGGCATACCAAAAATTTTAAAATCTGTAATTTCAAAAATGAAAGAAACTGGGCATATTGTCAAAGAACCGAATCAAATTACAATAAATAAATACGAGCCAGGACAGGGTATTCCATCACACATTGATAATCCTGAAGCATTTGATGACACGCTTGCTTCATTAAGCTTAAATTCACAGACAGTGATGGATTTTAAAAACTCAAAAACAAAGGAACATAACCAAGTTTTGCTTAAGGAACGATCTTTAATGATTTTTACTGGAGAATCGAGATACAAATGGACTCATGGGATTTGTCCTCGAAAAGTTGATCTTATTCCTGTGAACAAAGATGATGCCGATAAATTAACTTCTCTAAATCGTGGAATGAGGATGTCTGTAACATTTAGAAGAGTTAGGGAGGATTACAAGGGTCCCAGGTATTAAAATTATGATGTTAGCACGTCAGGTAGATTTAAAATTTAGTGTCTAAATCTACCATTATCCATTTCAGATTTGGTAAAGCAATAATGTGAACCATACTGAGTTCGCTCATGGCATTCAAGTGTAATTGTTTCTATGTACAAATAGGATGTGGAGTTATAAAAACCAAATAAAATACTTTCGAGCACCCAAAAATAATGTTAAGGAATTGATGCAACTATACTTGACTATACTTTTTAAAAATATTTTGAATTCAAAACCTAATTAATCCATTTGTTTTTCCAGCCAGAATCCAGATATTGATCGACCAGTAAATGAAATAGAAGCTGCAACATTGGAGGAAGAACATGTTCATAAAGTTTACAATGAAATAGCTTCGCATTTTACATCAACAAGAGATAAACCTTGGCCCAAAGTTAAACAATTCATTAATGAGTTGGAGGTATTTGTTCGATTACTCAATAAATATTGTGTACTGAATAGTCAACATTCAGAATACTCCAAAGTAATCTTTTTGACATCAATTACCGTATATCCTACCATATTTAAGCAGAGTTTAAAATTCAAAAAAAGTTGCCAAACTAAGGGTTTGGCTTATATGCGCGAAACTCTGATAGCACTCAATGCTAACTTAATTCCAACAGCTACAACTTGAGCCATGCTAAGTTCTCACGATAAGAGATGACGATTTGTAGGGTCGGCTTATGTGCGAATTTTTTTTATAAATTCATCAATAAAGTGGGTGGCTTATATGCCTGGATATACAGGTTCTTTTGGATTGCGCAAGACCGTCAGTTACGAAAATATTTCAAAGACTTGATGATATCATACTCTTGATAAGGGTACTGTTATTTTATGTCATGTTTTCTGCAAATATGGCCCTGAATTTATAATTTGTTTGTGGGAATCTTCGTGGTTTGGCTCAGAATGACCTATTCTATGTTTGAGGGGGCTTGTATCAAAGTTAGACTTTTATCACAGGTGTCGCTGCGTGATAACCAACATTGTTCGTCGCCCTTCACCATGAAATGCCATTTTCATGTTTTTTGCCAAGTTTTTGTTTGCATCAAGTGTTTCTTTTGGTGAAAAATAAACTACTGACTGACTGACTAAGTTGTGGGATTTGTTTGACTACTGTGCTAATTTATCCACTTTAATATATGTTTCAGGCTCACTCAACAATCATAGACATAGGTTGCGGCAGTGGTCGTTATCTTGGTGTAAGAAGTGACGTTTATATGATTGGATGTGATCGGAGTCAAAATTTAATCAATATTTGTAAAGAAAAAGGTTTCAAGGTGAGATTCATGTACTTGGACTCCTGTATGAACTTACTAGAAATTACGGATGTAGGCGTGTGCTCTGAACTACATATTTATCCTTTGGGAGCGGAAAGCCAATAAGACTAGTTAATAACATATAGCGAACCACAGCCTCTTGTCCAGTTACCAGTCCATGTCTAGTATGGGATCAGTTAGACAATTATTTGTTTTCAGCCGTAACCGACCAGCGGTTCCGTTAACCACCCTACGGCGGCGAGGAGTCCAGCAATCTTCTTGCACATAACAATCCGCGTATTGGATTCGAACCTGCGAACCCACACAGGGTAATCAGAGGTGCGGTGGCAAGCGTGTTCCTAAGCTTAGCACGATGCGCCCATCTGCCGGGCCATATAAGCAACCAGTAACATGCCTGCCACAAACATTTCAAAATCTTCTGTTTGAAACTCCATATGTCTAACTATGATTATTTGACCTTCAACCTTGTGCTAATTATAGGTTTTCACTTGTGATGGTCTGAATCTTTCATTACGGCATGGAATCTTTGATGCTTGCATTTGTATTGCTGTTATTCATCATTATTCAACTCATGAGAGAAGAATGAAAGCGATTGAACAACTTTTACAACTAGTGAGGGTCGAAGGACAAATTTTAATTTCGGTTTGGGCTATGGAACAAGAATACAAAAGGTTTGTTTGGAAGTTGAAGCATTTCAGGAAGAATATATTTTAACTTCCTTAGAAATTTGAAAATAGATCAGTCATTGTTATAAATTTGAAAGAGTAAAAAGCACATGTTGCTCTAATTAACCACTCATTCTCTTTTAACTGGGATAAAACTTCAGTTTTTATTTTATTGAGCAATCAGCAAAATTTTCAAGATAAAAATCAACCTGTATTGGGGACTGAGGTCGTGGTTTGTGTTTTGGAAGGGAAAAATTATAATGGATTAAACTATAATGACAATAGGCCAATGAATGTTATACAATCAAGATATGTTACGTATTGCTTTGTTTTTATACGGCAGGCGTTCAGGGGCGTAATCAGCAATTTTCAAAGGGGGTGGGGGGTTCTGAAATTTTGTGTGTTCCCAAGTTAGACCATAACAGCTTACTAGTCTGAGAAAACCTGGGTTTTGAAGAAACTCGATTCTCGAGGATCTAAAAAGTGTTCCGAGTTACAAAAAATTGCTGTGTACGTTACAGAAAAATGCCCTTTCACATTTAAAATCTCTGATCCTCGGGGGCATAAGTTTACCAATTTATGATTTATTACACATTATGTTGACAGGGGTGAATTAGATTCAAATTTTCTGGAAAGCTGTTATTCCTCACTGTTTAATAGTGCTCTCAGTTTTTGTGCCTTGTTTATTAATTCATTTTGATATTTTACAATCCCGTTTTATTTCAGAGTGAAATCAAAGTATCTGAAAAGAATAGATAACGGCCCAACAGAAAAGGAAATTCCTGTTGTTCCTGAATCAGCCTCGAAACACACGATACAAAATCTTGACAAGAGTGTTGAAATTCAAAAATCTGCCAATAACCCTGCCCCACCAGAAGACAGTCATGCTTCTAATACCGCTGCTATGAATGATTTATCAATTAAAGACAAACAGCAAAGTATACTTCCAGTTCATAAAAACAGAACCCCTTTTGAAAAACAAGATGTTTTAGTGCCTTGGCATCGAAAAACTGTACAAGTCTCAAAACAAAAATCAGATCAAGAGTGTTTAAAAACACCAGAACTCTCTGAAGATGAAAAAATAAAATCGGAAATTGTTAATCAGTCCAGTAACGATAATTCTAAATTATTTCATCGTTATTATCATGTTTTTAAGCAAGGAGAGTTGGAAGAACTTTGTGAAAGCTTTGATAATGTTGAAGTTATTACTTCTTATTATGATGAAGGTAACTGGTGTGTGATTTTAAAGAAATTATGAGAATGAGAAAGTTTTTTCTTTACATCTTTACTTGTAATAATATTGTCTAGAAAATACAATTATTTGCCATTGCTAGGTCTTTTCTTTAAATCTGGTTTGTTGGGGGTAATCGCATGTAGTTGCACCCAATATAGCCGCCAGGCTTGCTGCTTCAGAATGCCTTACTTCTGTGCTAAATGTTTTAACCATACGCACTAAGAACAATGGAGTATTGCGTTTGCTTGCAAAATCAACCCCCTGAAAATTGGGGTCATTTCAAAGCTTCGAACTTCTTGAAGATGAGAATGGCTTTGCAAACTATGGTGCAGTCACACAGTCTTGTTCATTATTTGTTTTAAATGGAAGCATTTGAATTCATGTGGCATCAGGTTGTTGTGCAATGCTACTTTCAGGGTTTCCTACGCAGCAGTTACCTGACATATACAGGTTCCGCTATTGCTAGATGCGGGAAGGAGCATTTGATGGGATTCTGGTGGTCACCTCAACTGAACAGATTTTATTTTAGCTTCGAAAAACAGATTCTGGCCCATGGGAATAAAAATGCTAATGTATAGACTAGTAGATATATTGTGAGTTCACAAAGGGTACTTGTACAAAGGGTACCAGAGCCATCGAGTAAAACTAGGAAGAGCAACCACTAATGCACTTGAAGCTATGTAAAATTTATTATTGTGACTCAGACCTTGCAATGAGGCTTGAAACCATTTCAATTCAACGCCAATTTATCACACAAATTCTGATGGACCCAAAATTAAATGGAGGCCGCTAATTTGAATACAAGAACTTCGGCATTAGCGATTCTAATTGTGCTTTACATATGAAACTCGTTGCGAGTCCTTAAGGCCGATACATAAATGCTGAACATGTTGCAAAGCTCTTCTAGTAAATTTAAATGAAACATCCTTTCTCGTTTGTTAGGCACAGAAACAGGATAGGATGGGTGTCCATCAAAAGTAAGATTCGCAAGCAGGGGTCCACAGCATTTGGGAAACCTGGTTCCGTAAATGTTTTGCACTCCTATGTTGACTAAGTCTCTTGCCAATTTCAAAAGCTGCAGTTGATGATTGAAATACGCCAGAAGGAAGGAAGGACAGTAAAATGTAAGCGAGGGATCCACAGATCAGTTGGAGGAACTGATTCTACTTTTCCCTTTGCAAGAAAGCTCACTGTTCTTCCTAGTTTTATTGATTAATAAGGTTATTCCACAGAGTGTTTTTACTTTGTTGAGCATGAATTGTTTGAATATAATGCGATTTGGAATCTACCAATCAAAATAACATTATAGATACCCCTCAAATGATAAACAGGGGGCCATGAGTGCTAAAATCCTCCGGAAGTGGGGCCACAAGCTATAAACGGTCGGGAACTACCGCCATAGCGCTTTTATGGTACCACAACTCTACTGGAGTCTGCACTAAGCAAACCTATCCAACAAACCATCATAAGGTTGAAAATTTGAACAGTTTATTGTAATAAAAACGTTAGTTTCAATAATAACAAGGTAAAATCCCACAAGAAATAAAAATAATAGCAGATTAAAATATTATATCAATGAAATTCAGGCAATAAATGACAATGAAGTGTAGTATTTAAGTAAGTATTTAAAGCGTTTGCGCTTTCTCTGACAACTTTGATTCCATCAAAGATAAGTAATAGTGATTATCTTTGTTATATTATGAAAATGATATCTCAAGATAAGAAGATTACATCAAAACTGAATAAGAATGGCAACCTTCCTTCTGCCAATATGACAATTCTAGATAATGTTTGAGAAAACAGACGGTAGCCACGCTATTAACATTAATACGACTTTATATAGTTTCCAGTTTAATTATAATTCAAGTTATTTTCTTTAATTAATAAAGTAAACAGTTTTTATGAGACGACGAAACTAACAAAGATCTGATTTAATTTCACACAGTCTTTATTTACTGGGGTAACATGTGCAATATTATTTAATAAGAGTGCAATGTAAATTTGTGACGTAAATGTGTTGCTCATATAGAATTACTTATTAATTCCAACATGCAGTGAATATGTTCGGTAGTTTATTTCTTAAAATTTCTGAAATATTTTTGAAAATGAAATTTCGAATATGTATTTTTATACACTGAGGGTTCAAGGGTGAAATTTTGAGAATATTATTGTAAATTCCAAAACGTTATTAATGCAGAAATAAACTTTGTGTTGGCTTTCATTCTTTTCCTACTGTCAGAAGTTTAATAAAGTTATTGTTCCACTCTGAGAATCCAAATTTTCAAAATGCCAAATTTTAAATGGAAATATTCTAAACCAGTGATTTTCAAATAGTGGAGCGCGGCCCACGAAGGGGACGTAGACAATTTTTTGAGGGGACGAGGAGCTAATTAAAAATATTTGTTAGACTTGATCTTGCCTGCCTTACTCTGGATATTTGAATTTGATATTTTGGATATTTATGTTCCACCCATGTATTTTCAATGTGTTTTTTAAAAGAACATACTTTCATCTCACTATCTGTTATTTGAAACTTATTGTTATTATTTTTAAAGTGGGGCGTATGACTTGGCAAATTTTGAAAAGGGGGCGTGGCACGACTCAAAAGGTTTGAGAACCACTGTTCTAAACCAAATAGAAGAATATTTGTTCATTTTGGACATCACTGGGTGAGAATTTACTGTGAGAACATTGTGAAGGAGGAAATTACATTACTACTTGAATAAAATTTGTGATACTTATAAGGCATTAGTTTGTGGTTTAAGATCATTCATGTCAAATAAGTCAGAAATGACAATACAGAATAAATTAAACCGAATACAAGAATATTTGTTTCATTTTGGACATGGAAATTTACTGTGAGAGTGGGATGGTGGAAGTTATAACTTGCTACTCAGATCAAATTTTTGATTGACCAATCATGTGCGAATAAGTCAGAAATGACAATGCAATTAACTTACAAACAAGAGATTTTAAACATACAAATAAAAATATTCTAGAGTAGGCACCGTACCATGATTTCAGATAATAAAAAAATAAAACAGACTAATAACATTAATACTGTGCTAAATCAGCATTTTACTAAAATTGAAAATATGAAATTTTACACGGAATACAGTCAAAGTGTTTTGTACAGAAATATTCTTTTTGACAGAATTTCAGAAAGCATATGGAATTCACGTTGAAAATATTGATGTTAGAATATCAGGGTTACTGTTTAAGTCTGAAAGTTAAATTTTCAAGTTTTTCGTACTTTAACACATTATTAAAATTTTCAGACCACTCTGTGACAAAATATTCATTTTTCAGGTTATATAACGTATTCATTCCAAAATGAGGGTTTGATTGGGAATTGAAATAAAACATCATTGATGGTCCCTTCACATCGGTTTCTTACATTATTGCTATAAACATACGAAAAAATTTAGTTTAGGAGAACTTTCAAGTTTAAGACAAATATTAAAATGACCTTTTCAGAGAAACGATAACCAATAGTGAATGAGATTTAATTTAGGTCTAGCATACATCATATTTTGTTGCAATAATTTCAAAATTTCCAAAAAACTAACTTTGTTGAACTGTTTTAATAATGAAATTCTGCATCATGCTTTCATTGAATATAAAGATCCAATTTTAAAGACTAAACATCAAAAAATATCTTAATTATTTCAATCATTTTGCCGTTTAAATGAACTATTTGGCAGGTTATATTGAAAAAGTATTAATATTGTACGTTTTCCCATAATTTAGCACCCATAATATAAACTAGAAAAGCAGAAATGTTTGCACCATCCACAAGAAGGTAATACCACAAAAAAAAGCAGCTAAAGAAAATCTCTAAAACGAAAGATGAAATTGGTAAAACGACGCATAAAATATTATAAAAAACCTAAAAATATCATGATAAAAAAAATCCAATGGATTTTTTGTTAAAAGTAATTGATTTGAAACACTCGATAAGTTTTGAAAAACTATTGTTATATTGATAAAGGATAACTTTATTGTTCTCATCATAATGTAGTTTTCAAAGTTCAGCAGATATTGAAATTTATAAAACGAAAGACCAACACCACATGATGTTACTCACAGGATAACCACTAAAATATATTTCAAAGTCACATATCGCTATCTCTCTTTATAAATACAGAAAAACAGAGCAAAACTGGAGAGACGAATTAGTTTTGATGAGTCTGGTCGAAGAAAATTCAATATCGCTTATAAAAATTATCCGCAGATCAACAATCGAAGTATTAAGACAACCCATACAGAATCCAGGCTAATAAAAATTCACTAGAAACTTTAATGTACTAATTTTAATTGTAAAACCACTAATGTACAAACAGAAACGACAATATCAGGGTTTTATACATTTTTCCATTAAAGCTTTAGTATTACCGTATATAATTTTTACCAAAATACAGAAATATTTCCACCAGTCTCTGGGACTTAATTTCGTGAAATATATCCAGACAAAAGAAAAAAATGAGGCAGAGTGACTGAAATAATCATCATTTTGCACCGTCAAAAGAATTTGTGCAAAAATATATGGCACAAGAGAAAAAAATGCAAAATAAAAATTCAAAGGAAAAATAATAATGACAGCATGAGAAGAAACAAAATGTCTAAAAAATAACTCAAAAGCAAATTACCGTGAATGAATTTTTATCAATAGAATGGAATATTCTATACCAGTTTAGAAATTCAATCAATGAAATTTGAATAGAGTATGTAGCCTACATGAAAATGGTATTTTAGGAATCTGTATAACCAGAAAAATAACATGGGCGCCTTTACTGTACCGTAAACTATAATTGTACCAATCATCTAACTTTATTGCTCCGAGTTCGATTCAAAATCATGATGCTCAAGGATTTACGATTTTCAAGATACAGCACTCCAGAAGTATATGTGCACCAAGATGGCGGACACCGGAATGTTGTATGTGTACCAGGTTAGGGGGTGGGTTAGGCCATAATTTTATTTCAATTTTCCTTAATTTAGTTCAATTAAGAGTTCGGTGACTAGCCAAGAGCCTCCCGTAGTATTTGTACCTAAAATTATGGCCTAACCCCAACCTAGTACACATACAACGTTTCGGTGTCCGCCATCTTGGTTCAAATACTTGGGAGTACCCAAGATACAAGCAATACCCATCTTTTACCTAAATCTACTCAAAAGAGAGAATATGCCTTCATACGTACCCACGCACACTGTACCATAAACCATGTTTTACCAACTGTTTTCCTCCGTTGCTCTAAATATCATTAGATGTCCAGAATATTTACAACAAGTTGAGAGATATTTCATTAAATTGTTACTTAGATAATATATCGAAACCTACTTCCCATGTCTAGAACCTAATAGAACCGTTTGCTAATAATTTAAAATATTATAAAAAATTCCAGCGAGCTAGATTCAATATTCAAATGATACCCTAGTATTTCATTCACCTAGACATACATAAAAAGAGAAAACGTTCCCAGAACACTTTACGGCAGTAGAATTAATAGGAGGTTATCGCTTTGAGATAAGTTCTAATAAGTAAATCACCAATGCATGTACTTGAATAGACAATATGTACTATTGTATATAAAATATCATTATTGACGTCTGTGACAGTATTTTGACATAAAACTAAGGTAAAAAGAGTTAAGGCTAAAAAATTTCTGTAAATTGTCTAATGGAAAACAATCTATGTGAAGTTAGAATATCTCCTTTTCCACACCATGGCAGCTTTAACGGGATAATCTTCTTTAACCCCAAACCAACAAGAATTCACATTACGTCTACAAAAAATTCACATGGGTTTCCCATCGCCTGTTGAAATGATTTTCGACTCCCAGACATCTCAGGAGGGACAGCAGACAGACTTCTAGGTGGTAGTGGCGGCCGCAGTTCCCCTCCGGCCATAGTTGCACCGTAAGGTAAGGTAGTATTACTAGAGTAATGCGACTGTGAAATGCCCCCCATTTGTGGGGGCATCATTTGATTTTGGGTGGGTCCCATAAGCGGAGGTGGTGGGAACCCTTGTGGCGGCCCCATCATAGGTGGTTGGCCCATAGGTGGCGCTGATGAGTAGTGTGGATTGTGGTGATGTGGGTATGAAGAATGCTGTGCCATATTGTGAGGCACAAATTGACCTGGACGCATACCAGATTCAGAAACCTAAAATAAAAACAAAATTTGGTTTATTTTTTCAAATAAGATCGAAATATGAAATGTTTAAATATGAGTTGTGTATATTTCTACAATGGTTGGAAAAAGGGTGCCAAAAATCAGATTTGAATTGGATTGAATGTAAAATATTTTAAAAACAATGTCTTGAATTTCAGAATTGTCAAATATGAAAATAAAACTACTCCTGGATAAGTATTTTTAGCTTTTTGTATGAAATAAAAACCACATAGAGTCAATTTGAATTTAGAAACAAATGAACATTACATAAAGACTGAAAACGAACACAACGACAATGGTAATTGAAATCGTAAATTTGATAAAAGTCACCCAACATGCACAATATATAAAACAGATTATGAAAAATTTGTAATTTCGAATTATATGTATTAAATAATTGTGGTTTTTCCATGTATTTTTCCGGTCAATTGGAAACCCACTCACATTAAATTACAGAGGAAATATCAACGAAGCGTCAATGTTTTGCATCTAGATTTTTGGAGAGATGTTATATCTCCCCTCTGAATAAATTCCTAGACAAGTACCGTATCTAATGATACATATACAGAGTGTCCATAAATTCCCTTAAAAATTCCAATTGTTTTATGAAGTCAGTTCTCAATATATCCTAACCAGGTTCGTTGTTTTTTAATCAGTAATTGTTCAAATACTTTTACTTCATTTAATGCATCTGTGAGGGCCAAAACAATATATGTAATCGATAAATTCCCTTTGCAGTTTCAAAAATTTGAAGACACCATGGACATATACTGCATTTTAACCTTCCCAATAACCTGTAACAGTAACATAATCTGGTCTTGAAACAGAAATAACAGTGAACAACATAGGTTATTCCATCCATTATTCAAGCCAAAGTTGAATCCTTATGAAAATGAAAAGGATATTTTTGAGATCAATGTCCTTTGAAAAATAAAAAAAACTCACAGCACCCATATATCATTCGCAAGCCACCAAATTATGTGAAGCGATATAGGAGCAATGCAATGTTCATGATTGATAAAAAGCAAATCCACAAATCCTATGGAATGCACCAAAGCATTTGAGATTTCGATGAGCACAGGTGAACAGAAATGTGATAAAGCGATGTGGAGTCACTAGAGTCCCGTGGAACCCCAGTTGAAAAGTACGGGGTGTCCATAAAGTCTTGAAATTTTTTAAAACTGCGGAGGGAATTTATTGATGCCATATATTGATTTGGCCCTCATAGATGTATTGAATGAAGTAAAAATACTTAAACAGTTATATTGAGAAACGACCTCATACCAAAATTGAAATTGCAAAGGAACTTTATGGACACCCTGTATATAATCGGCACTAAACAGTCGAAAAAGTAATCAAAAAATCTTTGGAAACCTTGTATGTATCATTACCAATCATCTTACAGTAGGATTTCAAACTAGCAAATCTCCAATTGAGAAGAATTTAGAGGCTAAGCGACCATTACATCGAGGCTTTCATGAGCCATTAAGAAATGAGAGTTTTTCTTTAAGTATAGCCTGGGGTGAGGTGAAATTAACTATCCTTCCTTGCTATATGCCTTTGTGCAAATGAATCCCTATGCATGTAACGCACAGATATTCTTTTCAATTCAAAGGTTTTATCGCACACGAACACAAATGTATTTCTGTAACATTTCATCTGACCGACATCAGACTTCTTTGGGCAAGCATTTTCTGACCAGTTTTATACTTCGTCTAATACATTGTACTATTTTCAACGTTCCAGAAATACATTTGTGTTAGTGTGCGCAAATGGCAAGAGTCTTCAATTTTCCTTATTATGTTGATTGTAACATTTCCAAATTTGAATAAACTATTTTTTGTAAATGCTCCGCAAGACGGTTTTCGAGCTCATAATTTTTGCAGGTTTTAGTGCCTCAGTGGCCCTGACTTTAAATAACCAACTCCCAATTTCCAAGCAGGTATTTGCCTTGCTTTGAGCAAAACTGTGCAAAAGTACTGTCATTGAATTATAAATTTTGATAAAATGAAATCAGGAAAAAAATTCATAGATGAACCTATGACATCATAGATCACGCATGATGTAATAATTACAATGAAACCAATTATGACATGACAATGATGATCAGCAAGCATTAACACCAGGCAATTATGAACAACATCGCGTTGTGTGATGGAACGTCCAAAAACTTATACAAACAGAATTATTTTTCAGAAAATGCAAAAAATATCATTTTGGCATTTCTCTTAATGTTGTTGTGACACAGATTTGAGACAATTAAATAAAATGATAATTAAATAAATTGAACGTAGAATTTTTTATAAAAATATTATTGAGTTACGGACATTCCAGGTTACACAAATACATGTTCGAATAACTTCAAGCACATGCTTTATGTCATTGGGAAGTTGTATATTGAAAAATTAGAAAGTATTTGGATTGAATCTGCATTTCTTCAATTTTTGGTGAGTTTATGTGATAATTTTAGAAGCCATTTCTAATATTTTGATATAAACTTCATTGGGAAGGATTAATAAATTGTTCCTTTATTTCAGTGGTTATCAAAGTTGATTGACCGGGGGCCAGAATTAGAAGCGGAAAGATATTCGAAATTACCAATTAGCGGTATCTACTAGAACGCATAAAGGTAAAAACAAAGTTTTAAACATTTTAACTCAAGTTCGGTCCATATTAAATCGCTACGCGGGCTGTAACTGACCCTCAGTTTGGAAACCACTGGATATTACTCTTCTTATAGGATTTATTTTTTATAATTTGTTTTTTGTTAAATCACGCTAACATTTGACGTTGAAACACAAATCAAATCAACTTGATTTTTCATTAATTCAAATTTCACAATCTGAAAATAAGTCCTGAGTAAATTTCTAAACATCTAACATTCATACTACCAAAGCGGTAGATGGCAATTTCATACAATTTATTTGCGTTACTGCTAAGGTAACCATCTACTTCAGTAGTTCTCAAACGGTCGGAGCGCTCCAAAAGGAGAGCGTAGACAAATTTTTGAGGGGGCGTGGAGCTAATTAAAATTGAAAATATTTGTTAGATTTATCTCGCCTGCCTTATTTTGGATATTTGCATTTCAAAACTTTTCATTTATTTCATTATTTCCGTTCCATTCACATATTTTTTGATAAACATACTTTGGCCTCACTATCTGTTATAACTTATTTGTAGCTAGTTATTTATGAGGTAGGGCGCGAGACTTGACAAATTCTAAAAAAGAGACGTGGCTTTAAAAAGTTTGAGAACCACTGAAATTCCTAGATACTAAAATATTGCATTTTATTTTTGATGTTAGACTCAGAGCTTCTTCTAATGATGAAGATAGTAAGCAGCAACTAACACCAAAATCCTTGCGGTATTTTGGGAAAGCGTTATGTTGTGGGAATTCCACAGAATTAGGTTGGCACAAATAAAACGAGAACAAATCTAGTTGAATTCAAAATACAGCATTTCGTTACGAAATAAGGATATTTCTGTGAGAGATTTTTTGGAAATTGTTAAATGGTAGAAATTTTATGAGACGTTTTTACATTTACACTTTGAACATGGTTTTATACAAGCAGATATCTTTATGTATCTGCTATTATTATGGGCCAACTGTTTTGGAAGACTGGGAATTCAAAATTAATGAATTATTAAAACTAAAATTGTCATTGTTGAATTAAAAATATTCGGATATTGTACATGGTTTGAGAACAATATTGTGTGCTCGCTCCCGTAGTATGTGAACCAAGATGGCGGACGCCTGAACATAGTATGTGTACCAGATTAGGGTTAGGCCATAATTTTATTCCAATTTTCCCTATTTTTTTTCTATTACGAGTTTGGGGAATAGCCAAGTGACTCCTGTAGTATTTGTACCTGAAATTATGGCCTAACCCTAACCTGGTACACACACTACGTTCACATACTACAGAAGTACCTAATATTGTGATTACTTGCAACATTAAAGCAAAATCGTGATTTCTCATTATCGCAGATTTCCAGGCAATTATAATGATTATGCCGCTATTAATTGCGATTTACAGATATACGTTGTTTAGGCTTCTAAACGATTCAAACATTGACAATGACATTCACGAGAACCAATTTAAAACATGTTAATTGGTTATAATATGAAGTTATTCGAACATGCTCGTCAGCCATGTTTGATGACATCACAACAATGATGATGCAATAATACACTACCTGGTGATTTCATCTCGTCACGTAGTAGGTCGCTGGAAAATAGTTCACAAAATTGTGCGTAAGTCTACTTAATTATTAGGTGAAAAATGAATGAAATAAACATCAGCAATGAATAATTATAGGAAATGATTATTAGACTAATTTATGACGCCTGAATAATTGCAATGCTACATTAGATGAAAAATATAGAAAGTTGAGAAGGGAATTCAGTACAAACAACTTGTTTCAAGGTTGTTGATAGTTGGTTTTCGGCTATGTAATGCCCCAATTTGGACAAAAACATCAGAGAGAGAGACCATGTTTGGAACATAGAACAAATTTCTGAATAAAACAGAAACAGCAATACGAAATAGAGAAAAAAAAGCGAATTGAAAAAGATTGAAGGAAGATGTAAAGGATGTGGAGAGAAGTTTATGAGAAACGATTTTTGAACAAAAAGTAACTATTGCATAGAAATGAGGCTAGAGTTAAATTGGTAGCAATGCTGAATGACTACAATTAAGGTGCGCTAAAACTATTCCAGATAACCCTTTTTAAAATTCCAAAATTTAAGAATAGAAGGACATTGGAAAATATTACTTCATCGGTCTATCCTACAATGAACCATCGCCCATACTTGATACCAGTAGCGTTAATTGAAAAAAAAAACATAAAAATTTTCTTCATATTGAAAGCGAGTTTTTGACCATATTGTACTCGCAAAGAAGATAGAACACATTTTAAAATCATCTATTCGAATACATTAAAGTTTATAAGTAAAAATCCTTGACTGAACTTTTCTATAAAAAGAATAATATACAAGTGTCTCAGTTACCCTGTATAAATTACAACTTTGCTAACAAAAAAAGGACCTCCTGAAGTATGCGCACCAAGATGCCGCACAACTTGAACTCAGGTTGTGTACCAGGTTAGGGTTCAGGTTATGCGACATCTTGGTGTGCATACTTCAGGAGGTCCTTTTTTTGTTATGAAGTTGTAATTTATACTGGGTAACTGAGACACTTTTTTTTCATGTACCCAAAAAGTAGAGTACATGAAAGAGTGCCCAAAAAAATCCTTAACTATGATCGCTGGAAAATACAAAACCAACCAACCTGTGATTGTAAAGTATGTTGTGAATGTGTTGTTCTATCAGAGCCTCTGTCACTCAATCGATCACTATTTCCACCAGCTGGACTATCTCGACGATTCCCACTTCGTCCACTATGTCGACTACTTGCCCGATCGCTTCCAGAATCCCCACTTAGTCTATGATGATTGGCATGTGGCATACTGTTGTATGGACCTGCTACTGGAACCATAGGCATCCCACTGTATGTGCTGCCACTATGAATACTGAGAGCTGAAAAATGAATAAGATTTTGAGCAAAAAGAAATAGCGCTGGAAATCTAAAGAAAATACTAACTAAAAAAACGTCTGAAATTGAATTTCCATGACTAAAAATACGACTTGGAACATATGTGGGTAGTAACAGTCATTTATGCCAGCAAAAGTCACAAATCTAAAAATTAATGGAGCCATTGGATATATAAATTCATCATTTTAAGAAGAATTTAGTATAGGTCATTTCATTTAGAAATAGGTCAATTTAATCATTTCATATCTGATGGTAAGATATAAAATATATTTCATTCAACCCCAACCTCTAATTCAGTTACCAGTCCAGGTCAGATATGAGAATAGTTCACAAGTTCATTAGTGTGAAATGTATGAAACTTGAAATTTGGGCATAAAAACTGTTTCTAATACCAACAGTAGTTAAATTATCATTGAACAACTAATATCCAGTCTTGGTATGGAATTCACTCAAGTCTATTTAATAGCACACTTAGCCGATTTTTTAAAACCGGTAAAAACAATCAAACGCAAACACGAGAAAAAGTAAGCACACTGTTTTACTGGGGAAGGGAAGCCACAAGGAACCAAAGTTGGCTTTTGAGCAGTGACATGCAAGGTTGGGTGCTCTAAAAATGTATGTACCAATATGAAGGTAACTAATTTTGTTCACCTATTTTACATCAAGTTGTGTAAAGGGGCCGAGAGCCTATGGGCAGGGGTTTATTCACTTGGCTGACCCGAACTCGTAATGAAACTAAAATAAGGAATATTGGAATGAAAATTTTGGCCTAATCCTTACCTGGTACACACACTACGGGAGTACCCAAACATTTGTACACGAATATGAGTGAGCACACTGTTTTGGTGCGGAAGGTGAGCCATTGTGAATCAAAGCTAATTTTGTTCACCTATTTTACCTATTGAGCAGTAGCACGCAGCAGTTAATATCAAAATTCAACTTACTATCTACATCACTGTGTACTGATCCCCCATATAAAGGAGGGGGTGGATGGTTTCCTGCAACTGGGAAATCTTGTTTGGGGCCCCCATCAGGGTGATAGGGGTTGTTATACTGCATGTTGTTGAATGTGGGGTACGGGTGACCCCCATGTACATTCGGCCAAGATCCAGAACTGGGAAGTGGACCTAGCATATCAGAACCGTGTTCACTATTCGAGTCTCCGAGTGACAAGTTCCCAATATCTGAAAAATATCATATTTTATAAAAAGATGAATCGGTAACACGAACTCATAGCGCTAATGGTTTAATTTCTGCGAGATTAACTACTTATCCTTCTCTTATGCTTTTGTGCCGATGGATCTGATGCATATAACGCAAGGATGCTGAAGCAAGAGTAAAGATAACTATCCTAAGTGAATCAAGAGTCTTGCTGCACACTAACTTTAGTGTGCAGCAAGTCTCCTAAAACACTTAGAATGAACTCGTAGGTTACAAATTAAAGTGCACCATTTTATTAATAATATTGTACAAAAAGCGCATGAAATGCTTTGGGCGCATCATTGAAGTGGAAAAGCTATGTTGACACTGCAGATTAAAAATATTATGCCCAACAACCCCCCAAGAGTCAGAAGGGTGCAAGGAATTAAATAGGCCCAAAAAACTCTGGAGGCTTCTATATATCATGGCTGCTTATACGAAGCCTTGTCTAGAGTGAAATGCATACATATAAGACATATGAAGGAGATTCATCATTATTCATCATCAGACACAAAAAATTTCAATTTCAATAAAAAACTGGAAACAGTAATTTCAACTGTCTCAAAACAATATCCAATACTTCAGAAATTAATTTAATTAAATATTTTGGACATAGCTGTACGGTTTTCTAATAACCGGAATAAGCTTACTATAAGAATATATATACTTAACAGGTGTGTCTGAGTGATTGACTATGTATTTACTGAAGTAGTCAAAACAACAAATAGATATTTGTTTAACAACATTTGTGGTTAAACAGCACGACACAGCATCAAATTTAGAAAAAGACATTGTCATGAAATATTATTAATATTTAAGGGGTATTTGGGCTCACTGGGCAGATTGATTGCTATGGTCAGGCGGTATATTCACTTGGCTAACACAAACAGTCCCCTAACTTGTAATAGAACTAAAATAAGGAAAATCGGAATAAAAATATGGCCTAACCCTAACCTGGTACATATAATATTGGAGTGCCGACAATTGTACAAACAGCACTATTTCCTATACTATTATTAGTAATGCATTTGAAGAGAGGTATATTATAGCCTACCGTATTTGCTCGTTTTGTAGCCCGGGCCCATATTTTTTTCCCGGGCCCTTATTCAAACCGACCCTTATTCAAGTACGTGCGCTTGTTATTTTCGATCGTTACAACAGTTAATATATTGTTATTTCCAGTTCTCAAATATGATTTGAACGAGAATAACGAAAATTTTGACTTTTTCTACGCACCGCAGGTACAAATCCGCAAAAGAAGAAAAGTTTTGCGACGTCGTATCAATATTGAATCGACGCACTTGGTCGTCGCGACGCCTAGTTTGAGAACCATGGTGTTAAGTATTCAATGCTATCTGTTATGTACTACTATGTACTAAGGCGTGAGTGTTATACAAAAAATAAAATTTAAGTGAGTGTTATCTATACCGGCGCTTAAAATTCAACAGCGTTGTGACAAAAGCGCTTCTTATTTCCTATTGTTCTCTACCACTGAAAAATCAGCTTTTACATCAGGCGGGTATTCAAGCACCGCCCCTTATTTATTTTTATGTTCTGTTCACACGGGTGGCTATTCAAACGGGCCCTTAATCAAGATCGGGCGGTAAAACAAGCATATACGGTAATTATATAGCATAGAACTAAATTGTGACATCTCAGGCCATTATAGGTAAATGTATTTGGGCAGTAAATTCCAAAAAAAAAAAAAAAAATAAAGTTGGTGAAAAATCAAATGAAAGTAAGCCTTCAAAAGCTAATGAATATTATTATGATATTTGTTTTTACTCATATGAGATACTGATCAATAACATTTCCTGAATTGAATCAAAGATTTTATTTTTTTGTGATAGCTGTGGAATTAGAATAATCTCCTACTGGACTCCTTTAAAAAAAACTCAAAAATCGACTCCAACTATAGTGAGGAAACTTCTAATAGAAAAATTATGAAAACCAGGAGGTTTGCAAGCTTATTTTAAGTTTCAGACAAATTTCACCTTCGACCTCTGACATATAAAGGTCTGAAATTCACCTCCAATGAATTTAAATTGCAATTCTTGGACTTTATAAATATGAAATATGACTCCAAGCCAGCACGTTTTTGCAAAGTTTTTGGTGTTTTTTGGGGTTTTTGCATGTTTTAGCAAGGTTTGACAACTCCAACAAGTAAAAAAATATTGCAAGTCGCGGATTTCAAAATTAGCAAAATATAGGATTTAGGATAGGATAGGATTTACATATTTATCCCGGGGGAGAGGAAAGACGATAAGACGGCTTATCCATATGGCGAACCACGGCCTCTCGTCCGGTTACCATTCCAAGTCGGGTATGGGATTAGATTTTACTGTATTGCTTGTTTTCGGAAGCATGGACTTGGTGGTGGAGGAAGCCATAACCGACCAGCGGTTACGTGAACCACCCAACGACGGCGAGGAGTCCAGCAATCCTCTCGCACATAACCATCCCTGCATGGGATTCGAACCTGCGAACCCACGCAGAGTAGTTAGAGGTGCGGTGGCGAGCGTATTCCTAACGCTTAGCCCGTTGAGCCACACCGCCGTGCCTATTATATAATTATTGCCACCAATACAAATCCACCAGCGTCCTATTTATTTATCTCACAAATACAAAGAAAATCAGCTATTTATTCAGCATACACACCTTTATGTATTTGAGCTCCATTGTATTCTCCAAATACATAATAACACTGCTCAGAAAATTTTGTTTTATTGACTGTGTGTCTGATGTATCCTGCTTTCAATAAATTCGAAGCGTACTGTCGAGCGTCTTTACGATCTTGAAGACCTTCCACATTCTGACTCAACCATTCTACAAGATCTGAGCCTGTAAATCAAAAGGCATATATTTAATCATAAATTTATAATTACTATCTGATTTAACTATTCAAGAGTCCTGCTGCACACTAACACAGATGTATTCCTGTAATGTTTCGTCTTATTTTGTTCAGACAAAACGTTACAGAAATACAATAGTGTTAGTGTGCAGAACTGAATTACTTAGTGTGGCATTTTTATTCCTGCTACAGCATCCTTGCATTATACGCATACGGATTCACTACCACGAAGGCCGCATTGAGAGTTAGTCTCACATAACCTCTACTGATAGTTGTATTTACTTTAAGTTGGTTAATAATAATTGTAGATCACGATGATTTTCCTTTTACACCTGCCTATTATTTGCTATTCTTTGATTAACTAATCTGTAGCACATGGTAGTGGGCACATTGAAAATACAGATTTCTATTTTATTTGAGGTAATTTAAAGCAGTCCAATCATAACTAAGCATGAATTAAGATATAATATTTATTGAAATAAATTGATAAGGATATAATTTTTGAACTTTCAAATTATTTACCTAAATTTGTCTAACAAATCAATTAACTATATGTTTATGGAAGTCTACTAAGCACCTATAAAATTATGCTGTAAGATGTGAATTTGGTATTCGGTTCTGGGACTGGGATATTTTGTTGTATAATAAGATTTGAATTGGGCGTTTGGTTTGTAAAGAACGACATAAATTGTATGATATGTTTATTGAGCATAAAATGATAATTCTATAATATAAAATGATACAAGACCAAACAGTTAAGCAGTAAAACACAATTTATCAATATTTCAAAGAAATTTTTTCTTATTTAGGGCACATATGGACAAGTTATTTATTACATTTATATATTGAAATTGTGTTTAATGGAATAGCAATCATTCACATGAAAAAGACTATTTTAATCAATTTAACGATTACTCTCTTCCACTTTTTTACAGAGAGTACATTCTAGAATATTTAGTTCATTTAACAGTAGCTGATTTCCAGAAACCACCTAATTTACAAGATCATGCGTGAAATTAGCTAGCAAACACAGTAAACATCAAATGCATTAATATTTCAGTGGAATAAAGGTCAAACAATGTAGCAACATTCCATCACTGTTGGACGTCTCCAGTCAATTTTCCATAAAATTAGGTTAGTTATGGAGGATTGTATAAAATGTATTTCATGTTTTAATTAGGAAAGAATCTTTAAAAAGCTGTTTTGAGCAAAAATATATTTCAAAACTTCTTAAAGCATTAAGTTTTCTATTGATATACCTGAATATTGCATATTGCTTCAAATTATGATTGATTCTGGTATGCAAATGAAATCTTCATGTATTCAAAAATAATGCTTTCTTTTTTCAAGATCTATATTATATTCTAAACTTGAGTTTATCGGCCCTAGTTAAGACACTCATTTTTGAAATTTTGGCTAACAACATTAAATGACGAACAAATTCTCAAAAGATCAGTGAAATAGGGGTGAAATTAAACGTGATCCAAGGGAATCAAACAAATTCATTCAATAAAAAAAATAAAATTTATAAGTTAAAAAAAAAATAAAAATTGTATTATTTCATTTGTATTACAAAGAAAATATCGTCTGACCTACATACATCACATATTTGACCCGAGTTAAAAGTCCTTCAGTTAACATTCAAGTATCATTGAAACTAAAGCAATGTCAAGTAGCTCTCGTAACTAATTTAAAATCAATTTGCTCGGGAATTTGTAAAATCAGCAATTTTCACAAAAATTAAATCAAGTGTATTGACTGCGTTGCTCTCTTTGTATTAAAAGAAGGGTGCTCCCGAAGTATGCGAACCAAGATGGCGGAAATCGGAACGTAACAAGGGTAACAGGTTAGGGTTAGGCGATAATTTTTTTCCAATTTTCCTTATTTTAGTCCTATTATCAGTTCGAAGACTAGCCAAGAGCCTCCCGTAGTATTTATACCTAAAATTATGGCCTAACCCTAACCTAGTACACATATTACATTCCGATGTCCGCCATCTTGGTTCGCATACTTCGGAAGCCCCAAAAGAAGTCATTTTATTTAAATATGTCAGTGTCATGTCTATTCAAAAAATAAAGTTTTCATATTAAAAATTCACCTATGGCTTTCTTTGCTAGAATGTTGCTGCTACAACCTGAACATTTTTTTTTACTTCTTCCGAAGGCTTGATATTTTACCCCAACTTTGCTTATTTTGAATAACTATGTCACTATATCTATCATTCGCTGCTTGATTTTGACGTGCTTATGCTCCGAGAACCCCACATATTAACTTTGTATTCGAATATCGCTCTCTAGAAGTTCACTTACCTATAAACGCATCAGGAATAGTAATTTTCAACCACATCCTTGTCTTGATATCCAATCCACTGTTTGGTGTCTTCAGTGTCCGAACTACAGATGTCATTGCTGAGTGTATCGATAGCGGCATTTGATCGTATCCTGAGTAGAAAAATATAACGTTAGAGTACAAAAAGATAACGTTAGAGTACGGAACAATAACGTAGGAAAGGAAACGTCCTGAGTAGAAAAAGATAATGACATCAGACGAGAATACTGCGGCTATTCAAAGAAGGGCTGTTTAGTCAGAGAAAAGTCTCAATGATCTCTGGGTGTTTCAAAACACTGACTCTGGTACAGAGTTCACAGTATATTGACTTGAGTTCCAACAACACAAATCATGCTTATGATAAGCATTCATTATAATTCCATTTCAATTGTAAATTTTAACCCTGGAGTCTAAATTACTGGCACCGAAAAGTTGAATATTTTGACTAGTTTGATTCAAAATTAGGCCATGATTTTGAAACCAATAATTTCATGGTAAAAGAGCAATTTGAAAATTACAGAATACTTGTCTTTTGTTATGAAAACTGTCAGTAACAAAAACAATTAGCCTAGTTCAAGCCTTGCAGTTAAGAATTTTCGATTGCACACTTATGATTTTGTTGAAAATATCTATAGATTTTTTACATTTTGTTCCTCAGTCCTGGAATCAAGATTTTGCCAATCTTACTAGCTCGAACAACAGATGACAGAGTATGAAATCAACTTACTCTCAGACTCTGGTAATGAGCTCGCCATCGTATCTGAACTTGTTTCTGTGAGATTTGAACTAATTGCTGGTGATGGACCTTGAAAGCCGCCTTGAACAAAACGATAAATGTTTAGTGAAGTTGAGTGAAAAAATGTAGGATTGCAATGCAAGAAGTTTGCTATAGATCAGTGGTGTGCAATATTTTTTGTCAGTGGGTCATAATATAAACAACTTCAGACATCTAGCAGAGCCACACAAAAAATTAGTGGGAAAGGCAAGAGAATGCGGCTATTGCTAAGCCGTGCATTAATTAATCCACCGGACAAAACGTCCAAAAATTTAATGCAGTGACAGGACCAAAAGAACATTATGTACTTTTACGCATGTGAGCGCGTTTTCAAACATAAACGGTCGAATTAGGATTCTATGCCCGATGGGAAAAAAAGAGTGTTGACATGGGCAACACTAAATTTTTTTAAGGGCCGGGTTGTGGCAAGCATCCGCCTGTTGCACACCCCTGCTATAAATAACCTGAAATGTGAGGCATTATTCAAAATAGCATGTATGATATCGTCCAATTCATGAATCCCGAAACATTAACGTTTCATATAATAAAAGGGTGGACAATGATGCTTACCACTCAACAACAAACTGTACATGTGAGTTTATAATTGGAGATGCAACAGAAGATAAAAGTGAGATAGATTATGGTCCTGCTGTAGGCAAAATGAAAATGACAAATGATTCCAAAGCACACCGAACATAACTATGCAGAACGTAAATCAAGACAGCGAGTCAGGAGAGTACATAGACAGGCCGTGGTCTGCCGGTTCATCATACAATCAGGTAGTCCTATCTCCCTCCTTCTGGCATGAAATTTTAAATTATCAAGCACACAAAATAACTACTACTCATCAACCCTGGAGTCCAGATATTTGTTTCGGAAGCATCGACCTTAATCACCACATAAACTGGCAATCGGACATAAAGTTTTGGATTATCATATGACTGAGCAGCCTTATGAGTTTTGAATAAATAAGAGCTCCACCTTAAGTTATTACCTGTTACAACAGCAGTATGATTGACCCAAGCAGCAGGATCTATTGGTTGAACTGGTTCGTACTTGGGTACGGTGAAGTAATTTGGATTCGGATCCCAACATTTTGCTACTGTTAATGTGATAGGTCTGAAAAGAAGAGAATGAAAAAATATAAACTGGAGAAATTTTATGTCACTCAGAAAATTATCTCTTATCAAGCTATCATTGTCTGTAATAAAATATAAAACTGCTTTGAAAGTCACATTTCAAAAACTGAAAATGAGGAAAGATTAAAAGAGGAAATTATAAAATTGAAATTTTATGGTACTCTGAAATTTGTCTTCTATTTACACAATAGTCCATAATAAAATATCAGGCTTTGAAGGCTACATATTCAGAAAAATACAGATAAAGTCAAATACATATGTGATTACATAAATCCAACTGATAAAAAACGTGGTAATTAAAATAAATATTAATTTCGTTTAATCATGAAATATCAAATTTTGACAAACAGAATACAGGAACTGAAATTTCTTAGAAAACCTTGATAATACCAAATTGTAAATCTTATGGACAAATCCATTCAACTTGTGCATAATGTAATGCTATTTGCTAACAAACCTGTCAATTTTTTTATATAAATATACAGGGTGTCCATAAAGTCGCTTTACAATTTCAATTTTGTTATGAAGTCAGTTCTCAATATATCGTAACCACTAACCAGGTTTGTTGTTTTTTTATCAGTAATTGTTTAGTAAGTATATTTACTTCATTTAATACATCTGTGATGGCCAAACAATATATGGTATCAATATATTCCCTTTGCAATTTTAAGACTTTATGGAGACCATATATATCAGCACATCACTGGTGGATGGCATTTCTTCTATCAGTACTCTCTCCACTTCACTTGAAGTTTAGTGATCAGAACTTGATTTGAGCAAATAACTTTGCATTCATTATCAAATCAACCGCTGAAGTATATTCAATAAAACTCTTACCCTGGTTTATGTACAATATCTCTTAGGACTCTGACAGCATCATCGTTGCTCATATTTTCAAAGTTTTTATCGTTGACTTGCAATAACATATCACCAGGTTCCACTCTTCCATCTGCTGCAACAGCACCTCTGAAATATAAACACAAGTTTTAAGTTTTAGATACAGGTACTCGCTTCGTTAAATTTTTGTTGTTTTACATGATGTTGGAAACATAACAATGCTATTATCCTTTTTCTTTTACTACTGGATCAATTGCTTTAAAATTTTCAGCATTTGGAGACAGAAGTGTTCGTCAGAACACTGTCACTTTCATTAGTTTATATTTTCACCGAGCTTCCTACGGATTTGCCCCAAACTTTGATAATTGTAAAAAATAATGCTATCATTCGTCACAAATATGGGCGCTTAAACAACGTCACTGTTCAGGAGAATTCAACCTAATATGGTAATAACACTACATATAAATAGGTGAAAGCTACACCTACCGGAAATTCAAACCAAGGTCCCTACATTTTGTGTTTATAAAAAAAATATTTTAGTGAATTTGTTCGCGATTGGTTAGCTTTTTTGTGAATCGTGAAACATATTAGTTGAAACACATTGTAAATGTTAAAAAGGTAATATTAGTACAGCTGTGATATAAAAGTAATAGCGCAATGCTAGATCAATAAAAACAGCTGTTACTACAGGTTTGTATTTATATTCGATGTTTGAATGACGATTTTGCAACGATTGCAGTTCGCATTCTAGCAACCAAGTAATCACAATCCTATCTTTTTTAATAGGAAAACAATGATGAAAATATATTCGAACAATGCAAAATGTTATACCCTTTCATGATTGACCCGATATAAATCCCGCCATCTCCTTTGTCATTGCTTTGACCAACAATGCTTATTCCGAGAAAAGTGTATTTATCTGGAAAAAAAATTTAAATTTTAATCTCTGAAAATGGTACAGGAACTGCATATTCATGTGCAGTAAATAATATAATACTAATAAAAATAATGATAATATTACAGCAAATCCCTCAAATATAAGTTCTTATGAAAACGGGGGATTTGAGAAATTTCATGCATTTCAAAAATATCTTCTACTACTTTAAATCTTTTAAAGATTTGGTAGTTTACAAATAGATTATTGATTTTAATTCGGAAAATTCAGAAAAAGTTATAACATGAACATTTTTATATGCAGTAAATTACAAAACTGCTTAAACTGACTACAATCAACAGCGCATCGATAAATAAAAAAATTCCACACTCAAATGTCCCTAAACTATTATTGTACAATTTTTTAAAAATTAATCAGAACTTTGAAATAAAAAAAATTGATAATTCGAAACTTATTTCAGACACCATTCAACATTCAAAATGCAGTTATAAGCTGGACTATTCCAATGTATTTACATTTAAATTAGTGGTTCCCAATTGATTGGCCCGTTCCACAAAAAAACGTAAACAATTTTTTGAGGGGGTATGGAACTGATTGAAAATGAGAATGTTTGTTAGATATTATCTTGCCTGCGTTATTTTGAATATTTACGTTGCATTCACGTATTTTTAACATACTTTCGCCTTACTATCTCATATTTCTAGCTTATTGTTAGCTGATTATTTTTGAGATGGTGTGTGTGACTTAACAAATTCTAAAAAGGTGATGCGGCTTAAAAACTTTGAAAACTGCATTAAATGTTAAACTTCAGTTTCATTTATTTCCAATTTTACATCTAATTCCCTTAACAACTCATAAACCCTAATTTTCTACTTGTCTTAGTTCATTTTCAATGATTAGGGGATGATTCAACTCGACTTGAATGTCAAAAATATTGATGAATTTCTATGCATAATTGATGAATTATGTCATAGAAAGTTAGAACATTGACTGACTGGAATATAATGAAGGTTCACAAGAAAAAATTTGGTAATATTAGAAATAATGTGCATGATGGTTATTAAATATGCACTACAGAGTTTATAGAATATGATTCGTATTTTTAATGTTTCGAAAATAAAAATTCTTTTCTCTGAACTCGATATTCTGTAAAGGTTACAGCTTGTCAAGTAAATTATTCGCTAGTATTTTCTGTCGTTGCAAATCTTCACTTTGTTGAATTCTCTTGATACTAGCTATTTCCCTGACAGCAACGGCTGGAATCATTTTGAATGCTGTATAACCCACTAACTTATGACATCACTATATTAGTAGAATAAATGTATATAAAACTCTTAGCATTTCAGTCATTGCTATAACTGTAATTTAGAGCTTGGGACATAGCTTTTGAGCATATTCGTATTAACAAAACTTTATATCAATTTTTTTTAAGCCATGAATCTTTTTTTTGGCTGTGAGGATATGGCCCATTTAACCTGGTTAAAGCAAGGCTATTTATTGCCATCTGGTTAATGTGGATATCTTTTATATCAATAATAACACCAACATAGTAAAAAGCTATGAATACAGTGTTATAATATTGAAGGAACTTTTTACACTCACACTTTTAGCAATAACCTAATTAAAAAATATTTTTTTAATCAATTTTTTTTAAGCCATGAATGTTTTTTTTGGCTGTGAAGATATGGCCCATTTAACCTGGTTAAAGCAAGGCTATTTATTGCCATCTGGTTAATGTGGATATCTTTTATATCAATAATAACACCAACATAGTAAAAAGCTATGAATACAGTGTTATAATATTGAAGGAACTTTTTACACTCACACTTTTAGCAATAACCTAATTAAAAAATAAATATATTCAGAATGCCATATCTAACAAATTAGCAAATTACAATTAATTCATGAATTTTTTATGAACATATCATTTACGGCCCTATAAAGAGTTTGTTTAGGACCATTTTACATGTCATTTTTATAAAAGTTTGTTTAAAACAAGACGTTGAGTCTGCCGCTTAAATTGTTCAGGTAGAAAAGCTGCAAGCAAGCAGTGGCAACCAGCGGCAAAAGAATATGACGGTCCTTGCAACATAGATATTATGAGATGGTCAGTATTCTACATATCCACAGAAACTACACAAAATGCATATATAAACAAAACTATCAGCTCTACAGTGACTCCCTTTCATGCCTGAACTATATATATCAGTAGTTCCAAACTGGGAGGGTGTTTTTACTTTGTTTGGCATGAATTGTTTGAACATAATGGGATTTGGAATTTACCAATCAAAATAACACTCTAAATATCACTGGAATGATAAACAGAAGGGCCATGATTGATAAAAGCCCCCCTAAAGGGGCCACAAGCTATAAAAAATTCACGACCACTGATCTAGTATATTGTATCCCTATATTCCCACTGGTTATTAAACATTCAAACGACTAATAAATCATTGTCTATTAACTGTCCGGCATTTTGAAGTTCCACCCTAATGTTAACTTAATGTGGCATAGGCCATAAATCATGAATACAAAATACCAATCAAAAAGTCATAAACTTTGGTATTTGGAATCTTTTGTGTAATATTGTGTTTGAATTAGAATTAGAATAATGGTTATTTATGACACAATATCATCATATACCTTAATTAAAATGGGATTGGATTTTCATATTTACTCAGGAGAGGGAAGTGGATGTAATAACTTATTGTAGTCATAGGGACAACCAAGACCAATTGTCTGGTTACCTGTTCATGTCATATACATATTTCTACATGTTTTAAGCTTTATTCCTGGTTTTGCCAGTTTCATATTCATTGCTTTGTGTATACTTTTTTTTGGGGGGGGGGGGGGATTAAAATAAATTTTTACTTATATTGGAATATTTAAGCAGTTATTGTTTTAGATGTGTGAACTCGATGGTGGAGGAAGCCATACCAGATATGTTACAAAAACAACCTACTACTTACACTGAGCTAAACAGCATGTACTTATAGATAAAAAACAATTTACTCACCCATATTCAGGGTAACAGTCAATATATTGAGGGACATTGATGAATCAGTGATGCTGCTGGAGTAATTGGAAGTCTGAAATAAGAAGAAATGAATTTTATACAAAGTTTTATATACCGTCCAACCCAACCAAGGTTCTGCACAAGCAGCCAATGTTGGGTGAGTGAAACAGTATTTTCAAAATAATGAGACAGTAAAATGAAAAATAAGAATAGCATAATATTTTTCCACAAAATAGCAAGTATATTTGTGAGCTTTCGTTAGATCTTGTTCGAACTTCTTCAGACAAAACCAGATATTATAGTTTAATCAAACAGCAAATAAATAGATTATTGCTATTTTGTGGAAAGAGATTCTGCTATTCTTATTTTTCTTTATAATACTATCTCGTTCAAGCATTCTCGTGGCAATTGACATATGCGAATCCGAATTAGGAAGTAGACAAGGAGAAAGGACGTGCAGTTCAATGCATTATACCATAGTACCCACAGTAAAATGACTTAACATTCTTGTCACTTATCATATATTGGCTTGGTGGAATGTGCCACCCAGGCAAAACAACCTGGATCAAATAAGCGAAGAACTTGAGAATGGTGTCTGGTGTCGATAGAAATAAAAGATTATATTGCATCGTCTTTTGTGTATTAGAGTACATGTCAAGTATTGGTGTTTGTATCCAAATACTTCAAATGCTTCCAAAATCAATCACGAAGATAATTTGAGTTCAAATTTTTCGAATGCAATATATAAAAATCAAAATAGCAAATTTTTGAATTCATTGGGTGTCTAAAATATTTTTTAAATTGCAAAGGAAAATTTATCGATATCATATATTGTTTTGGTCCTCACAGATGTATTAAATGAAGTAAAACTACTCGAACAATTACTGACTTCATATTGAAATTGTAAAGAGACTGTAAGGACACCCTGTATGTAATCCGAAAAATTGATGGTTTTCAAACAGTGTTATTTCAAATTCACTTCAAACCAAACTTCATGGACCCTAACACAACAAACTCTGCATGCAATATACACAGATATTATGGATTTATGAAATAACAAAATGATAATAATGCATATTTGCATATTGTACATAAAGAATTACAGAAATATTAAAGGATTATTATATCTATTATAAAATGATTGATTGATATAAATAGAAAATATTAAAATTATAAATCTTCATTTAAAAAATCAATAGTCAATATGATACAACAATGTGAAACAATAATTATCTTCATCCATTATATATGAGGTGAAGTTGTACTTATTCCCAATAATAAAAATTTAATTCTACCATTTTGAAATTTGTTTTGAATATATTATCTAGAAATGTTATATTTCAGAATTTACGTTATGCATTTAATTCATTTTAGACAATTCCGAACATTCATTCATATGAGAGAGTCACAGAGCAGATAATCAGTTCACCTATTTATCATTCGAAATGTCCAACACTTTACACTTTGGAGATTGGATGTCAGCTTTCAAAAATATTAAAAAAAAACTAAAAAACGATAGTTCATGCATGAATCATATAGAATTCAACTAATTATGATTTCAACATATCAGAAGTGTTTAGATGATTACTTCAACAAGGACATTTATTTTACATGATTGTGTTTGAAATAGAGTTTTCTGAACGTACGTAAATTCATGAGAAGTAATACACATACAATCATAAAAAGAGAAATAAAAAATAACGGTGGCAGAACGAAAAAAAAAACTGACGAAAAAAACGGTTTGGGAGCCAGTTTGCAAGTGCATTGAAAACAAAATTTAAGAGACTTTCTCTTGTCTGAGTTGTTGTTCTGCCACCGTTATTTGGTATCTTTGTGATTGCATGTCTATTACCCATTTCTTGTCAATTTAGATACAATCAGAAAAACCCAATTTCAAACATAATCATGTAAAATAAATGTTTTTGTTGGAGTAATTCTCGAAATCCGGCAGATGTGTTGAAACCATAATTAGCTGAATTCTGGATATACACCAGCCTTTGAATGCGAGCGAGGGTTGAGAATGAGATAAATCCATTCTCATGTCATGATCAAAGGATAACCAATGAACCTTAGTCATTTTATTTCAAATGCGTCTTTCCACTAAAAAGGCTTTAATAATATTGCATGGTCACATTGAGATACTCCTTGGCATATGTGCATTTTTGATAAAGATTACGGGCGCTCCAGAAGTGTGTGTACCAATATGGAGGTCTCTAATTTTGTTCGCCTGCTTTACCTTAAGTTGCGTAAAGGAAGTGAAACTTATGTGCAGGGGGTATATTCACTTGGCTAACAAAGACAGTCCCCAAACTCGTGATAGAAATAAGTAAAGAAAATCAGAATAAAATTATGGCCTAATCCTAACCTGGTACACACACAACGGGAGTACCAAATTATGTAATATAAGTCTGGGCTTTGGTATCAATATTTCATGCAGAATAGCTGCAATGTGTCAACAACGCTTGACAAATAACTGTCTACTGACATTTGTGAAACCTAATATGATAGGGAGAATTATTTCTATCACAAGTTTGGAAAAAAATTGGAATCTTGAAGAAGGTTTAATAATGAATGATTCTAGCTGATTACAGAATACGGGTTGTCCATGGAGTCCCTTTACAATTTCAATTTGGTTATAAGTCATTTCTCAATAATATCCTAACCGGGTTTTGTTGTTTTTTTAATCAGTAACTGTTCAAGTAATTTTACTGCATTTAATATGTCTGTGAGGGTCAAAACAATATATCGATAAATTCCTTTTGCAATTTAAAAAAATTTAGGACTCCGTGGGCACCCTGTATATGTAGAACAAAAATATTGAACTTCAATTTATTTAAACCTTAAAAGCAATAACTGAAAATTAATCATTAATCAATCAATTGCTTCCAAAAATCAATCGTATGGAATAAACCATCTTATTAATTCTGTGATATTTAAATTTATATTTCCAACATGTAATATTGATTGCAAATTTGGTACAAAAAACAAGAATTTAGGAGATAAAAGTTTTAAATTGACTATATATCATGAATAAACGACAGTTATTTATATTCTTGATTTCATGATAAATATAGGGTAACTACCATATGTACATAATATACTATGACCAATATGACGAGCTTATTCATTATACCAAACATCAGAGGAGTCGGATCTGGAACTAACATTTTGTGGGAGTGCAACAGGAGCTAGAGCCAAGCTTGTCACATTGGATGAACCTGGAGAATGAACCGTGCAATTATAGTGGCTTCAGCTCCCAGGCATTTAATTATTTTTCACATTTGTAATTTTCTAATACTCCATACGAATGTCAAAAATCTATTTTCTTCAGTTTATACTTTATCTAACATAATTTCTATATAAACTTGAAATTTGAAGACCTAAAATAGTCTGAATATATTGCGGCCCTTGCGCTACTAAAATAGTGCTAGTGCTGATATATAACTGCTTGTCAAATATACCAAACAACTGTCAGACATGAAACAACAGTAATCCTACCGTATCAGACTCTGGTCTGGGTCTTCTTTTCTTCCGAACTTTCTGTCGATGTTTTCGCCTTGATGACATTGTGGATTCTGAACATGTTGTACTGTACCTACTGTTGATGACAAGAAAGATTAGAATTAAAAACCTTTCAAAACATTGAATTTCCTTCATACAAGTCTGTTATAAAGTTATAAACAAGATCGTTAGCTCTCACATAACAATGAAAAGAGTTGTGAGTGACAAGTGAGGCACAAAAAGCGATAAAATGGTTTATTACTTAAAGAGAGTTACAAGCTTTTCAAGTTTGTCTTAGATCAGTAGATTTTGGTTTTCACATGACTTGAAATAATTCATGATAACACTGCCAGGGAAACAGTTGGGTAATATGACGTTTATGATATATTCCCATATTTATTTAGAATGAATCTTGAAGAGTAATTTTTTCCCAAATCCCCATTTTTTGATGTGCACCTGACAATCAATGCCTCCAATGGCCCCCATTGAATACACACTTGTCTTGATATCTTGGGAGTCTTGGAAGTCTTGATATCTTGGATATCAGCAAGTATACAATATTTTAAACCAATACTAGTAATACAATATTTTAAAACAAGAAGTATTTTCCATGACATTAGAAAAGTTGTTCCTAGAGGAGCACTAAAATGTTAATTCTAAAAAAAAATCGAAACATAATATTCCAATAGAGCACATAATTTAAAAATACTCTCAGGTACCAAAGCATCGAATTTTTACGAATTGTTGTTAAAATGATTTAAACTTACGTTTCATCAGACGAGTCAAACATAGAATCCTCCGTAGTCGTTGTCAAGAGAGTTGACTGACTTCCATATTTATCATAATTCCTTACTCTCTGCATTCCTGGGCGAACGGCTGAATGAGAATTAAATCATAGGAAATTAGAATTCTGTCTTTTATGCTTTAGTTAGACATTTCAATTGACAATTTTTCATCGTATGCTCGGCTAAAAATGTTGGTATTCCCGTAGTATGTAAACCAAGATAGCGGACATCAGAACGTAGTATGTGTACCAGGTTAGGGTTAGGCCATAATTTCAGGTACAAATACTACGGGAGTCACTTGGCTAAACCCTGAACTGGTAATAGAACTAAAATAAATAGGGAAAGTTGGAATAAAATTATGGCCTACTCCTAACTTGGTACGGTACACATACTACGTTCCGGTGTCCGCCATTTTGGTTCACGTACTACAGGAGAACAAAAATGTGTGTATCACACAGGGTTGCACGAAGGCCTAGCGGTTATAGAATTAGACTTAAATGTGTTGGCATTGCTGATCAACATCTCGCATTCAAATAAATGTCCCAAACCTCATTTTGCGTGCAAGTGCAATAAACTGGATATGCAATGCCAAACCAAAATTTTCGGGACCTTCCAAATAGGAGTTCTTCATGTATCGTTAGATATCAGGCAATATAATATTGTCTTATGCTAAAGAAACTCTTCCTTGCCATTTCATTTACAACCTAAATTTATGACCAATAATAATTCATATAGGACTATATCCAAACGTGCACAGTTTCATGTGTAACATATTAACCTCAGTAACTTGATAGTATTCAAACAATACCGAAATTCCAAATTCAACCTTTCAATAACCTTGAAAGTAAACTGACGGTGAACACCAGTGTCAATATTTATTTAATAATGACAGACTAACTTGACAGAAGATTGGTTCTATTTGCACACTGATTCTACTTGCGTATTGGTTGTATTTGATTATTAACATAAGCAGTAAGAAGAATGTATCCACATGATGATATAGCAGAGGTGGGCATGGTTTTAGAACAAGGGGCCAAAAATTTTGCCCACCAAGACTGGCGGGCCATGTAAGTGTGACGTAAGAGATAATATTTTATGAACAATTTTTACAGTGTTACAAAAGAAAAAAGGGAAAATAATAAGCCTCGTGCCAAAACTAAATTTAATCGCATTATCAGCATTCAGAACTACTTATTTGCTGAAAAATCAAAAGTTGGTTTTAGTTTTATTGTGGCAGCATCAGGCAGGCCAGAATGAATTACTCAACAGGCCGAATTTGGCCCGCGGGCCGTAGTTTGCCCATGTCAGTGATTAAGATTAAGATTTAATGTGGCACTTATCAGCCTTTCACTTTGAACAAGACACTGAAAAAAATGCCACTGATATCTCTGAAAACAGCGCTCCAGAAGTATGTACACCAATATGAAGGTAAACAATTGTGTAAAGGGACTGAAACCTATGGAGAAGGGGGTATATTCACTTGGCCAACACAGACAGTCCCGAACTCGTAATAGAACTAAAATGAGGAAAATCTGAATAAAATTATGGCCTAACCTGGTACACACACTACTGGAGTACCCAAGGGTGTATATATTTCAACAATTTTTTTTTTAAATTCAATTTAAATTTAGTTATTGGCGTTATTGCAATTTTATATTGATAAATAGAACTCTATTGTAATAAAGTGGAGACGGAGCATCAGTAAACACATCAGTAAGAAATCTCTGAAGGAGACAACAAGTTTCAGCTGAGCAATAGCTTTCTTCGACTGTTGGAATTCAATTAGAACTTTTTTGTGGTTGCAGAGGTCAAATCATTCTCTCATTGGTTCCACCCCTGCCATTGGTCAATACCCATTTTGGATTTATATATACATGGTTGGCCTAAAGTAGGGTAACAGTTGTTAATAATTAATTACTTTAACAACGTCTACCATCCTCTTGACCCACCATTTATATATACCTCCTATAAATCAGTAAATCTATATTTTCAAATCCAAATACGTTCCATAAATCACTATTTATTAAAATTACATTTAGACCAAACTCTGTAAACGAAGCTATATATCTTGAAAGTCAGGACGACAGTATTCCGTTAATTAAAATCTACTTAAACTTAGTAAGCTATAATTATTTCACTCACGCTTGTGGTTTGAAATCATGGAGTCTGTATCAACATCTGTACTTCCCATAGCATTTGGACTGAAATAAAATAGAAGTAAATAAATCTCAGTTCTTAAACGTTGGAAATATTTCATGAAATTCAAGCACATTCAGCGTATTTAGATTAGCATCATACATTATGTACACTTAGTCCATGGAGCCAGTCAGCATATGAAAATGTACAAAAAATAAAGTTTGGTAGGTACCAATCTCACGGATATTATCTAATGTTTGGGCTATATATATGAAAAGAAATAAAAACAAAATGAAAGACTAATAATTTCAACAGAGAATAAAAAATCATAAAATTCAGCTTGTTATTTGTTATTAAATACTCCATAATTATAAATTTTGTTCCCAAAAACTTTGATTTTGTTTTCTATAGCTATTTCCTTGAATCGTTCCACATATTATATTGACCACTGTCTACTTACGCACAACATATAGATCTCAGCATGTCAGTAATTGCTCACAACTCTTTCATTGATACTCACAAGACGAGAAAACTGGTATATATAGAAATGTTTACCACCTAGCTAGAATAATATAAAATCTTAGAACAATCTAGAACAGAACTGAAATAATTAACAATTCAAATAAAATACGACTTTCTCGATATCACGGGACTAAAAGCTTAGATTGAGAAAACTGGTATATATAGAAATGTTTACCACCTAGCTAGAATAATATAAAATCTAAGAACAATCTGGAATAGAACTGAAATAATTAACAATTCAAATAAAATACGACTTTCTCGATAGACTGAAGCTATTCTCACCATAGCTCAACCTTTTTTAATATATTCCTTTCTTTTTAAAAGTTATTCAGAACAAACCCTAATTGCTATTTTGTTCACCACTATGCACAAAAACTCTGTGCAGTTTGAATATTTTATAAAGTGTGCCAAAAATGTATAATAAAAATACCATTATGTGATGAATATTAGTAATTCTGCACACAAATACTAGTTAAATTTCCTACCTAAAAACAATATAATCCCGCCCCCAATTCGAAAACGCTGCTATAGGCTAGTTGATATTAGCACCAAGCTTCAAAAACTGTGTGTCTAGATGAATTTATATCTCCAATGAGTGTTTGCAGAAAAAATCAAAAACAATTTCTAATTTTTTAAGTAAATTTCAATATTTGTTTTTCTTCCCCAAAGTATCAGAATCAATAAGTCCTAATATTGCACGATGTTTTATTCATGGAAATTCAAAATTTAAATGAATTACATGCCAGTTATGTGAATTGCTTCTGACGTGAGAAAATTAAAACTGATTTTTAATATGAATTCACCATGATGTTGTGCTTTTTACAAATGAAAGCAATTTCTGCATCCACACTGAAGCGCTATTATTTCTCATGAATATTTTTAATCGATTATTGATTTAAATCTTATCTTGTGCTAAAAAATTGAATCATGCACAAAACTCTCCTTCGGATATCATTTCTGACTGTGCTTAATAAATTTAAAAAAGGGTTTTACCAGTAATAGTCAACGTTTACAAAATGAATAGGGAAAAACAACATTTTCACCTTGTACTGAAAAAATTTATCCATATAGAAATATTTTCTTTTTTTTTGCACTTGATAAAGTTTCCAAACTTTGTTTGTAACTGATGTTAAAGCATAAGCCTAATTCTGCAGATAACCTCATTACTAACAAAAGATCTGCCTCTACTAGAAAAATCGATTCCAATTCAAATAGTAATTCTTAAAATATTTTCTGTTCTTATCTTATTAAGTATACAGCAAAATAAAACCTTAAAAATGCAGACAACTGTGAACCTACAAACGCTTATTTACTTTAGACCACAGTAGACAGAATATTTGAGAAAGCTTTCCATTATCTGACACTATCTACACTTTTACATCAAATTTAAAATATTATCTACAAGCTTACATAGAAACAAGAATTAAAACTTGAAAAAGGCAAAGTATACTCAATACTATGAACTAATATTTTAAAGTTAAATTCTTTCAGTATTTCATGAAAATCAAAAAAATGAATTGAATATAATTCTTAAATTAAATCTAATTGAATTTGACAGCTCAACCCCCAATTTCTATAAAATACATCACTTACTGAAATGAAGAAGGCCTTGAATCCCCAATTCCTGCCATTCTTTCTTGTGGCGTTGGTACCATGCCAGAACATATTGATGCCGTGTCATTGTCTGGTGCCACCAACTGAAAAACAAATTACACTGCAAATTAATACTAGCATTAAATAACAGTTTTACAATAACTTTGGACATTAGACTACAGTTGGCATGACATCACAGGTTACAATAAATTGGGTAGACAATGCAAACCTGAAAAAATAAAATTTTAAAACTTTCAAATATTAGTAGTTCCTGACATATCATCGCCTGCCTTCTAGTAGAGGGCCTGTTCTGAGTGAAAGACGTGAAATAGCCTCGTATCTAGAATAAAAAATCTGTAAACAAATGTAACTTAGACTTGGAAGGACTGGTAATTTTGCAGGCAAGCGTAATGTGCTATTTTTTTCTCGCCCAGTGAGATGTTATAGATTAATCGTGCTAAGAATAAATAGTATTGAGCCTGTACCATCACTGGGTCATTAGTACATCTAATATAATATACCCATCTAAAATATGAATAATTAGAGAAGTTATTGAACATAAACCATTAAAAATCATTTCTTTACAACATTATCATTTAAATACCTACCGAATATAAAAGTCACAATTTCACTGAAAACAAGCCAAAATGACCAGGAAAATTTGCAGAATGAAGGATTTATTACACAATACCACAAGACACATTAATAAAGATTTATTTTACAGTGGTCATGGTTAGCCCTTTAACATAATCATTTTAGTAACCAGGTGCGATATTCCCGCTAAAACCGTAGTTCACCTATCGCAAAGATTCAATTTACATGCATTTAAAATAAAATATGCATTTAATTTAATAACGATAATTGAAAGTTTTCCATGTTGTGAGTTTGGAAACATCTGTGTTAGGTAGTAATAAACAGAAGGCCAGCGCTTTTCAACCTTTTTCCAATCCCACTTTTTTTGCACGAAAAATTCTATGATCCATTAACTTTCTCAGGCAAGGGAAAAACTACAAGAAAAAGAAAAAACTTCTTTACGCAAAGATAGGCACTTCCACTTTGATAATCAAAATGGAAATTACCTATCAGTAGCAAATAACAGCATCATCATTCACAGCCAAAGTTAACTAATTTATTAATAATTTTTAATAAGTCCGTGGCCCACCTAAAAATGTTTCGATGGCCCAGAAGTACGCCGTGGCCCACTGGTTGAGAACCGGTGCTCTGGGCAGTATTGAGCCTCACTTAGACCATACGTACAAAACATGGAATTTTGGTGATTTTGATTTACATGTTATCCAAATATACAAAAAAGTTTTAAACCGAAACTGCACAAGAAAAAAAAGTTGCCAAACTAAGACGGCTTATACGTGCATAACTCTGATAGTGATCACACTAAAAATTTAACTCATACGCTGTGCGTGAGGTGTGTTACAATTTGTAGAGTCGGCTTATATGCAAATTTTCATAAAATCAACATTCTAGAGCCCTCCTTCATATAAGGATTATTTAAATTTGATCTACTGCCACAAATTGATTATCCAGTATCATTTCCAAGCCAGTAAGCATTCATAATGACCGACACCATGAAAAATTATTATCTGGTAAATTCAGATCTGTAACAAAAGAAATTATCACCGTGACGTTCTAACAAGATTTTCAACCAAAACTCTGAAGCATGACAAATTCTTGGCCTCATCTTCTGAAATACAATATCGTTACTGCGTTACATTAAACCAAAAATGAAGAAACTTTCTCCTAAAAATTCCAAATAACTATCAATTTCAGTCTATTTAACGATTATTATCAATTTATTACCAAAATCAAATGGTAATATGACTATGTTGTCATGAATTTTAATAATGATGCCTATTTATAGGAGTATTGGTATTCTATTTATATTTATTTCAATTATATTTCCTCTGGCTTTTAGTAATACTTCTAGTATGTTGTTGTCAGTCAGGAGTTGACATTAGAGATGTACCGATACCACTTTTTTCGCCGATACCGATCCGATACCAGCTTAAAACGCCGATACCGATACGCCGATATTACAAAAATGCCGATATTACCGATACCATGTAATTATTACCTTAATTAAGTGTGCTGTGTAGGGCAGACGGGTTAAAACAATGGTTAAAAGAAACGGGTTAAAAGAATATCGAATATCGCCCACACATTCTAGCGCCACCGTCCTACGTTCAAATTAAAAGCATTTTACAAATATTTTATTTTGTGGTTATTCGTAATCGCCGCCGCAATAAAACAAAGCCACCATGAAAGAATAACAATCAGCAATCAGAGAAACTAAAAAAAACTTTCAAAATTGTTCCCGTCAAAATTTTATTTTATTTTGACATCATATTTAACATGCTCCCAGGCACCACTGCTAAATTTGTGACACCATTCATCAACTTTAGGCACCATGGGTGTGCCAGGCATGTCATACATGTCAAATTTCATTTAATAGCAACTCTAGCCTGCAATATTAAATTACCAGAACCGGAAATAATCACTTGAATATAAGGAAATGCTTCATAGGGAATATTTCCAGTGGAGCAATAACTAAGATGCAACAAAAGGAAAGTTTCAAGTTTCATGAGAAAATATATTTCAAACTAACTGAAGCAAATTTAACCATTGATTTACAATGTGACTAAAAATGTTTCCACATATTCAATAGTGTATAGTAGTGCAGTGGTTTCTAACCTTTTATGGCTTGTGGCCTCCTTCCGGAGCCTTTCAGCACTCATGGTCCCCCTGTTTATCATTCCAGTGGTATTTATAGTGTTGTTTAGTGTGTGCATAAACAGGAGTTTACCGTATTTAAGTTCTGTTTTTCATTGATGATACAAAATTTATATTTCAACAGTTATTTTGACTTGGAAGCCACTTTTCTGCATTTTATGAGTGCATGTATCATTTTCTGCCATATTATGTGAAAGTCAATGTGATATTCATATCCATTCTCAGAATACTAACAATTTCAAGTTTTATTAATTTTCAATTTTTACAACATCTTAAGCTGAATGACATCCCACATTTTTTTCTCAAATAAGATGCCGAATGAAAATGAGATGCCAAATGGAACTATCCTAAATTATCCTAAAATCAAGAATCATTATCAAATAACTTAATTTCAAATTTATTCAAATACTCATTGATTTTGGGCATTGATGGGTGTTATTCAAAGTTTTGTACAGCTGAAACGACTGCAGAACAAAACAAAAATCATTGTTGTTATTATTATCCATAGATATCGAAAAAGATTTAAGACAAATCGACTTAAAAACTTTGTAAAAGGTCGAGTCAAGTGGTCGTTACAGCTTACTCAAACATCCCACAAATCTTAAAACACTTGTGACGTCTTTCGAGCGTAAGAAGATAAATGGGCAGTATTATTAACCCTCTGACAAAGAAAGTGACCAATGGATAAAAAAACGTATGGAAAAATTACAAGATCACTCCACAGGTGGATTTCAGAAAATACTAAATATAGACTAACTATAGATCATCACCTATTTTTCAACAAGTATTTTTTCTCACTTATTAGCACTGGGATTAAAAAATACGAGTTCAAAGGTTTAAAATGGAATGGCGAGCTAGAGATTTAATGCTGAATAAATATAATAAAAAAATCACTCTTGCGTACCAAACAAGAGCATATTAAACCAGTATGGTCAAATTACTTAATACTGATAAATTTGCATTTGATTACTACATTTTTCTTTATACTTAAATGCAGAAAAAAATACGATAGTTATGTAATGATCCAATAGAACGATGTACAAGAGTATTCATAGCTCAGTACTAGTAGGGCTGGAATATTTCTCCGTGTGTAGGAAGTTAAAAGACCATGTCACAGAAAAAGGTAATGCCCCAAAGGAAGGCCAAGGAGGCCAGCATCACGAGTCATAAATTTCAGGTGAATATCCCAAATTATACAGTGGTACAAGTACAACTCAAGTCCACCATCCAACCTAGCATGTAATTGCTAAACCACAAATATTATGATCCAAGAAGATGATCTGCTCTAAAAATCTTCAGACTGCAATATAAAATTATGAATATATCTTCATTACCAGTCGAAATATTTTCCACCGTCTCGAAGAAAAACAACTAAAGATCGGCCATCTTCTCTTTCTTGCCATGGCATATGTTTAAATCACAATTTTTGTTACACAAAACTATAATAAAACATAATTTCAAATGCTTTTATTACATCTAAATAAATAAAAAAGTGTAACGTAAGTATTTTTATTGGGCCATTTTCAATAGGAAAATCACACCAATGTAGTTATTTGTTTTCTGGCTTCAACATTCTGGCCTCACAGTATTGAAACTACCTGAGTAAAAAATCTGATATTTGATATGTCCACCAGTTAGAAATTATCACTAATATTCCTGAAGACATATTTTCGTGCAAATAAACTGTATAATTGAATTTATTAACAAACTATTTTCATTTCACCATCTTATAATTTAATTATCTTGACTTGAATTGTGAATAAAAACACAAAACCTATTTTTACAATACATTATTTTTTTTTTTATTTGCTATTTGAATTCTACTTTCATTCATTCAGTAAATTTGGTAAGATCACTGTTTAAAGTTTAATTCCCCAAAGCTATAGGATTATTCATATTATCCATCGTTACCTTGAATAATGGTCTAATCAATCACAAAAAAACGCAGCAATTACTTTTGCATTTGGCATTCAAAATAAACAACGCTTTCATCTACTTTGTTTTGTAAACATGGCATTTGAAGAAATCTGTCTCAAATTGTAAACTATGGCTAAGATAGTATCGTAACTTGCAACTCATTTTGTCTGGCTATGAGTCCCCCTCAAACAGAATAATGTTGATGTTATGATTATGATAATGTTTGTTCAAGTTACCATTGCTAAGTTTCTATTTACTCAAGTGGATATCAGTGACTGCCTTATTCAAAGCAAAATAAGTGAATACAGGCATATAAAATATATATATAAAAATTGCAACAGGAATGTTCAGATAATCTAATTCAGATAAAACACAAAGTCATTGATAATAACAAAGTTACAATTACATACCAAGTATTACTGTAATTCTTAATTAAGTTATCTGGAATTAATGATAATTAGTAATTACTACATTACAATTACAAAGTAAAAAAATATAATGCCCGATATTACAGTTCCACTTTAAGTTCTTAAGAATTCATTAAAAAGACATTTTATTTGGAACTGAACTAAATATGGTCAAAAACACCACATATTTTCACGGATAATAAAACAAGTTTTTCATTGGCAAGTTAACACACAAAAATATAATTTCTTAATTAAAAAATGGTATAAGAAAACTGAATTTAATCAAAAAATTAACTGTTCACAGCAATCCCTTTTTTAACTGGCTTTCCTGAGCAGTTATCAACACTAAATGATCTTCAAGTAACTAAATAAAATGTATTCCTGGTTTCAGCACACCTTATGCAAACAGAAATAAATCTACTATCATGATGGAACACTTGTACATTATTTTACTATCTTTTTAAAATGACTGAAACCTTATTATCTTTCATTGACATGTTAAGAACCACACGCACAGCAAGAAAATGTGTTCTCGGCCACTTCGGTTGACGCTTAACAAACATACTGTACCTATATACATAGTGCTTTATTTATAGAGAAAGATACATACAGATTACCCCTCTGGGATACTTTTATATATGTACACAAGTAAGTGGGGATCATTGATAAAACAAGGATAATCCATATTTAATTCAAACTTAGTAGAAACAACAATAGCAGCTCATCTCAGAAAACATAAAAATAATAAACAAGAAATATAACTCAAATGAAAAAATATTTCTGGCAGATACAAATCACCTTCACATGTGATGTGATATCAGAAAAAAAGTTTTGTTACACAATACTAATCTTGTTGACAAAAGAGACCACAATTCTTATGTAATATCATACTGACAAAACACATTAAGAAAAAGTGGTTAAAGATACTTGAATTCAATGAATTCTTTTTTATGGTTAGTTACATTGAAACCTGACGGCTGACAACCTGATAAACAAAAGCAAATAGGGATGACAATGGTTTAATAAACAGAACAAAACAAGGACAAATACACGCATATAGCTATTTAATGACATGCTTTAACTCTCGTATCAGTAATTTTTTCTGCTTTCAGTCGAGCTCAGGACCTTGCTTTAGGCAAATTTGCAACTTTTCTGGCAGTAATACTTCACTCTTGGTTGAGGTCTCAGAACCTTGCTTTGAGCTAAATTTGCAACTCTTCTAACAGTAATATTTCTAGTCATAGTTAAAACCTAAAGACCTTGCTTTTGATGGGTTTTATGTTGAAGAATTACAAGTAACAAACTTGTAATTTGGTCAATTAGGTTAGTTCTGCAACATTGCCAATACTTTGAAGTTAATTTATGATGTGTTGAAATTAAAGAACAATTATATCCAATTATTTTGGTTTTGCCCAGAAATGAGTTTGTTAGTAATGAAAGAAGCATATACCCGGTAATTTCATCCCAATATTCTTTTAAGCCAAATCTGAAAAATTTGTTAACATTACATAAATAATCGTATTCCAGTAAGCAAATTATTTCTCTAATTCAACTGAAAAAAATTCTATAAAATGTGCAAAAGTTACTAATACAATCCAGACTAAACTAAATTGGATTATTAACACTAATATTTCGATAGAGTCGCTGCAACCAGGCTCATTAGTATATGAATGCACCACTACTACTAATTACGAATGAACTATAGTTATAATAATGGTACTTCTGTTTTTCAGGACGAGCAAGGCTTTGCACACACAAACACTTTTTGAAATGACTATTCGCTCAAAAGCCTATCCTTTCTAATCTTAGTCTAAACTTTTATTATCCAAACACAGAATGAATAACAATATTTCAAAAATTTTCGTTATATTTTTTGTATCTATTTAAAGTTTTATATGCGACCCAATCAGACTTAGAGAATTCTACATTAAAATAAAGCCTATTGCAATGAATTTCTAATTTAAGATTACAACATGACTTTACAGCACAAACAAATATAATTGCTAGTTAGAATACTTGACACTAGAAGAAACTGACAACAACAAATGACTTTTGCGACAAATAATCTCCTAACTTGAACTGGAGAATTACTTTCACAATCTTAGTTATAAATGTCAATTTTCAATGACGAAATTTTAATGATAAAACCACTAAACTTTATTCTAATGCAAGGGTTTCGGTACTCCTGTAATATGTGTACTCAGTTAGGGTTAGGCCATAATTTTATTCCGATTTTCCTTATTTTAGTTCTATTATGAATTTATGATTAACGGGACTGTCTGTGGTAACCAAGTGAATATTCCCTCTGCCCATAGGTTTCAGTCCCTTTACACAACTTGATGTGAAGTAGGCGAACAAAATCAGTTACCTCCTGGTACACATACTTCTGGAGTGCCAGAGTTTCTATAGCGACAAATTTCTGTCTTAATTAGAAACGTTATAAACTTGCAAAACCACAACAATTTTCAAAAAATCTGTCCAAAAACTTCTCAAGTGGGATACTGTTGTTTTTACTCAGATTATGACAAGAAAATCTAACAAAGCATTAGAGAGTTGAACTTTCAATTTTTTTACATACAAAGTTTCGAAACATAAAATTTAATTACTGTATTATTGTAAAGTACCTAGTAATTGGTGTAATTTGTTTTACAGTTTGACAAGCAGATACTTGTTGACCTTATCAAACAGTAAGTCGAAGAGGTCCAGAATTTGAACTTATTATTTTTTTTTAGTTTTTAGTAAACAATAACTTCTAATGACATTAAACTCCCAAAAGTTGTATTTAAATCTAGATATAAAGTTACATTTAGATTGAGACATGACTAAAAAGCATTTCCATCGCTTTCTAATACCCAATACAAGATCAGATCTAATTGCATCAACGCGGAGATAATCACACAATATGGAAAACGGAGTATTCACAAGACTGGTCGCCTCCTATCATGGCTTCTTTCATCTACCAAACACTCATACTACACCTGCACTGATAATCGGGTTATTCAGTTGTTTCCGTTCTCCTCAGGATTTCATTCTATTTCAGCTCAGAATCAAGTATTTTATTTAATCTGTATAACCATAAAAACCAATGACCCAGTAGAAAAACATATGATTACGCCTTCTTAACAGATTCTTTTCCTTCTAAATAAATATAAAAAATCTTTCCCTAGTTTTCACAAAAAAAAATTAAATTTCAATTTTTTTCCGATTAGCTTTTCTGTTTATTTAAAACTCTAATTTTAAACAAAGTTACAAACTAATCTGTAATCCCTATCTAAAAACCCAAGGGTAACTGATAACAACACTGATAAGAGCTATGTGGTACTAAAGATATTAAAACATTCGTTATAATAAGGACATTGATACATATCAAGTATCACATGACTCAAAACGATATGCCGGTACTTAAAAAAGTTATTTGGATATGAAAAAACCAACTTTTCTCTCCCAGGATAAATATAAAAATCCTGTCTTATCCTATATAAGCAATTGGTAACCTACATATAACTAAAAGCTAACATACCTGACAGACAGTAACAATATTGCAAGAGGAATTTATCGCAGATAAGCTAATATTCCCCTATAATCATCACTAACACTTTATCTTTACCATTTCAAACTATGTCCTGCATTCTAGTCTTTATTTATCAAAACTCTCTACAAAAATTTAAGCTCAGATTTTAATCAAGGACATGACCATGTGTAAGAATGTAATAAATAACATCCGATGTAGATCAGATCGCTATCAGAATTTTCAAAAGTAAAATGCCTGTATCATGTAAACTAATATGACAAGGTGGTTGCCATTAGCATATGATCTAGAAACCATAAGGTTATATCAAATCTTATCCTATATGAAAATCCGGCAAGAAAAATCCTCACTCATTGCAAATCAATTTTACTATCTTACATGTCCAAAAAAATTAGCATACTTAGCGGTAAACTTGAATTAGTGTACATAAGGTTTACATTAATACCTGCTAATGTGATCTGTGAATTTTTGATACTTTTGTGCATCATAAGTTTGCACTTATTTAGATATGATCGCATTCGTGTCATAACAGAATGTTTTATAAAGCTCAAGCCATTTTCATTAACAATTTCAGTAATAATGTTAATTAAGTGATATTGAAAATAATTTTTAAAGTAATTATCTATTAATCAAAGCATAATCATTCAGCAGTCAATTCTAAAAAACTAGCTTAAAAATAAACAACCAATTCATAAAAACACTCACCCAAGCTACAACTTTGTTATCTGACACAGGTAACTTGCTGTCATCATTTGTAATTTCTTCTTTAACGACTCTGAAAAACAATAAACTACAATAATGGCGAGAAGATAGTACAACTATTACCATGTGTAGAGTATGTAAGCTTGGATACAGGGGGAGGGGGAATAAATAGGTTTGAGGGGATTGCTTGCGCTCCTCTTATGGAAAGGGGTTGCACTCCCGGGGTTGGATACAGCTTAATCCCCATTCATGGCTACCTGGAATGATAAACTGGCTACTTAATCACTCCAATAGCCAAATGACATTGTTAGCACGACAAGCGGTATATCCTATTGTATATAATTGGGCTGTCCAATAGCCTTTCATCTCCCTTGAGATAAAATAAAAACCTTCTTAAGCAGTAACACTGTCCAATAGGAAAAATCATGCTCAACTGAGGTCAAGTTTTTTAACAAAAAAGGGTTTCAGTGTAGAACAGATGACGTAAAAAATCGAAAACTAAGACACAGATAAATATGGCAGTGTTCATTTACTGAATGGCACTATGCAAGATGTACAGAACAATGAGAACATTGTGTAAACTCTTTAATGAGATAAAATGGATCGGGAACAACACATTGTCATTAGTATATTACTATTAGTGCAACAAAGAAAAAAAGAATTCAGACAACTGAGAACTGTTAGCATCTTGGTTGAGTTTTGAACAATACTGCGCCCCCAGATTTCAACCAAATTTGTCCAACAAACAAAAGACTGAGATTTTTCTTTATTCGTGCGATGGTGCAAGATATTGGCTTTTATTCAATCTAAAATATTAGATTTTTGTTACAGCTCTTGGTTGCCAATAGTGTTTGGTTTTCAAATATTCTCAAATTTGTTATTTTTGAGTCATTATTGAATATGCTATCTTTAAATTAAAATCTACTCTCATTAGTACAAAATCACAATGATTCCAGTATATTTTACAAAGCACGCTTCCAGTTTCCCTCAAATATCCATGGGATGGTCATTATATATAAATGTATTTATTGTAACATGGCAAATACTAGAAACAAAACAAACCAGATCTTCAAGTTATTTACAACTGGTCATCTACTCAAGTAGGACATAATGTAGGCCATAACATGAGTCACTGATATGACCAGTTTTATGTCAAATTAGAAAGTTGCCAGCACAAGCACAATTGACATATTTATGATGTTATCCAAACCAGGCTTTTCAAAAAATGAAATGGAGTTGGGAATTGTGGTGAAAATAACTAGTATTTTATAGTTATGTTTTAAATCAACAGGAGGCATGACTAGAGCCTATGCATGTAAAAAACATCCACAAGCAGAAGTATTACGTATATACTCGCCTATAGGTCGCGCCACCGTATAGGTCGCACTATTAGTTTTGTGTTAAAAAAGTTTAAATTAGAGTTGACTCGCACATAAGTCGCACTGAAAATCTAGGGATTTAGAAGGCCCTTTCCCTAGCTTTTTTGCATAGATAACTTCCTATTTTATTTTATTTTTGTAGGGCTTGATATAATGTTATATATGTTAATTATACCTAATGAGTGCATGAACGCAAGCGCAGACCATACAATTTTCATGAATAACGAACTCGCTAGTACATTGCCAGTACATTCAGACCACTAACCCTGTTTGAGAAATGACAAAAACAGATACACACATAAATTTGTTAAAAAAAAGTATGTCGAGCGAATTGGTCGCACCTACTTTTTTTTTAAATATAAGGAAAAAGTTTGCGACTTATAGGCGAGTATATACGGTACTTCTCCTAAGTCATATACAATACCCTATAACAGGGCTACTCAAATATTTTCCCGACGGTTCAAATACAAAACTTTAAAATATATGAAGTCCTGTCATTCCGGAAAATATATTTTATTATGCAAACAAAACTTCCAATACATCGTTTAACAACAACGCTCCTTGATACTGGTATCAACTAGGAAAAACGATGCTAATACCTTCAATAAAGCAGATGCAGTCCGAATATTAATAAAAGGGTCCATAACCACGGTTAAGTAGAGTTGGGTAGTACAATACTAGCAAACCCTGCATCAATATCTGTTCACGCAAAGCACTGTTTTGAGCATAGGTACGAAACTCCAAATAAAAAAATTTCCAGTCTATACCAAATTAACTTGTGTATTTTGTATAGGCTATATTTTATTGTACCATTGCTTGTTTTCTGGTTTTCTCTCATTTAAATTGATCTATTTGCATTCATCATAAAATAACTGGTATCATTTATCCTCATGAAAAGTGAAAATATTTCTTATATCTATTGGAAGTTTACCTAATTAACATGAAAAACCAATAGAAAGATCACTATTGACTATTGTTTGTAATTTACTTAGACATAGGTTGTTCATATGACTATCTAAACATGTCTAATTCCACTCCAGACAAATGTCTTGGGCCATAATAAGCCATACTTGGTATAGTGATAGTACAGAAGGTTCGTAATAAAAAGAGAAAAACGAATTCAAAATAATATTGTGGTCATAAAGTAAATCTATTGTCAAATTTACAGGAATAAAGTAAAGTACTGTAGTTTTTACTGTGACTTTTTCTCATGTCCAGTTAGACACAGTCCATGTTAAAACAAGATTAGTATAATTGGGATCACTCATAAGCAAAAACAGGTGTTTTATTAACATAGATAGTTGGTTTCCTACTAGCAATAAAAACATTTTATCCTCTGGCCAGTGAGTGAATGACTAAGTGAAGCAAAATTCAATCCAATGATTGGATGATTTAATGGGATTTCAAGAATATACTGTTCTCGATGTAGAACCACATTGAAGAGGTTGAAAATTACCAATATTAGAGAAGTACCGATACCACTTTTGTCGACGATATCGATGCCGGCGAAAAAACGTAGAGGGTATGATATGACTACTATGGGTCGTAAAATAAATAAACATTTAACCCATACTGATACATCGGTACATCTCTAGTCTATAGAAGACATGAAGTGTTTGGTTTTTTATTCAATGTTTATTGAAAACCTATCTATGCATCGATTCATTGCAAAACACATTTAAAAATTTGTCCATCTTTCTTCACAAATAAATTCAATGACAGTCAAGCTATCGCCAGACCACTTCAGTCTTTTTGCTTCTGTAAACCCTTGACATTATCTTGTTTCAAGTATCCTTTTGACCCCAGATCATACATTTTCTTTAATGAGGCGTTTCAAACAGCTTTTACCAAGGGTCGTTACAAACTTGGAATGAAGTTATGTATAAAGTTATATGCTATAGAACAGTGTTTCTAAACCTATGGCTCGCCCGCCCAAACTTGGTTTTGGTCGCTTGGATTGATTAATATTATTCATTGAATTTAGATCATAAAAGTACTAAACGTTCAGTATATAAGCACATACTCATGTCGAGTGATTTCACAATATCTATTTTTTTTTAATTTTGGTCGCTTGGAAGAAAGGTTGAGAACCACACCTATAGAAAAAAAGTAGCTTCCCATAACTACATCACTTATCAAATTATCCAGATTGTGGGTAAAAACCGATTGATGACAAGGCTTGGAGTATGAGGCATATGATGCCAGACAGCATAGTAACGTAACATACATACGGATTCAGAAGCAATAAATGTAAAGTATGGGAGGCATGCGCAAGCAGAACAAACAAACTGTTTTTAATATTTATGTAAGTATCATACAGAACAAAAACACTATCAACAATAGACTATAGAAAGTATAAAATGTACATAAAATCTTAAAATTTTTCACAATTGCAAAGGGAATTTATTGTGACCATATATTGTTTGGCCCTCACAAATGTATTAAATGAAGTAAAAGTACTTGAACAATTACTGATTGAAAACCTGGTAAAGAATAAGATATATTGAGAACTGATTTGATTTCATAACAAAATTGGAATTGTAAAGGGACTTTATGGGCACCCTGTATATATCATTTATTTATTATTAAACTCTTGCTTCAATAAGAACCAGACGCTGGGATTTCACATTACAGATGATATTAGCAATCTCTTGGGACAGAGCGAGTGTTAAACTCTGCATTGATACAAAAATGCCACAACAAAGGGTGTCAATATTACAAAGAATATTTATAAACAGGAATAATTAAGACTGTGGCCTATAGCGCTAAAAGTTTACGAGTTGAAACATCTGCATTACTTTAACATTAGGAAAAATCAACTGACAACTTAACTGGTAAGATGCAAGATTTGGTAATGTAAGACCCATATATATATATATGTATCACACATGACACAAATTAAACAGATGGTTCTCAATTTACAAATCAAATTTATATCGGCAGTTCTCATTATGGGTGTCTTTAAAATACATTCAAAATGATGTTATATTTTTATTGCATTTATAGAATAAATTTTTCAAGATTTATGATATAAAAAATTATATATGACTAAATATCTGAAGTAAAAGTTGGAGACCGAGGTTCATATTCATCAATTCAATGTATTCATAACTTCATCACCTAATTTAGTCAATTTTTGTGTACTCCCGCAGTATGTGAACCAAGATGGCGGACCAGATTAGGGTTAGGCCATGATTTCAGGTACAAATACTACGGGAGTAACTTTGCTAATCCCCGAACTCGTAATTGAACTAAAATAAGGAAAATTGGAATAAAATTATGTCCTAATCCTAATCTGGTACACATACTATGTTCAAGTGTCCGCCATCATGGTTCACATACTACAGGAGCGCCAATTTTTGGATACAGACACGATTGACTTGTGTCGAATTCTATTAAAAAGCCAAATCAATTCAACTTATCAATACTGTTAAACTACTTTTAGTCCACCATGTATAGATGCCTGTAGTGCATTGTTCAGAATGATGGATGAATAAATAAAAATTGAATAATACCCAAAATTTCAGCTACCGAAATAAAAATACAGATTTATAAAAGAGATTCCTTAATAACAGTCCCAACCCATTATAAATTTGTGATGTTGAATTTCGATATGTGAATCAAAAATTTAAACAAAAGTAATACTTCTCTATAAGTGTGGAACATTTTCAGTTATAGATCAATATCTTATCCAATAGTCTATTGAATATTATTTGACTACGAATCTAAATAATCATAATATTTTCACAAAGCTTATTACAAAAGCTGTTTTTATAGGAGAGGAGTAAACTATATGAAAGGTTTTTATAAAAGCGTTATGCGCGTCATAATTTCAACTGGCCATTCTTTTGTCCACTAATAGGCTTCAATATTTATTCATGATATCTTTCTAGACTAATATATCTTAAGTGGGCTGGATAGTTGTCCAAAATTCGATTTAATATTATCTAGAAAATTTTGACATGAACTTTCTGGCTATACAGTCATACTATCTACTGCCCTGCAGGTCAATGAATTAGGATTTGAATTAGAAAGAATTTTTAAATAATGAATAATAGGTTTATTCTTATTCCTGACTACAAAACTAAAACTGATATGCGTTCTTTGAGTCGTATAAGTAAGTACATTAGAAGTTGGAATATTCTGAGGTATTCGGAATATTCAGAGAAGAACTGCCATAGTGGTCAATGAATTAGGGTTTGAAGCATTTTTGAATACTAAATAATTTAAAATTTCATTTCTGATCAAAAATAAAACTGCCATGCGTTGTTTAAGTTGTATAAGTACATTAAGAGTTGGTACAGCATACCAGTGATTTATACGTCTAAAAAAGATATCAGTGTACGATAAATTATATTTGAGGCTCATAAGTTGATACAAAAACTGATAAATCCAATTTTTCCTTTATGTGATTCATTTTTGTATGATTTTTACTAGTCCAAGTCTTCCTAAAAAAGTAAAGAAGAGTGATTATAAAAGAACATGGCCTAGCTTCTTATTTTCATTAGATTCAGAAATATAACACTTACAACAGAAAATCTGAACACATTGTCGGAAGTTGGCAACGGGCGACCCCAACAGACCACCTATCTATCAAGCATTACTTCATCAGCAAAAGTAGGTGTACAATTACAATGTGTAAACCTTAATAGGTTTGCGGTAAAAACACACAAATGAGAGAGATGGGTAATAAAACCAGACATAGAATGGATAGATTACTCAGAGGCCAAACAAACAATAACAAATGAAGCAAGGAAGAAACTGAAGAATAAGTGTTATCAACCATGCATAGGAACTGAGTTCAAAATAAAATCTAATATTCAAAAATCTTCCATTTTAAGAATTCAATATAAATGAAATTACTGCATTGGACTGCACAGGACTGAAACCTATGGGCAGGGGGTATATTCACTTGGCTAACACAGACAGTCCCCGAACTTGTAATAGAACTAAAATAAGGAAAATAGGAATAAGATTATGGCTTAACCTTAACCTGGTACACACACTACGAAAGTACCTGAAGTACTGCATTTTTGGTAAAATTCAGGATAAAATCACAATTTGGTCAAATTATATAAAGCTGCATTTAGCATACAATGTCTTTGTAATTTGTAACTTCTTATTTAGGCAAATTTTTAGGATCATTATGTAATAGTTCACATAAATACACTAATATTAGTAGATCACTGTTAACCCCAATTATACAAAATTCTTTCAAAACAGAAAATCATAATTAAACACTTACCCAAAGTCGGCATCAGTTGATCGGAAAAAATACTTGTAATTGGGCTTGTTAATTGCCACCTTGAAGTTACCGAGTGTGATCTGCTCAGGTGGAATTGTAACTTTGCTCAAATATGGCGTCGCTTCGTCGCCAATATAATAAACTATTTTGGTTTCTTCAGGCATGATTTAGCGTTGATTTTTATTTCACCGAGTAAAATTTGATAAAATTATCCTGTTCAGAAACTTTCTCATAGCAAATCTTTTGATTAGAGGTAAAATATAATATTGTTATCTGTGAAAATAGATGTTCAGAACGTTATAAGAAAGTCTAAATGAGTAACCTTTGGGTAAAATAATTGAACTTTGAAGATCTAAATAATCTATGGTAAGGCTCCATTCCATATTAATTTATTAAAAATTTCACGCTGATAAATCTACAGAAATATACCAATCAGACCACATGGAAACAATATTCCCGAAAATATACCATGTTGATTGAAAGATAGTACCGGTACTGTAGTTACATAATCAACATATATTTAGCTCTATCTGTTATGGCCATTGCTATAGCTCACATACGAACTATGGTAATTAAGAAGTGTCTCTTTTTCAATGGATTCCTAAAACTTGAATATGTTATTAACTCAAATAATCATTAATCTTATAAAGGTGAGGCAAAATTTTTATGGGCTCAAATTTTGGAGATCAAATAAATTAACAGACAATATATTATATTGATATCAATTTGAAGTTTAGCTGTTTGCTTATAAACTGTCTACCAATCACCTATCAAAAAAATTTATAAAACCTTTTTCTGACTTTAGCAATTATAGTTTAAAATAAAATAAATTGAGTGGAAGTGGCGACTCCTCTGCGGCCCATGGGCCGGGGCCACGGCCCATCGAATTGAGCCTCGGCCCATCAGGCTATGGGCCGCGGTCCATCAAGTTGTGTAAAGGGATTATTCACTTGGCTAACACAGACAGTCCCTGAACTCATAATCGAACTATAATGTAAAAAATCTGAATTTTTTCTTGTCCTAACCCTAACCTGGTACACATACTACAGGAGTATATTTTTTTGGTTCGAATATTGACAATTTTGTAAAAATTGGAAATTTTGGTAAGATAATTGAATTTTTCCTGATGGGGCCGCGGCCCATAGCTCGATGGGCCACGGCTCATGTGGCCCAATTAGATGGGCCACGGCCCCGGCCCATGGGCCGTAGAGGGGTCACCGCCCCTGTAGTTAAAATTAGTAAATTGAAGATGCAAAAATATTGAAATTAAAAAGAGAGCAAAGTCAATAAATATGAATTAATTTTATTGTAGTCTAAATATTTTAATCCCTTCGCAAAAATTCTTGGAATATGTCCTCCTGTAATACGTTCTCTCTTGAATAAACCTTTTCATACAAAAACAGTGCCTTGGTGACCCAATCCCTATATTCAGTAAAAGAGCTCGTATTTTTAACGATACTTATCTTTTCACGAACAATTTGCGTTTTCGCAGACCATTTCACATATTCTAAATGTCCCATTAGAAGGATCATATCTCCCAAATTTATATCATTCACGTTTAACGACTGAAGCAGAGATTTCATGAAGGAAATATGTATATTGCTCTTTGAGACATCTTGTGGACTTTTGAGTTCTTGATCTTTCAAATATTTCTCAGATGCACATTTTGATATTTCTCCGACAGTATCGGTTGAAATTGGCTTTGACGATCCGAAACTATTTTTTCTTAAGATGCAATGAATCTGTCCAGTACCATCTTGAATTTCAAATCTCAGAAAATCGTCTTTCTTCTTAATCTCTGTAACAAACCCGAACACTTCCACTTTGTTAATTGGCAGCCCATGCGAATTTACAAACAGCGTTCTTGTCGCACATAACGGCTTCAGAGAATTAACTGCGCCAATGAGAAGCTTACAGTACGTGTTGAACGTTGGTATCATTGGTACACAAGAAACCGGTATTGTTGTCTCATATTGACACTTAGCATTTTCCATGATATAATAATAATATAGCCACGCTACTATATGATGCAGAAGTTAGACGATTTAAGATTGTGAAATTGAAACAAATAATAAACAATAAAACATTTGCAATAGTGGAATCAAGAAGACAATGATTTTATTAAGAATATGAAATATTGGTGATTATACGCTAGTTCATTTTGATACAATTCAGTACGGCACGCTATCCAAATTCCAAGAATTTCTCTCCATTTGGCTCAATGAAACAAACACTCTATGTGTCTCACAAATGAGGGGCATCTGGGACCACGTCAGAAGCTTCATATCGCGCCATGCTTGTGTCAATAATAATCTAAATTAATCGCGGCCGTCACATGACCAAAATTGCTGTTTTTTGCTAAAAACTCTCGATTGCTACGGTAAAATTTTTTTTCCTTCGTAAATCGGATTATTTTTTCCCAAGGAATTCAATGATGACGTTACTAGAAATTCACTTTCAACTCACAGGTGAATCCAATCCCAGAATCCAGCAATTGGTTGTAAATCAAACTAAAACACTTACGAATTACCAATGTTTTTTATTCTGAATAGTTAGTAGACTACTAATGTATAATAAAAAAGTTTCTTACACAGTCTTATGACGTTACAGATCATTTTTCTAACTAAGCTGATTATGGAGTCGATTATAAATTGGTGAATTAAAAATAATTTTAAAATTTATACACTGTCAGACTGTTAAAATTTCTAATATTTATCTTAAATTGTCTACATTGATACTCACTCAAATGATGCTCCAATCTATAAATTCAAACTGGTTTATGAGCTACATTTTATTAGCACCACATTAAGCAATAGCACTGACTTTTTTGCCAAATAAATTCCAATGCCACAATGACGTTACAGATCATTTTTCTAATTAAGCTGATTATGGAGTCGCTTATAAATTGGTGAATTAAAAAAAAATTTTAAAATTTAAACACTGTCAGACTGTTAAAATTTTATAATATTCAGATTTATCTTAAATTGTCTACATTGATACTCACTCAAATGATGCTCCAATCTATAAATTCAAACTGGTTTATGAGCTACATTTTATTAGCACCATATTACAGCATTAAGCAATATCACTGACTTTTTTTTGCCAAATAAATTCCAATGCCACAACGGAATTTTTGTATCGAGAATTTAGAAGCCAATAGCTGCATCTGCATGGTGATGCGGTGGCTTACCCAATGCGATGGCGTTTAGCTGTTAGGTCCTCTCACATTCAAAAACTATGAGGCTGATTAGATCGCCTAATACACGATAAAAATTGTTAAATATGCTAATGAATACTTAAATACCGCCGAATTTACAAATACTAAAGCATTTTATTATCCTACTCTTAACTCCTGTGGGCCTACCTTTATGTAGTTTTCAGTACCGAAAAAATCACAGCCGTTCCACCGGGGGCGCTACTGTGCACCACGGAAAAAGCTGAAAAAAATTTAACCCCTTATTTCATATTTATTTTTCCTAGCACGGAAATAATTTCGATATTACCTCATAGTTCTCGAATTCACATTTGGGTTTTATAAAATATAAATCATCTGATGCCTTCCCTAGATCTCGCGCACAACCACATACCACCTCTTTTATGGGGCGTTTTCATGTCTTTACTCCGAACAAATTTTTGTCCAAGCAATGAATAATTCGTACAGAGATACTTTCTTGAATGGTTTGAAATCTTCCTTCTTCAGAATAACTTACCCAATTCATTAAAGTCTGGATCAGGTAGTGAATATTTAAACCTAAAATCTTTAACCTGCGACGTCAATATAGTTTAGTACAGCGCTTCAGCCACTACTTCAGCCACTAAGCAATCACGCCCATATTATATTTTGGATGTGGTAAGGGTTAGTGATATAAATATTTAATAAATATCGAAGAATTAAACAAATTTTCGGAACCTTATCCATATTATAAAGATTTCAATAGAATATCCGGCGACCATTTTGTTTAATTTTTTAGCCTACTATCAGATATTTCTACGCTAACATTTATTTCTCAATAGCTTTTGGCATTTCAGTAGTGAACTTCGCTCGGCCATTTTTTATTTCAAAGTGAGTGCGCGCCATTACTTTGAGCAAATTTTCCCTTAATTTTACCAAAAGTCGCTACCTTCCTGTTCCATTGTTATTTCAGATTCACATAGGTCGGTAAAAGTTTGCTCGCTAAATACGCTTAAATAAAGAATAAAAACACATCTTGTTATTGTACACACCAAAAAAGCTTTGAAATCCTCGTTTAATTTCACTTACAAATTGTTTTATGATTTAGATTTAAGATGTTGTAATTTATCATTGATAACCACTGCATATTGCAATTGCTTGACAAATATGTCAAAGTTTGTTAACATAAATGAAATTGGCCGTACAGGCTGATTATCACATAGCAGCTTCACAGGGCATTCAAAAAGGGGATCTATTTTATAGGTAAGCTTACCATACGTCCCGTTTTAGGCGGGACAGTCCCATTTTTCAACGTCTTGTCTAGGCGTCCCGACCGCTTTGGCTTCAGCCAGTCAGCATAATACACGAACATTACCAATTAGCGTGTTCTCGTTACTGTTGTTGCTGTATAGCGTACCTGTAGGGTACTTACTGAAGGGATGATTCGTTGTTTCCAAATTACTGGACATGAAGGGCTATCTATCGAAGACTCGAGTCATCTAAAATCTGAATGACTCAGACTCGACATCAACTGACCGGACAGCAGTGAGATTTAACTCAACGATTGAATCAGATTACTCGTAACACGACTTGACTCGCGATGGGCAGTTCATGGGATTTTACATCTAACAGTGCTTTCCAGCTCTTCAAATTATGCCGAGCCTCATTTTACAACGTTTGCTAGAATTTTTCCCAATAAGGTTTTATTTGAAGGTTATAAAGGATCATTATGCCATTTTTTTCTATTTTAGGTAGATTCTCATAAATTGACAAAATAATGTCGAACTCACGAATGATCGAATCAATTTTTATTATCATGTTTGGTTATATACAGAAATCAAATCGGGCGAAACAGCTATGAATTTTTTTTTCTGATCGAAGAGTTTCAATAGACAAGGCAAACAATTCAAGGCATGGGTTATAAGTAGGCTTTCCATACGTCCCGCTTTAGGCGGGATAGTCCCGCTTTTTAGCGTCTTGTCCCGCCGTCCCGACAAGTCAGCCAAAAGTCCCGCTTTTGCGTTCAGTCATCCAGCATAATACACGAACATGTTCTCGTACTTACTGAAGGTGAATGCGTTATTTTGTTTGTTTCGTTGTTTCCCGCTAACATTGTTAGCGAACGTATCACATGTTGCTGTTTAGGGCTGCAACACTTATTTCTAAAAATAATATTATGGAATCCAATAGAAGAAAATGAGCTCGAACAATTGAATTGTCTCGAGAATTGAAAATTGCTTTGGTACAATTTATTGCAAAAACAGATCACGAACATGAAACTCTTGCTTGGACTTCAGTCTTGGATAGTTACGCTCTCTTATCGGGTCAAACTTAATGAAAGCTGAAAAAATAGCACCTCTTCAAAATTATCCGATCAGATCGTTGCGCTTGGGCCAGGATGACGACCAATATCTTGTTAATCTAACAGAAGGTAGATTGCTATATCTAAATCATGCCATTGTCCCAGATTATCTAAGGACCAAACCTGATCCAGAGGTCCAACAAACGGAACGTCAAATGAATAATGAAGCAAGTGTATGTAATGATGCAGCCGTCAAAAACTTAAACAAATGTTGTGATAAAATGTTAGAAAGAATAAAACTTTCTCTACATAATTGGAAAAACGATCAACAGCAAATGAAAAATATAAAACCAACATTTAATCAAAATGACACTGTACAATTAATTGCAGCTTTAACGTACGGTCGTGATATTTCAATATAACAGTCTCGAAACCCAACTCAGCTACCACCAGGAGGTGGGAAAATGCAAACGGCAACGGATGTCAAAATAGAGTCAAATCCATATTCAAGGCCATGATTGCTTAGCATCAATGTTTTGGATCCATTTGGTATTGGAATATTGTTGCAAACGCATTGCCTTACCATGAAATGAAGGCTGTATGTCTTTCGTTTTCTTCGCTATCGAGGGCCTAACCCAGTGAGAGGGTTGCCTCAATCAAATAGCGAATCTATTTCATTACTCTTTATTACTTTTGCTGTACATAAAAAAATCTAAATTCGGATCATTTGTATCGTTAGCGTCTATTCCTTTCCATTTTTCGAACTGAACTCGATATTTAGACAGAGAATATGCGCACGAACTCTCGATGACAATAGGGTCAATGAAGACAGCCGGGATGGCTTAGATGTAGGCCTATGTAGTAAAATCGGAAACTGCAAATTTACAGGAGGCGTCCCGCTCTGAAGTGAAAAAATATGGTAACCCTAGTTATAACGCTAATATTAGTAAAGGAATAATATAAGTAAAAACTCTTTGTCGTTTATAATATATCAGTCCGTCACCAAAGATCTGTAAGATTTTGAGTTGGTTTCATATTTCACAGAGGACACCGTACATTTTCCAAGATGGCGGCCCATTGACCATTCCCTGGGATGTAGACTTTGGATCTTTATTGGCACCAATAGCAACATTTGTTGGCGTTTTATTGAATTTCGGATAACCCTGGTACCACACGTCTCTCGCTATAGTGATCGATTTTCCACTTGTCAGCAAAAGCTGCATGTACTGTAATGAATAAATGTACGTTTTCAAATTCTATTGTGATGTGTAAGAACTGCATGAAAATGAGTGCAAACCAGAAATTATTACAAATATCATAACTTCTAAAATATTCGGCAAATACCAGAACATCAATCTGAATTTTTGTCTATGACGATTTTTGTCTATGAATTCTATATATATTGGACCTTTCTTAATATCCATTCTCAAACTCTGCTGCAAGTGCAGTTTCAAGTATTTCGTGGCGTCTCAAGCTGCCGCAAAACCATGGCGATATTTCCAAATCATGGCCGCTATGGCCAAACTCATGGCGACTGACTTTTTAGCTGCCACAAACCAATGGCAAGCTGCCGTTACCGCGGCAGCAAATTGAAACCAATGGCAGGTAAAATTTTGCTGCAATAACCACGGCAGGCCGGCCGCATTGAGGTGCATATATACCTCAATTGTCGGGCTGCCCCTGATGGTGACAAATCTTGGGTAAGTTTTTTTATGAATACAGTTTTGATGGATTTGGGGTTAATTTCAGGTTTAAGCAGATATATTTCCGCATGATAAACTAAAATCTGGTACATAACTTTGTGAATATACATAAACCATGGCAAGAGACGCCGCGGTTCGTTCGTGGCATGAGGTGCCATGAAGTGATAAAAACTGCAACTTTGCTGACTACTAGGATTTTAGTTTGTGTTCTATCAAACTGACCTTAAACTTCATTCCTGTCCAGACGTTAATATATGACCGGCCATCAGGGATCAGTAGGCGAATATAAGGGAGAAGCGACTCGTAATGTTCGCGGTCGTAAAGGTTCGCGGGTTTTCCATTATATATTCGTTTGCAAAGGGATATGCTGTCGTTGAAGATGACGCCAGGTACTTCATACGCAACAATTCTGAAGCATTTTGACTTATATGTGACGTCACAGTTGCCTGAAAACAACATTATTATTGTCATTGTATGTTTTATTTTTTTTAATTTCAGAATATTTTAAAGATCTGAAATTAAGGTGTTGCTTATTCAATGAAATTTCGGTTTAAAATATAAATTTTAGACATTATATTATCTATTAATTTTGAAAAGAGAAAAGTCGATAAGATGAATCATAAAAAACGACAGAACAAATTTGTTTCATGTGTTATAATAGCTATCAAGTTTAGATACATGGTGGCGGGCAAAGTCATAACCGACAAAGGGTTGTGTTAAATAATCACTCGGTGACAATACTCGAAGTCTTCATAAGATTAAATACTACTGCTTTGACGGGTGTGGCATATTTTATAGTCAAATTATAAATCAGAAAACCCAAATATAAATTACTTTCAGCTTTTTGCTTTCCATGAAGACTCTTTTTGATCAACTTGGCAATTTCTGCAAATAAATAACATATTTTGTGCATTTTAAATCAGTTTCGTCATATTATATTGTTAATAGTTTTTTTTAACCACTGTATATTTTAACTATCTTACACGCCGAGAATATTTCCTGATCATTTTATATGCATTTATGACTCAAAAGTACATTATTCATTTACGATGACGGAAGTCTTTTTTTAACATAATATATATATATATCATGAAAGGGCGAACTCACCCGATCCATCGTTTTTCTGTGAAATAAATAAAAAATGCATGATTACAAAAATGATTACAACACGTAAGTTTTATTTAGTTTATATTAGTCGCGTGACAAGCAGAAGTCGGATTTGAAATTTGGTTTGAAATTCAGAAACTCCTGTAGCCAGCCACTCTAAAAATAGTAACTTTATACATAACAGTGACTGCTAGCCTACTTTAGAATAGAAAAGTGAAACACCTGATAAAAATAGCAACCTAATTTCACCTTGCAATCTCCAACTTGAATAAGTTTCCCCTTCACGATTTTGGAAACGCAAGATCCAGCTGTCAAAATGAAACGAGAAGTTCAATATAACAACGTCTTGTTCCAAAAATGATGCGCTCCAGAAGTATGAGCACCAAGGTGGCGGACACCGGAACGTCGTATATGTACCGCGTTAGGGTTAGGTCATAATTTTATTCCAATATTCTCTATTTTAGTTTTATTACGAGTTTGATGACTAGCCAAAGTGACTCCCGAAGTATTTGTACCTAAAACAAGAGAGGTATGCTCAAATATATGGGCACATAGTGGCAAATTCCGATGACACAAAACATAAAAAAAAGTAATAGCCTTGTAGCAAAAATTATTAATTATTAAGCACTGAAAATTTCAAAGTAATTGGTCTAGTAATCAAAGAGAAAAGCGGATTTTTCTGTGACAAAGAACAAGAAGAGTGCCAGCATAATAATGCAAAACGATCGTTATGCCCACTAACGTGTCCAATTATGGCTTAACTGTAACCTGGTACACATACGACGTTCCGGTTTCCGCCATCTTAGTGCACATACTCCTGGAGTACCCAAAATAATAGGTGTTGGTACACTTGTCGGATGTGTTATATTTTGGAAATGATATAAAAAACGTATATTTTAGAATTCAAAAATTTATCTAGTAATTTTATTCGGACCAAATCTTACCTGGAACTTTTAGTTCCGCAAGCAAGCCATAGACGAGAGAGATAAAGAAAATAATTTTGACGAAGTACATTTTACCTCTAGAAAGGTTTGATGACGCAACTAAATGCTTAGCTATAAATAAAATAGGTAGGAAACGATTTAAGGTTATTGTAGGTTTAATAACGCTATAATTATCTGTACCAATTGGTATTTTCATAGTATATTCCGCGGGGGGAATGCAGTGACATTAAATAATATTTAACTAGATACGATATAATTCGTTGCGCCAATCAAAAAATTCAAAGTCGAATAGATCTCGGAGAGTTTTCATTGTGAATTACAGGTGAATTTGAATGACCCGCTTGACTTACGCATGATCCAACGAACTAGCATGAACGAACCTAGCACGAACATTCTGGCAACTATGAGTTACTGTGGCAATACTTCACTGAAACATCTTCACATCACAGATGCCAGATTTATAAATTCCTGCCCCAGATTACGTTATCGCCGAACGATCTCTCTTTACGCGTTTTGCCTTCTAAGTAAAACGCTCTTCTTCATGCAACTATTATCGTCATTTCCTACGTCGAAATTTTTCTCGGACAAAAATTCACACGAGTCACCCATTGTGAATGTGCAAAAAAAAAAATCCAGTTTGCGTTATTGTTTTGCATTTTATCGACTTCGGAGTTTTATTCTTTTGAGTTATTTCCCAATACCATATCTCTTGCGTCATTCGTAGGATATCAGTTTTGATATTGTGCGGAGCCTACATTTAGTTTAGCCCCATTAAAAATGAAATGTGCCCTTATGAAAGAAGCCAATTCATCCCCCAGATTTTCAGATGTTTCATAAATTTATATTCGAAGTAGTATTCCAGATCAATATAGCTCACTCTATCATAAAGCTGTGTATCGGATCAAGATGTGTTGCCTTTCATGAAAACAAGTTGTAAAATTATAAGTTCCAAATAACCTTTAAACCGAGAAAAATCTTGGGGCACCGTGCGCTACTTGCTTTGGCAAATGTCGACGATCCAGATCTGGATGTTTTTTCGCATAACGCAGCAACTGGTTGAAAATACGGACAACAATTTGATTGCTCGATTACTTAGCGATGGGTATTCGTTATCAAGAGATATCCAGAATCGTAGAATCACAATTTTACTCAAGCTTTTTCATCTTCATCGGGTTCAGCACATTAATCCCTCTGCAGTTGATCAACGTCTCAAACGAAATGAATTTACATTATAATGACAAAGTCGTCGGTAACTTGGCACCAGGCTCAAAATCCTACTGTGTCTGCTTAAAATACTGGAAAGATTACTGTGGCCCATGCTTTTTTTGCGCGTCTCGTGACTACCTGCAGGGTCGCAACAATTTCATATCTTACTGAAATATTTTACTGTTTTTGACTGTTTTCTGGTTTAAGCAAATAAATATGCAAAATGTTTTATATGGATGGTCATATTAATCAGGAAAAGCACGCAGAACAGAAAAAGCACGCGTGGCGACTTTTAAGTTTCTGAATCTTGCGAGATTTGATCGAGCGCATTCGCGATGAATCGGAGCCGAAAAATTACATATATCTCAATACAGTTTTAGATTGCAAATCCTTTTAGTTTATTGTGCAGTGCCGATTTGCTGATTTCTGTCAAGGCCCAAACTGTGATGTTTGATGTCTCCT